CTCTACGCATTTAGCTACAGTTATCTTTTGCTTTTTGGTCGTTATTGATTTGCCCTAATTTAATTTGCCTAATTAACTATGCATTCATTTTGTATACAGGACGTCCCAAAAGTCTGAGTACAGTTTTAATTTAGTAGCTTAAAAGACAAGAAGTTCTCAATGATCTCAGATAAGAGTGCACACAGTTAAGCTAATGTTGATAGTCTAAAACTTGTGCTAGTCTTACCACGTTATGTCCCCTTTTCTACCACTCTGTCAAAGCTACCATAGAAACAGGATAGGGTCTGCACAGAACTAAAGGCCATTTTGTATTTTTCTTTGTTTTATGGGTTACAGTGGTCAAAGAATTCAACACCAAGTGGCTAGACTGAAGTTTAAGAGGAAAATATGTAAATAAGATCATAGGATTAAGAGCTCAAAGGGACCTTGCAAATTGGAGTCCAGTCCCCCCCCTCCAGAAGAGGAAACTGAGGTTAAGTGATCTAGGCTTTCAAAGGATTAAAAGTTGTAGAACCAAGAATCCTAACAGCTATAAAGAATTTGCCATTTTAATTATGGCCTCTGCTAAGAATATTACCAGTTGACTGAATGTAATGATATTTATCACTAAAGTCACTTGCTTCTGACTGATCAATATTCGACAAATTTTCCCTTTTTTTTTTAGTACTACCTGATTGGCTCACCTACTCCTGATTGACAAATAAGTGGTCCACAGCTCAGGCTAGTTATTTTGTTTGAAAATAAGGTCTAAAAAATTTGGTACTCAAAATCTTATAAAAGTAAATGTTGAAAACTATCTTCACAAGTTAATTGGAAAAAATACAATGCTATTAAGAAAAAAATTGTTTAAAATTTTAAAAAATGAAAATAAGGTCCCCTTATAAGTATAGTAGAGGATTTATCTACTTTTTGGTTTGTTTTGATGAAATCTCCCAGTATGTATAAATGTCCTATAGGGAAAGAGAAAGCTCTAAGTGTCAGGGTTAAACACAAATGTAGGCTGACAGGATGCAACTTTTTTTTAAACTATAGATGCCTTATCTGTGTATCATAGAAGTCAATATTTTATTAATGAAACTATGAAACTGTGTCAAACTGTATATTCATAAGCTATTTTACAAATGAGGGATTATAAGTATATGTTTTTATGAGATTACAATCAGACTTGAGATTAGGAGAAAAGTTAGGACAAAGAAAATCTTATGTTAAAGTTTATAAAAGCATAAATGGATGGTATGTATAGATGAAGGTGGAAGAGGTAAATTAAAACCAGGGAAAAGAAGGACAGTCGATTCATTTTCAGAGTGGTTAGTAAGTTTCTGAATTCAATTGCCTATAGTTCTTGGTTGTTTCTGCAGGCATATCCAAAACAACTTTTTTATCTTCCTCTCCCACACACCCTAAACTTACCTCCTCTTCAAACTTCTATGTTTCTGTTAAAGGAACCACTGTTCTTTCAGTCCCTCAAGTTCATGACCTTGAAGTCATGCTCAACTCCTCCCTCTCCTTCACTTCACACAGCCAATCAGTTAATTGGCAAGTCTTTTCAATTTTACCTTAAGAACATCTCTCACATTTCTCTCTTGTCTCTCAAAAGGCAACGACCTCAGTAGAAAAATATTCATAGAACTTTATTTTTAATAGTGAAAACCTGTAAATAACCAGTGTGGTTAATGATTGGGGGATGGCTGAGTCAATTATGTTATATTAATGTACTGGAATGTTATAGTACCACAACAAATGATACATATGAAGAACAGAAAGAAATATATTTACATATACAAAATGATGCAAGTGAGGTCAGCATAATATGAACTACATAAACGTTTGCTACAACCATATTTTAAAAACTACAAAGACAAATGGATCACAGGAAGATTTGGATGGGGACAATACATTTATTGTTCTTTTGTTAAAATTTATATTGTATTAGTTATACTATTAATCAAACTCTCTCAAATCTTCAACCTCTCCCTATCAACTGCTTCTTTCTCTACTGCCTTCCAACTCTCACTCCACAATCTAACTTTCAGCTTCATTGCTCAACTTAAACTGCTGTTGCCAAAGTTAACTCCTTTTTCTTAATTTCTAAATCTGATGGTCTGTTCTCAGTCCGAGTCTTCTGCTGCATATGATGCTGTTGGCTGATCTCCTTCTCTCCCTGTTTACTCTCTTCTCTGGGATTTTTGTGACATTAACCTCTCCAGCTTCTCCTCTTTGTTGTCTGACTGCTTCTTCTCATTCTCTTTTCCTGGCTCATCATCCACACCATGTCACCTAATGGTGGGTATTCTCTCCAAGAATCTGTCCTGGGCCTTCATCTCTTCTCCCACTATACTCTTTCTTGGTAGCCTCATTGGCTGTCATGGGTTTAACTGTCATGTCTATGCACGTAACTGCCAGATCTGCATAACTAGCCCCAGTTTCTCTTTTGAGCTTTAATCCTATATAATCAGTTGCCTATTGTGCATTTCAAACTGGATGTCCCAGGGACCTCTCAAACTCAGCATGTCTAAACCCTCCCCATTTCCAAACTTCCCTATTTCTGGTGAAACCATCACCATCCTTTCAGGTTTCCAGGTTTGTAATCATAGCAATATCGTAGATTCCCTATTCTCCCTCATCATACATATTAATAGTTGCCAATCTTGCTATTTCTACCTTCATGATATCTTTCCCATAAGACTCCTTCTGTCCACTTAAAAAGAGAATACCTAGATTATTTCAATAGCCTCCTTATTGATCTCCCTGCCTCAAGTCTCCCAACACTCCAGTTCATTCCACACATTGCTGCCAAAGTAATTCTTCCTAAGCACAGATTTGATCATGCGAGTCCTCCATTCAACCAACTGTAGTCACTTCCTATTGCCTCTAGAATAAAACGCATTTAAAGTCCTGTATAACCTGACCTCTACTTCTCTTTCCAGACCTGTACATTACTCCCACACATTCTCTCCCCCCATACTCTTAACACTCCCCCCCCAATTTCCCACCTCTTATAATTCCCTCTCTTCCTTTAAGATACAATTCAAGCAATGGCTTTTCTGATTCTACCAATTGCTAGTGTCTGTCCTCCCAAACAATCCAAATCATTCTGGCTCTCTTCGACTGGCCAACAATAGGTTTCAGCCCAAGCCCATGGGGTCATTGTTGGGCCCTGATTGCTCAGAGTGAATGTAAATAGCAATTATTTATATTTTGGCCAAAAACCTTGAGGGTCTTCCCCTTCCAGACTGAGATATATATAAATATATATATATATAATACATATAATATATACACACACACACATATATACACACATACATACATATACATACATACATATACATATATATACACACACATATATGAGGCCATTCTTTTCCTCATTTCTTACCTAGCATTAATCAGTGAATGGGCATTGTCTCACTCAAACTGAGACCTGAGAAAGACCTTAATTTAAAAAGGCCATGGTCTCCCACTTCATCCCAGGCCACTTCATCTTTCCCATCTATATCTTGCCACTGGACCCAGAGGGCTGCAGAGAAGAGAGAGGCTGAGTACTTTGCACAGTCCTCCCTCACTTAAATCCAATTTGTTTTCAAGTCATGGCATCATGTTCCTGATGTCATGGTCCTCTTTGAGAATGAAGGACAAACAACAACTCTGTATTTAACTATTTTGTTTACATTTTTATTTATTCACTTTATGTTTGTACTATGTATAAATGCTATATATATTCATATATGTCTCTTATTAGAATATAAATTGCTTGTGCGTAGGAATTATACTTTTATCCCCAGCCTAGCACAGTGCCTGGCAGGAGCTTAATAAATACTTACTGATTGTTGATTTTCCCTGGCAACTTCACAAGATAATAAGTTGCAGAATAGTTCTGATTTGCAATGATAGAGGGAGTTTCCTCATTGAGTCCTTACATAATGAAATATCAAGTCCTAACCAATTACACACACATATTCAACCCCTTACACATAAAATGTTTATAAACATATATTTTATATAAACATATTTTATACAATATAATAATTGTATGTATATATATTCATACACATATACATACACATGTGTATATACATATGTTGAATGTGCATATATATGTATATACACAATGCAATATAACTAACATATACACACATATATGTGTAATATAGATTACCACACACAAATGTGTATGGGGAGGGGGTGAGAAGAGAGAGCAGAGAAGAAGAATAGGTAGAAGAGATCTACTAAGAGTACTCGACTATAGAAAAAAGGCTTTTAAGTCTTTATAAGTCTTCCTTTGAGAGAAAACATATTACTTTAAAACATGTTAAAATTATAGAATAAAGCCAAATCGAATATTGCTTTACTCATGTCCAAGTGGGGAAATATCCTGATGTGGATTTTATTATGAAGGGTTGTTGAAAATACAGGTTCATTTTGCTATTCACACTAGTTTGTTAACAGTTTGCATGGGATGAAGGTGGGGTGTAAAATTGGTTTCTGTCTCCCAAGATTTATCTGGATTTCCAGGCATCAACGCAATTCCTTTTTGGGTTTGGGGTTCTCAGTTCTCATATGGTTTAAATCAGGGGTTCTTAACCTGAAGTCTGTGTAATAATTTCAAGGGAATGGGTCTTACATCTTTATTTAAATATACTGACTTCCTTTGTAATTATTCATTTTACTTTATGTACTTAAGACATTATTACGGCGCCCGGGTGTCTCCAGGCCGAATTTACCCCAAGAAAGCGGGCTGAGAAGCCTGCAGGCCCCAGACCCCTGAAAAAGAAGAAAAGCGGGAGAAGCCGGGAATGGAAACTTTCCTCACTACCCATAATCCTCTTCCCGGACTTCCGGGAGAGGCCAAGTCGCAGCCAAAGGAAAGCAGGTCTGACCCCGCCCCTCCCCCGCCCCCACCCCCTCCTGAGGAGGGGCTGTCTCGCCGAGTTTGGGACGGCCCACGCTGGAAGGGCATTTCCTCCCGCCTTCCTGTTCGTGTCCTAAGGCTGCTTCGTTTCGTGGGGGTGTTGGAAATGTGGTGGTACCGATTTATTCCACCAGGTGGATGGGTGTAGGGTTGTGCTCCAGGAGGGAAGACGATGGAGGAAGAGACTCCTGGAATCCGGAGCCTCCATAATTTTCTTTTTTGTGGGGGCGGGGTTGAGGCAGAGACCAGGGGTCGTGCCGCGTCCCGAGGCGAGCTATTCCATGCACTCACCGGCAGGGGTCGTCGCGTCAACGCTTCTCCCTCATCCCGGAAGGGGGCGCACGGTGGAGCCGCTTCGGCTCCGGGAAGGCGCGGCCTACTTCTCTTCCGCACCAAGTCGATTTCCGGTCCTGTGTCAGTCACTTCCGGGGGTTTGTAGCTCTTTCTCTGGGAGGCTGGCGGTTCTTGCAGAGCCGCTGCCGCAGATTGGATCGAGGTTCTCAGCGGAGTCTTTGGATGGGGAGGCCACCTCTGTGCTGCGGACGATGCTGGCGGACGACTCCGGATCCCAGGAATGTGAAGCGAAGGGTGCCGGAGCCGCCGGATTGCCACCGCCGCCTGCCATAGACTTCCCCCAGGAGGCGTCGGACATTCGATATGATGGTGAGCGGACCTGGGCTCTGGGAACGTAGGCATCTGGACTGTACCTAGGCCCGGGGGCCCCGTTATCTCACAACGTCGGTGGTGGGAAGAGATGAAAACAGCACAAAGCAGAACAAAACAAAATCCCAGTTAGCCGAAGCAGGTCTTCAGCACTTCTCCCCAGCGCTAGGCACAGTAGAACCTTGTAATAATTTGAACTAAATGCTTTTTTTCTCCAAACCTACTGCATCCTTCCTTCCCCGTTCCTCTCTCCGTCACACACACATTCCTGCACACATACACATACGCACACTTCACTTTCTATCCTTTTGTCAGACATGTCTCAGCTTGTGCGCTTGTCCCAGAGGTTCAGGTGACAGCTGAGAGCTTGAGATGAAGGAACCAGGTAAATCGACGTGCGCAAAACTTGTCTCCCTTAGAGACCAAAAATTCGATATGCTTTTACCTCGAAAGAATAAATGAAAACGCATTTATTACTGCTGAGGTAAAAGGTCAGTAAATAATTTTTTTAGTGTTGATGTTGTCACCAACCCCTTGGCATCTTTGGACAGCCATAGCAGCTGTTAAGCTTTACTGCTCGGTTCATGTTGTTATTTGCTTCCTTGACAGTGATGTAACTAAAGACTGCTTAGAGTGATGCAACATAACCCATTCAGCTTTTTATCAATTGCGAAGTACAACCAGAAGGAAATGCAGGGCTTTGTGCCAGGAGTTAAGGGTTTTGGTTTTAAATATACCTTTGTCTCAAGAAATTTATAATCCAGAGGAGAAAGGTGACCAACCTTTGTAGATATGACATCACTGAGACAACAAACCTATTCTATAGAAAATATAAGGGGGATTGGAGAATTGGACTGAAACTTGAACAAGTTCAAATTACCTAGCATTTTAGTAAAGGAACGATATGTTCTTATGCTTTTAGGTGGCATTTGGAATGAAGAACATTGGCTAGGTTTTACTGGAGTTTGAATAAAATGCCTATATAGAATATGTCAAATTTTTTTGAGTTTAAGACATATAGTAAATGTCATCATGTATACTACATATTTGATAACCAAAAACTAAATTATTTTAAAATCCTTTTATAGCAGTAAATGCTAGGACATAAATGACTTGCCTCAAGTTATTTAATAAGAGTAGTACATCTTATAATATGAGGTAGTATATAACACTTTATATAATTTCTTCACCCACAGAAGAAAATAGAAGTAAGAGAATATGCGTATTATTATACTTGGTATTTTAAGTGGGAGTCAGAATGGTATAGAGGCAAGTATAATGGTTATGGAGTTAGAGGACTTGAATTTTGAGTATGGCTCTTACCCTTATTACCTGTGTGACCTTAGTCTGGATTTCAGTTTCTTAATAGGTAAAATAAAGGAGTTTGACTAGATGACCTCTAAAGCTATTTAATGCTCTAAATCCGTAATTCGTTTGTTCCCATTTGTAAAGGGAAAATTGCAAATTTTATCTTCATTTTTAATGGACAAGATGGCAAGTTTAAATGAATTTGCAAAAATGTAAAGCCTTAGATAATCCAAGAAAGAACTTCATCTGTAAACATGTAAGCATACCTTGTCTGTAGTCTTGTGATAAGGTTTTCTGTGAACTCAAGATTACTCCTAAAAGGAGTAAACTGTGGTTACCTTGTAAAAAAAATTTTTCTTCTGAGACTGGGTTATTAATAATACTGTTGAGCTTACATAGAACCTGTTCTTTTGAGAGTCTCATAGTATGCATAAACATCTTTTAAAAAATTTATACTCTAGAGAGTAAAGACGATACAGGAGGTGTTTTTCCATTTTCTTAAATGAAGAAACTGATACAGGGAAGTTAAATGATTTACCCAAGTTACTTAATAAGAGAGTAATGCATAATAATATTAGCTTTTCCCACTTTTCTCAGACTGCCAAACTCCCAACCTTTAATCTACTAATCCACTTAAGAAAAGAACTATATAATGTGAATTGTTGTTAATATTCATGAGAGCAATAATAAGCTCCTCTTCATTTCCTGCATTTGTGTTGGAGCTCATAGATTTATAGCTATAAGGTCATCTAGTCCACCCCCCTCGTTTGCAGCATTTAACTGGCCTAACTTAAAGTTTGTCCAAGTCAGCTGTGAAGTAGATGGTGTGGTTCTGCCTTTACTGAATTCTGAGAGTCATAACAGTGACTCTTAAAAAATATCACCTTTCCAAAATAACCCAATTTTATACAGCATTTTAAGACCTCCAAAGCACTTTTCTCAGAACTATGTGAGATGGGTATATTTAAATTTCTTTATCCTCCTTTTTTACGGATAAGGAAAATTAGAGATTCATAGAGGTTAGACAGAGGTAGTAAGTTGCAGAGCTGCTGGGTCTTGAACCCAGGTTCTTGGATTTAAAATCTAGTGTTCCTCCCACAGTACTATAATGTGCTTTTTCATGAACTCCTTTGGCTCTCACAACAACCCTGTGAAAGTGTTTCAGATGAGAAAACAGACTCAGCAAGGTTAAGTAGTATACTAAGTATACTAAATACTAAGTAGAGCTGTTTCACTTTCTCCCTCAACCTTTGACTGCCCTACTATTTCCCTCCTTTCTACCTCAGAATATCTCTACCTTCCTATCCTCAGAAGTCATTTCCTTCCTGCCTCGTAAGGAAACCTGTCTCCTCTTCCTTGTCAATAATTGTCAAGGGAGTAATCTACTACTTTCATTTCCTTGATACTTGTTTCTTAACATCTTGCCAGGCTGGTTTTTATCTTTACAATTCCACTAAAAGAATTTAGTCTCCCTATTTTCAGTCTTCATCCTTCCAATTTTTCCTTTACATTGTTAAACAGCTTAATCTTCCTTATGTACAAATCTGATCTTGTTACTCCTATTCTCAAAATTCTTCCATAAAATAAAATTTAAAAAAAAAACTTTTTAGCCTGTCATTTAAGACCCTCCATAGTTTATCTTTTTAGCCTTATCTCTCACTATTCCTCTTATAATCTGTGCTGCAGCCAAATTAGATTACTTGTGCTTGTCTCATCCCTGCTTCACCATTCTGGTTATGCCTTTGCTATGCCTAGAATGACAGCTTTGCCTTCCCCCTAAACTTCATTTTGGTCTTCACTTGTTAAAGTTTTACCCATCCATGAAGACCCAGCTCATATGCCTCTTTCTTCATAAGGATTCCCGATTTTTTCACCAGCAAGCCCCTACTCTCCCTCCCTTCCCAAGTATTTATTTTTGCTTCGCTGATTTCTATGTACTAGAATCATAGACCTAGACCTGTAATGGAGTTGGAGGCCATATAGTACAATACCCTCACTTTTTATATGTGGAAATTGAGGCCCCTGGAAGGTTAAGGGACTTGACTGAGGTTACATGGGTAGTGTCAGTGGTGAGGTTTGAACTCACGTCCTCTGACCCCAGAGAAAAGCCAGTGTTCTTTCACTGTAGCTCTCATTGATATTGTTTGTTCAGCTTTGTTTGGAGAGATTTAATGGGAATAGCACAGGACTTAAGAGTTGTAAGACTTGGTCTCAGTCCAGACAGTCACTTGCTAGCTCGTTGACTGTGACACTCCTTGTACCTTAGATTTTTTTAATTTGTAAATGGAGATAATTATACTTGAAATAGTTATATCTCACAAGGAAAGTATATTGTCAACAATGAACTGCTGATATTATTTATATGTATTGTTTCTCTCTTTGCTAACTTGTTAGTTCTTTGAAAGCAAGGGCTTTCAAAGGGCTTAATTTATTCTTTGTATCTTGTCCAGGATGTGCTCTGTACACAGTAGACATATATACACGCCTACAATAGTAGAGTTATAGAATGTCAGAACTGCAAGAGACTTTAGAAGTAATCTAGGTCAACAAGAGGTTAAAGGTGATAGGTTAAGTGGCAAAGACTAGGATTTGAGCCTGGGTCTCAAATCTAGGTCTAACTCAGGGCTCTTTCAATATGATAATATTGATTTGAATTAAAAACTGTCCTCCCTAAGGTTACCAGTGACCTTTTAGTGGAATCCAGTGCTTTCTTTGCAATTCTTATCCTTCTGAACCTTTCAGTTGCATTTGACTGCATTGACTATGCCTAGTTTCTTGAGCTTTCTTCTATTTTTCTTTAACATTTGTCCTATTTTTCCTTCTACTACTGTTGGCTTTACTCATTTTTCTCATTCTTATCCATTAACCATTCCTCCTAGATCTTCTCATCTTTTTTCTAAGTACACTTAGTAACTTAAGGCTGTCACTCTGTGGTTTCAACTAACCAGTGTATTTTTTTTTCCTATTAAACATATTTTCACATTAGTGATGTTGTAAGTAAGAATTAGAACCAATAGGAGGAACCACCAGAAAGAGGAAACAAAACTCAACAGAAGAAAAAAAAATAGCAAATAGATCTGCATTCAAACTCCATATTTCTTTCTTTAGATGTAGATAGCATTTTCCATCATGAGGCCTTTGGAGATGTCTTAGATCCTTGTATTGCTGGGAAGGGTTAAGTTTTTCAATATTAGTCATCTCACACCGTGACTGTTATTGTGTGCAATATTCTCCTGGTTCTGCTCACTTCTCTCATCATCAGACCGTACAAGTCTTTCCAGGTTTTTCTGAAGTTAGTCTGTTCATCATTTCTTACAGCACAATATAACCAGTGTATTTAATTGTCAAAATTTCCACCCCATGTACCTGTTGTACCTGGGGTCCTTTCTTATTTTGCCACTAGGCTACAGGACATTTTCACTTGACTGTCTCACTGACATCTGACGTGTTGAAAATGGAGTTTATCTTCCCTTTTCACAATCATTGATTCCTAATTTCTTGATGTTACTATCAATAATACCAGCCTTTGAGTTCCCCATGGTTGAAGTCATGGTGTTATCTCTCCCATTGCCCACAGTTAACTCATTTCTAAGGTTTTGAGTTTTTCCTCCTCTATCTTTGGATTTGTTGCTTTATTTCCACAGTTAGCAGATTTACTCTATTCTTGGACTATTGCAATAGCTTCCTAGCTTATATCCCAATTTAGACTCTAATCCCACAAAACATTTTAACATAACTGCTAGAATAATTGTACTCATACACACTTCATTATTTTGTTCCCCTACTTAGGAGTTTACAGTGGTTTGTTATATGAAATAATAACTATTCTGCTTTGTCTTCAAGGCCTTCTAACCAAATTGTTCTGTGCCCCAATCACACCAACTTTATTTCTTATGTATTTCTCAACATGGAATTATCCTTGTAGCTAAGCAGATATGTTTACCATCTCCCCACTTAATTGTTGCTGCCCTCGTGCCTAAATGCGCCTCTATTCATGTTATTCTCTATCCTACCCCTCACGCTGTACATGCCCTCCTACTTCTCTGCCAGGCTTTGTTCCTCCTTTTAGAATGTAACTTAAAACCCTTTGCCAGGGAATTTTTCCTTATTTAACTTCACTCTGCTCTGAATTTTGTTATTCTTGTCTTCAGACTTAAATGTTTAATAATGTGTGTATTGTTATTATTGTTTACTCACACATGTATTTTTTATCATCACAGAAAATCCTTATGATTCATTTAAAATAGGTATTCCTTTTTTATTTTATTTTTAGAATCTGATGTTCCTGCAGAACTCCAGGCTGTGAGAGGACCTCTACCACACTCAACTTTTCCCTCTGCAATTGCAAACCAACTATTGCTTGTTTCTTTGTTAGAGCACTTGAGCCATGTTCATGAACCAGATCCCCATCGTTCAAGACAGGTGTTCACATGTTAGTAAGAATAAACCAACTTCATTTACTGCAGTTTGTAAAAACCAGATAATTTGTTTACGTGTTGGAGGTTTGTTCTAGCTGTTAGAAAAATGTAAGTGTATATGTGTGTATGCACTTGTATGTGTATGTATACATATGTGTATGTTTTATTGTGCGTGTGTATTATATGTATGTGCATATATCCACAGTATATATACATTTATCAGAATTTTACCTGTTTTCTAAAAGTAATTCACTTTTATATAGTTCTTTAAGATATGTAAAATGTTTCCTACCTTTTGAGGTAGGTGATATATAGAAATAGTTTAAAAGTCTAGTCTTGTCTCTTTGTGCTATTATAGTCAAGATTTCTAGTCAAATAATTATTTTTTCTACATTGTTTTTATAGTACTTTGTCAGACTTTTACCAAAATGGGGCTGTTGTCTTCCTTCGCCTGCAGTGAAGAATTTAGTTCTTTGAGGCTGCATCACAACAAAGCTATTACTGAATTAATGAGAATAGCTAAGCAGAGAGTTCTTGAGGTAATTTCTGTACTCCCAATCTCTCTTTTTATTATAATAGTATATTTGAATTCAAAGTCAAAATTATATGTTAAAACACCTTGAAATCTCCATGTAAAAATAATATCCAATGAAAATAAAGACTTTCCCCTTATTTAAAAGCTCTAACTTTGTAGAAGGAAACCAGGAGCATTGCTAATACTTTTTGTTGAGGAAAACATCTACCCTGCTTTTAATGAAACCTGTTATTATCATTGAAAGCTTATTAGATTTTTTCCCCCCAGGTAGCTAATGTACTTGGAATTATTGGTTAATATATTGTTGTTTAGCTTTTGTTCATTGAATCATTTACATTTTATATGGGAATTATTTAAGGAAAAGCTAAGATCATTTTTTATAAATTTAAAATTGATTTTTCTTTTTTCTTTTCTTTTTTTTTTTAGGCTCAACCTGAAGGATACTGTCCTGTTCATAAAGCCAGGTATTTTCTTATGCTTTTTTGATCATCATAAGTCGTAAACAACTTATTCAAGGGCCCCAAATTTTTCAGGCAGTGAAACACTATTATACAGAATACTGGCATCTGAAGTATCTAGTCCTCTAGGTTCTTGGGTGTGGCCTTTTGACTGAGTCCTGAGTTTTACAGAACAAATCCTTAATAATAAGGGGATTTATTTTGTGAAATTTGGGTTCAGTCATAGGGCTGCAGTTGAGGACTTTGAAGGTCACATGTAGCCTTGAGGCCGCAGGTTCCCCACCCCTGATCTAGTCCCCTTAGGTAATGCTATTGAATTTGAGCTTACTGAAGCTGTAAAAAAAGGCTAAATTAGAAAATAACTTTAAATGGTCACTTTTTTGGTCTTTAAGTACATACAATAATTGTAACTGGATAACCAACTGTGACTCAGTAGAAGTCCTTAAAGGACCTGCTTTAAAGAGAAGTTATTATTTAGATATACCTACATAAGTATGTGCGTGTGTGAGTGTGGGTCTGTGTCTGTCTGTGTGTATGTGTGCGCTTGAGTGTGTGCACATATATATCCATACACGAAACAAACTTTTCCAAGATATTTGAAGGTACTGGAGAAAAATTTGTCATCTCAGCTTAATACTCTACCTCCAATACCATTTACACTATTCATTTGCTTATCAAAGAACTTTATAAATAGTAGAAATAGAAACCTCAACTCAGCCCCTATCGTAGTTGTCACCAGTTGCAAATCTGAAGTAGACTCCAAATTAATCAGATTTTGCTGTAATTTTAATTTGAACAATGCTACAAGCATATAAGATATCCCACATAATAGTAATTTTGTTTTGTTTTTTTTAACTTTTAGAGCAAAAGAGGTGGTCTTTGAAGCACAAACTTCTCGTTATCTAAATGAGTTTGAGGAAATTGCTGTCCTAGGAAAGGGCGGGTATGGGAAAGTATACAAGGTGATTATACTTTTAAACTAATTCAGATTTCATGATCTTTAACAAAAGTGAACACTCGAATTGAAGTTTCCAAAAATAACTTAAATTAGGATCTTATTAAGATCTATAATATATTTACAGATAAATTAAATTTTTGGACATAATTAAATAATTAGAATTGAAGTTTCTTTTGACCAGGTTCATTGATTCAGGTAGGGTCCTCAGATTTTGTCATTTTATTCAGGAGTTTCTTTATATTATTAATCCACCATCTCAGAAGTGTCAGACTCACAGCCTCACATATAGCCATAATATTCTGAAGCAGATTAAAATTTATAATTTGGAAATGTTTCAGAAAATAAATAAAAATACAATACAGTATAGATGATGTAAATTTGTGATTTTCTATATCAGTATACAGTCCACAAAGTTTTATTTCTATTTGAGTTTGACATCACTGTACTATACTATTTTGGCCTTAGGCTACCTCTTCCTGAGCTGCATTTGCAACCATTTAATTAAATCTGGAAGGAGAGGCAGCTTGGTGTGGTTGAAAGAGGTCTGAATTTGAAGTCCAAAGATGTGGGCTTCAGGCCTGTCTCTGTCACTTACCTATGTTACCTTGGGCAAGGGTCAGTTTAACCCTTTTGGAGCCTCACTGTCAAATGAAGAGGTTGGACTAGATGAAATGGCAAGGTTCCTTCTAAGGAACCTCTTAAGTCCTATGCTCTTAAGCTTCAAGCTCTGGGGAATCTCTGTTCATTCTCAGACCCAAATCTAGTGCCACCCCTTCCATGAAATGTATCTTGATTTTCCCCTTCCCCTCAGACTCTCCCTGAAATTGATCACCTCTTCAAATAAATGTTTGTTGAATGGAATGGGTTCATGAAAAGCATTAAATATCATTAAATGCACCCGCTCCAGTTCTGAATTTTCATACTTCTGCTAGAACACAGAGCCTAAAACATACAAAAATATATTAAAAATTCAAATTTGGATTCACCTAATTAGTTTAGATTCTCTGAAATATATGAATGTATTTGTGTCACTGACATATGATAATTTTTATCTTTTCTATACATTTCAGGTCAAGAACAAATTAGATAGGCAATTTTATGCAATTAAAAAAATTCTGATTAAGAAAGCCACTGAAAAGGATTGTATGAAGGTGAGAATTTTTAAGCCTTTTGAAAAAGACTTTAATTTAATCTAATATTCTAATTGAATTGTATATAGACAAATCGACATATAGATAATGTACATAAGAATCAGGTTTCAAATACTTGGACTGTGATAAAATATATTTAACACTAAACTGTCCAGAATATAGTTTCATTTTTTATTTGGTGATTTAGATCATGATCTAGCAGTGCTTCCATGTCATGTTTGGGAAATTGAAAAAATAAATGTCTACTATCAGCACGTTTACTTTGTAATAAAGGGATGCAGCTGTTATGAAAGAGTGTAGTGGTAGATGTTCCAAGACTTAGAATTCAGCTCTAGAAGTTTCACCATTGACTTTCTGGGTAACATTAGACTAGTCGTTTACCCCCTCTGTTTTGGTTTCCCTACATGTAAGATGGGGATAAGTAATGCTTGTCTCTCCTATCTCATCTGACATTCCAGGGAAGACTGTATGAAAGTGTTTTGAAACATACACGGTGTGAGATACTGTTTGTATCACGTTCATTAATAATTGGTATTTATTTCCTTTCCATAGTAAAAAATGCAGAAAAATTTTCTGTTCAAGCATTGGAATTCCAAAAACCCCAGAAGTTTCATATATTTTGTTCTAGAACAAACATAAGCAGCTTTCTTTTCCAGGTACTTCGGGAGGTTAAGGTGCTGTCGGGTCTGCAACACCCTAACATTGTAGGCTATCACACAGCTTGGATAGAACATGTTCATTCAGCCCAACCACAAGGTGAACATTTATTTGATCTCACAGTTAAATGTTTCTGTTTTGGAACTCCTCCTAAAAACACATGGCAGTCATTTGAATCAACTTGGCTCTTTTGTACCTTACCAGAATGACATGCTTATTTTCACAATTGTAAATTAACATTTTTGCCTGTATTTTTAGCAGTAGTTTGGTAAATTGAGCTTTGTGAATATAATTTTTTTTTTCACTTTAAGTTTGAGCAAAGTGTGTCTCTAATCTGAGCCAGAGAGGTGTGGTGAAAAACTGCTGGATTTGCTGTGAGAGGACTTGGATTTGAATCCTGGGCCTCTTTATTTTGTATTGCCTTTGTGAAGTTGGTCAAGTCCACTTGATCTCTCTGGTCGTCAAGTTTCTCATTTGTAAAATGAGGGAGTTAGATTGAGTGGCTTCTGCAATCTCTTCCAGCTACAAATCTATGATCCTATATGCTTTTTCATAAATATCATTATACTTTTGAAGACCTTACATTTCTCTGTGTTGTTTTTTTTTTTTACCCAACAGATAAGAGACTTTCTGTTGTCAAGTTGCCATCTCTCCAGTTGGTATCTGATGAGACAGAGGACAGGTACAAAAAAGGGTTAAATATTTGGACTCTTGTAAGTGGGTATGGTACTTCCAAAAATATATAAATATGTCGAGTATTGCTTAGTGACTCTTGCATTGTTACTATTATTTTTTGCTGTTAGGAACCAAGTAGTAGTACCATAATTGAGCCATCCCTTCCTTTTGTTTATTTCCATTCTAAGGCATAAATTCTGTTTTCCCTCTCAGATTATCTCCTATCAGTATTTAAATAGACATTGTGACTTAGAGGTGTTTGACTTAGGGTACTGTTTTGTTACACACTGTCTTCTGCACATTGATTCTACATTGTCTTTCTTTTACTTTAGAGATCAGTGTCATGTTCAAAGTGATGAAAGTAGTAGCTCATCCATTATTTTTGCTGATTTGGACTCAGAAAAAGAAAAATGCTTTGTAGAAACTTGGGTTGACAATCAGAATAACAAGTTAGTAAACTATACTGATTTGATCACGAGAGATGCCAGTGAATATGAATCACAAGAAAATTGCTTAGTTAATACATCTACTCGATCACTTGTTAAGCGTCATATGCTGCAAGAGAATAATTCGTACCTAGAAGAGAACTTTACATCCACTGAAGAATCTTCTGAAGAAAACTTAGCCTTGCTTGGGCAAACTGAGGTAGGTAGGCTGCCCCTACCCCAATTGATCTTATACATATTAATTATGATTATAGAAGTAATTGTTAACATTAATTTGTTACAAAAGATAAGTTATGAGTTAACTTGCCATTTTGGAATAGAGGCTTGGCATTTAAAAAGACTTTGAATTTAGTTTGTGATTTATTAAAAAAATTATGTACAGTGTGAAAAATCCAAATAATTATGGACTCAGTATATCCAGTGAATGGGTATCACAGAAAAAGCAGATCTCTTTTGAAGCAGATCTCTTTTGAAGATCTCTGATCTTAGTGCTCAACCTTGATTACTCAGCAAATCTAAAACTATCCAAGTGGTAATGCCTAGTAAATCATGAAACATTGTATCATTATTTGATTTGTTAGGTGAAGTATCACCTCATGCTCCATATTCAGATGCAACTATGTGAAATCTCTCTTTGGGACTGGATTATTGATCGAAATAAAAATAAGGGATCATCTGTAGTTGAACCTTCCTGTAAGTTTTATAGTATATTTTATGTTCAAATATCTGCGTTGAAAAACTGAAATCAGTCAATTGTTTTGTTTTACTTTCATTTTTAAAGTTCATATAGTGTTACATATATGTTTCAGACATTAGAAATAGAAAGATGTATTTTTATATCAGTACTCTTCCTGTAATCTAAATTGGATTTGTTAATCTAACTTTGAGTATATTATTTTATTAATGCCTAAAGATTGGAAGAAAATATTTTTCTTAAAAAATGTAAATTTTCAAGTGCTCTAGTTTACTTTTGTATGGACTTATTTATTAGGGATTTATGCTCTCCTATTTTCACAAGCATTTGAGGGAACTCACAAAATTAAACATGACGTATTTAAGGATAAAAATAGAAGAGAGGCTAGCTAAAAGATCGGAGTGAATTTTTGTTACCAAGTGCCTGAGGTAAACTTATTGTTGTAGTTGGACACTAAACTTGGCTGAGTTCCCTAGCAGCTTTCTGTAATTTCTGATGCCAGATCAAAATAACCCAGACAAATTTGTCTGCAGAGTAAATTTTTCCTAGAATTAAATTCAAAGAGTTTATCATGTAAAGCTTGTTGAATATTGTGTAATACTAGATAATGTTTTCTGTCATAGTTTGGCAAAAGACAGATCATATTCAAATGCATTTTTTACTTAATGTAACTCTAAAGTCTGAGGGCATAATATTAAATCATAGTGAAGGAAGGGTTGAGCTAATTTGACAAAGCTGCTCTCTTTTCTGGTTATCTAATTTAATAGTATTAGAATTTGAAGTCTCTGTAAGGATGTATAATTAACATTAATCACATTTTCTAAAATCTTAGATTTTAAAAAAACCCCAACAACACAAAAATAAGTTTAATGATACTTTCAGGTTTTTTTTTGATAGTCCTTTATGGAAATTTTCTCCCATTTCCAAACTGAAACTTCCCTTGTAAGAACAATCAAGCAGGGGGCAGCTAGGTGGAGTAGTGGATGAAGCACCGGTTCTGGAGTCAGGAGGACATGAGTTCAAATCCGGCCTCAGACCAAACACTTGACACTTACTAGCTGTGTGACCCTGGGCAAGTCACTTAATCCCAACTGGCCTAAAAATTAAAAAAAAAAAATCAAGCAAAAATACCTGAATATCTGATTCAGAGGAGACATGGCTAAATGTTAGACTGTTGTCAGTTCATGATTTATAGTCTCTAACAGTAGTCTGTAATGCAAGTAGGCCATCTTATTGGTAACATGGGCAGCCATATTCTTTAGGTACTAGCTGTGAGAATGCATAGTTGTCATTCTGTCATGAAAGTTTAAAAGTATGACTTGTGTTCCTATTCCACAAGTACTTAGCAGTGTTTGGGTACCATTAAATAATCAGGAAGGAAAGTAGTTTTGCCATATTAACTCAACCCAACTCATTTTTTGTCTGGCATTTTGTCTGTATGTGGGGCTTTTCCACTTCACCACAGCATAGGCAGTATGGCAATATGGGCAAGCTAATATTTTCTTTCAGGAAAGTCTGATTCTTCTCAAGCACTTGCACAAACTAACTTGGGTGGGCCCTAAGAGTTCTGTGCCTTACAGCATTGAAGTGATGATGTCAGCCTGAAACATTTTTAGGGAAGTATCATCTACGAAGGATAGTTTGTAGTTGAAAGCAGAGCTGCATATACTGGAGTCCATGGATAGATTTCAAGGGGGCTGTGAAATTCATTTTCTGTGTAATCTTATGTATTTTATTTTGTTAATCTAAAAACATTATTTTGATAAGTCCATCCATAGGCTTCACCAGACTGGCAGAAAACAGGTTTAACCCCTGCAACTGTGAATGTGATTTAATAGTGACTTAATAGCATAGTGAATAATCTGCTAAACTTCTATAGATTTCAAAAGTCACTGATGCTTTTTCTAATTTATTTTCATAGGAAATTATTTGTCTATAAATTCACTGAGAATTTCATTATTGTTGTTGCTTGTTTATATGGGATCACTAAACCATGGGATAAAAATAAATCAGTTGTTCAGATAACTGAAGTACACCCTTCAAGTGCATGCTTTTTTGGTGTTTTAACCACAGTAAAATGGAAGTAGTGTTAAATCTGGACTGATAAGAAAACTGGGTTTAAATCCAAGTTGTAACTTTTAATATGGCCTTGACCAAATTACTTAAGCTTCCTCATATGTAAAATGAAGAGCTTGGAGTCAGGGACCTCTTAAGTCCTTTTCCCTTAAATATTAGACCCACATTCTCTGGTTCACCTTCGGATGAAAACATGGTCAGTTTCTCCCTTGCAATATTGTTGAGAGGGAAGTAGTAGAAAAATGTTAGTTGTTGTTATACTATTTTAAATAGTAATTGTAAAAAGATAATAATTACATAAGTATGTAACTTGGTTTATTATGATTGTCATATTATTGTTAACATACCCTTAATAATTATTGTAGTAATAAACCATCTTATATATTTCCCTGTCTTCTTGAAAAGAGTATGTTCATTTAACCTCTATTTGGTGGCTCAAGGTCATAATCATGACTATCGGTTGTTCTTCAGGCATCAGGAAAGAACTAATATAGAATGTAGTATTTGAGCTGAGCTTTGAAGGAAACAGGATTCTAAGAGACAGAGGTGAGGAATCAGGGCATTCCAGGCTGGGGCTCAGCCAGTGCAAAGGCATGGAGTTGGGAAATGTCTTGTGTTTGAGGAACTGCAAGAAAATTAGTTTATCCGAACCATATAATGCATGAAGAGTAGTAAGATCTGTCTCTGCTTTTTATATATTTTCACCCTCCTCACAGGCTTTCAAAAGTGACAGCTAACTGTTATCTTTCCCTATAGAAGTTTGCTGCTTCCAGTCTGTGACCTGAGAAATGATATAACCAAGCATGTTAGCATATGTATTAAATAAGAGTAAATAATCTCCGAGTTAAAGTCTAAGAATTTCTCCTGTAAGGTAATTTAGTTAAGCAAAACTCATTGGCTTTGGTGTATTGGTATTTTGACATTTGGTGGCTCAGAATTCTTTTTCACTTTAGATCTGTGAGTTTTTTTAAGTGGACTGAAGTCATTAGGGTGTTATTGTATGTTGCATAAAAGTGTATGTAAAACATAAAGCTGTAATGTTACACATTCTGTATGTGGGGTGTTATTGTATTTAGAGCTCATTTGAATAAGAATAAGAATAAATAAAACATAATTTATCCCTTTCCCCTCCAAGGTCCTTATGTTATGGGCAGTGTTGCAACAAAAATTTTTCGAGAGTTACTGGAAGGTGTATATTATATACATAACATGGGAGTGGTACACAGAGATCTCAAGGTAAGTTGGAGAAACTAAAGGATTTAAAGAAATGATAGCTTCTTTTAGAGCTTATAACATTAGGGTTTCATTGGAGTAAATGAATCTTTTTTAGGAAGTTGTTTAATCTATGGACATTTAATTTTGATTCTGTCTTTCCCTTATTCCAAATCATTGCAGACTCAGAACCGGAAAATGTTTAGATTAAGTTAAAAAAAAAAAAACAACAGGCAGTGAGAAATGAAAATACTGCATCTCATATTACTCTTATATTAAAGAATCCAGGTGTTTAGTTATCTTATGTGCAGTGGTGCAATGGAAAGAGCACTAGGTTTGGCATCAAAAGACCTGACTTAGAATCTCAGCTCTGCCTCCTGTGTGACCTTTGTACAGTCACTTAACCTCTTCGGACCTCACAATTTCATCAACTGTACAATGGAAGGGTTGGTTTAAGTGACCTCTGTGGTCTTTTACACTTCTAGAGCAATTATCCTATGATCATTACTATAAATGATCACTGGAAATGTGGTTATGACCAGTGAAAATGCTTTGTGAACTATAGACATATTTGCAGCCTTACAATTTGATGATGCATTTATCTATCTCAAAGGCATTTTATTTGGGTAATTGACAGCTAACTTAAAAAGGAAATCTTTTAAAGTCACTGTACTTTTCTTTTGTTCTTCACATTTTGATTACCCAGAATGATATACATCCATATTTCAAGTAGACATCTTAAGGAAGTCTTGGACTCTCTATTGCTATAGAGTTTTGAACTTTTCTGTTAAAAGCTTAAACTCTTCTTTTTACATAGAGATTAACTAGATCACGAAAAATTATGTTTTCAAAAGAAAAACACCTTTGAAAACAAAATTAATACTGTAAATCATTTTTTATTTATTGAAAAAGGTTTAAGAATCAATGGTTTGTACATCCAGGATGTACAAAGTGCTGCAAATTGTCTTCTCTAACCAGAAGATGCTATTTGAGTTGCTGAAATGCTATGGAACTATGAGGTTTTATTTCAAGAGTTGGGATAGGTCACAGTAACTGTATATAGAATCCCATATCTTCAGTGGGAGAAGTTGTTTTAAGTGTTGTTTATATTTTTCTCCATAAAATTTTCTGATGTTATTTTTACAGATCACCTGTAGGGATAAAGGTTTTTGTGATAACCTTATTAGGGTTTCCTTTAATGGATGAAATTCTGGTAGTAGAAGTCCTGTGGGTAGAATTCCTTGATTGTTGGTCAGTTTCAGAGGATAAGAGAGATAGAGGAGCTTGTCAAGCAGTGTTGTATCTCTTATATTGGATCTACGCTGAAGAAACATAAAAATTGGAGCTTCCCCATTTCTTGTTAAGATATTAACATCTGCCTCAAATTCAAGTAGTAGATTAATTATTGCTTCTCTGCCTCCAAAACATGCTTCATGTATAGCAGTTTGTCCTTCATGATCCTGGGCATTTACTTTTGCTTCATTAGTTAAAAGTAAACGGATACAGCTTATATCTGCTGCCAATAACCTGCCTGCTTTAGTTGATGCAGCACATACAGCCAGTTTAAGGGCAGTATTCCCGGTAGCAGGGACAGTACAATTTACATTTGCTCCACAAGCAATTAGAGTTTTAGTCATCTCCTTGTTCAGTATGCCAGCAGCCATGTGAAGGGGTGTCATGCATGATTCATCAATGGCATTGACATGAGCACCATTCTGGGTTAGAATGGAGAGAACTGGAAAGGTACCATAGCGTATGGCCAGATGGAGTGGTGAATATTTGCAGTCGTTGTCTACTCGAGCATTAACCAGAGCTCCGTGCTCACATAAGATATGAAGACACATTACAGCATGATTCTGTATATCTGTGAGGATTCTCTGAATACGGTTTACTGGTTCTGTCCAAGTGGCAGGGGTAATTGGCCAGTGTAGGAGCATGAGATGAAGTGTGGTGTGACCTCTGGTGTCCCTATAACATGTATCGATCACAAGTTAGCTCTAAAATGTGCATTTAATAAATAGAGGGGGCATTTGGATAGGTACTAAATGCTGGCAGTTGGAATTGTTTTAAGTGAAACAGGTACCAAGAATGGTAGACCTATAGACCCAGTAATTCAGGAATTAGTGAGGCCTTCTGTTCTAAATCTCCTACCACTCTGCTGACCCAGATGGAAGGTGGGTCAGGTTCCACATCTGATTCTGTTGCCAAAGTTATAACTAAGATGATCTCCCACATTTCTTTATGTTGGAGAAGAAATGCAAATGTTTCTCTTGTAAAACAAAACCCAGTTTTTTCCACCATATTTTAAAAAATGCCTTTGGTTCATTAGTGTGGTTATATCTTTCAGAATAAAAAAGAATCCCAGTTGCACTTAGTATCATGTAGTTTAGTTTTTAATATTTACTTTTTGCATGTGTTCATTCAGCATACCCAGCTAGACTGTAAGCTTCTTGAGGTCAGGAACCATTGTTTTTACTGTTGAACACACTGTAGACATTCAACAAATAACTTATTTTTGTCAGACTTTGCGCTCTTATTGCTATAGTAAACAGTGTTTTGTTTGTAGGCACCCAGATTCTCTTGATCATTAGGTTAATGAAGTAATCAAATCATTAAAGTATAACCCTTACTAGTCATACAATCTGTATATAAAGAATGAGTCAAGACATACCTGAAGAAAAGTCATATCCTAAACTGTGAGCTTCCTTAAAACATATTCTTAAGAGTAGTTTTGACAGAATACGTAACAAATGATTACCTAATGGATAACTTACCTTATTTCTGGATCAGCACCATGTTCTAGCAAGCAAAGCAAACTTTGTGCTTTTCGATATTTAGCAGCCAGATGAATGGGAATGATAGATTGTGTCTGCATATAAGCAAAGATACTTGAAGGAAATAAGTTCACTTTGATCATATGGTTAGTCACTTTAAATATTAGTTGACATATTTACTAGTATGATTTTTTTAGTATTCAACTATGCTCCAAATTGAATAAATTATTTGTTTCTTTTTATTATTATAAATGACCACAATACTGTTCCAATTTCAAATTACACAGACAAGGCTACATTTTGCCCAAAATATTCATTTGTAGAGGTGACTGAAAAGAACTGTGCTTATTTTCCTAACAGTTATACTTTTAAAATGATAATTACTTTAAAGTAATTTAATCTCTAAATTAACTCAGTGGGTGAAATGGTTGAGAACTAGAGATTTTGCTTTTAAAAGGGTATTGATAAAGTCAACAATCAGCAGTAAAAACTGCACACTTGATTAGGTTTCAGAAATACAGTGTGTGCTTTGTATGATTAGTATAACTATTTGTGTACCAATTATTTTTGAAAGTTATGACCCGATATTTTTAGACCTCCTGTATTTGGAAACATATATCTTGTCTTCAAGATAAGGAAGGTGGGTGGGATCAAAGTAAAGAGTGACTTGTATTTATATATAAGTAAATATTACTGATATACTTTATTTTTATATCATCTATATTTCCCAGTGTATCTCTCCCTGAATCCCTTTTAACAAAGAATTAAAAAGATGGGGGGAAACTGTTTAGCAAAACTGAACAACAAAGTCTGATACTATATGCAGTGTTCCACAACCATAGTTTCCTATCTCTGTGCTGCAAATTCGGGAGATATCTTCTCACAGATCTTATTTAGAACCAAAAGGGTGACTTTTGAGATTTATTATGGTAGATCGACAGGGAGTAGTGATAGAAGGGAAATTGAGCTAAGTCCCATTGAGTTATTCTGACAGCATCTTAAACCATGTGCTGTTTGAGCATAGTGCTAAATAAAGTCAAATCATTCATGCAACAGATAATTGATTAAATGTGTACTAAGTGCCAGGCATTGTGCTAGACACCCAAAATAAGGATAAATGTGAAACAGCAGAAGTTCTTAAGGGGCTTACATTCTGTTAGGGAAAATGAAAAGTTTGTTTGTAAGTAGATATAAAGTAAATAGACCGTTATTTCTAGCTGCTGGAGGAATCAACAAGCATTGTTCAACACTTACTATATTTCAGGCACTGTGCTAGGTGCACAAAGACAGGTGAAAGAGTCCATGACCTCAAGGAGCACAGGTCATATTGGAGTAGCAACATATACACATATAAGTACATACAGAATCTATAGAAGGTACTTTTTTGGGGCAAGGGGGGACGAAGCACTAGTAGCCATGGAGGAGGTGTCAGGAAAGACCTGTCAAGAAAGCACCTCATGGAAGAAGTGCTGTTTGAGCTGAGCTTTGAAGGAGACAGGATTCTAAGAGGTAGAAATGAGGAGGCAGGACATTCCAGGAATGGGAGAGAACCAATGTAAAGGCATGATGGCATTGGGAGATGGAGTGTTATGTTTGAGGAACAGCAAGAAAGCCAATTTGGGAGAATCATAGAATACAAGAAGGGGAGTAACATAATAAAATTGCAAAGTTAGGTTGGAGCCTGATTGTAGAGGGCTTTACATGGTAAACAGGATTTTGTGTTTGATTCTGCAGGTGGTAATTACATCGTTAGTCTCATGCTTTAAGAGTACCACTTTGGCAGCTGTGTTGAAGATGGATTAGAGAGGGGAGAGGCTGGATACAGGGAGACCACTTAGAAAGCTTTTACAGTAGTCTAGGTGATAGATTAGGAAGACAGAAGGGGACAGATAGTAGAGAGGTTATAGAGGTAGAAGCAATGAGACTTGACAATTGATTAGATATAGGGATTGATAGAATGAAGAGTATAGGATGACTCTGAGATTGATAACGTGGGTGGATGGAATAGGAAGGTTAGGAACAGGAAGGAAAGATAATTTTGTTTGGAGAAGTTGAGTTTGAGATTCTTATAGAACATCCAGGTCCAGATATCAAATAGGCAATTGGTGATTCAGGACTGGAGCTGAGAAGAGAAGGAGGAAAAAGGGACAGACACTGGGTTTATAGATCTGGGAGCCATCTGCATAAAGATGGTAACTGAAACCTTGGGAGCAGAAGAGGTCACCAGAAGAGAAAATGTGGAAACAAAAAGGTATCAAGATGAAGCCATGGTAGATACTCACAATTAGGGAGGGAGGACATGGATTATAATTTGGCAGAAGACACTGAGAAGAAGCAGTCATACAGGTAGGTCAGTACCAAAAAGAAGCAGTATTATCTTCTCAAGAGAAGAAGGTGTCCAGGAGAAAAGAGTGGTCAGTATAGTGTCACATACTGCAGAGTGTTCAAGAATGAGGCCTGAGAAAAAGCTATTGGTTTGGCCATTAAGAGATCATAGGTAACTTTGGAAAGAATGGTTTCAGTTGGTGGTTGGAGAGAGGTCCAATGAGGGAGGGAAGGTCCAGGTGATTAGATTGTCCAAGGTCTTCCCTTAAGGTCCAACCTCATGGCAAGTGGTGATGTGTCCTGGGAGGCCTGTCTCACAGAAGACAGGGACAGGGGAAAGGTATGGCCTGGGGAATCAGATCAGGTGGCAGTGTGAGGTGGGCATGCTTCAAGAAGTGGGAGGGAGAAAGGGGAAGTCTGGTCCCTGTAATGGCTTCCAGGGGAGGCCTTCCAGGAGAAGGCCTTTAGGCTCAGAGTGCTGAAGAGGCAGGTGGATAAGATAACAGGGCTGGTGAAGAACATTGGGAGGGCCCTGGAGGAAAGACTAAGGTTGGAAAGGTAGCCTGGATCTGAGACTAGCACACAGCCACTTATGTACATGTTGTTTCGCTAAAGAATATAAGTTCCTTGAGGGTAGAAACTTTCATTTTTGTCTTTGTATCCCCAAACCCAGTAAAATGGTTCATGTTAATAAATGCTTGTTAACTGATTTGTAAACAGATTGGATCATCTCTGTCTACTGGCTCCTTCCTCTCTGTCTAAAAAACACACTCATATCTTCCCATTTGGAAAAAACAAAACTGAAACCCCTTACTTTATCTTACTACTTCCTCAAGCTATCCTCCAAAATCTTTGCTCCAAATTACAACCAGAGTCCTAGAAAAAAACATCTACATTTGTTGCCTACACTTCCTCCCCTTTCATTCACTTTTTGGCCCCGTGCAATCTGACTTTTGATCCCACCATTCAACTGAAACCACTTTTCCCAAAGTTACCTATGATCTCTTAATGGCAATGGCTTTCTCAGGCCTCGTTCTTGTATTCTCTTTCCTCAATGATTAGCATATTCTCATCCCAATACTCTTTCCATCCCAGTTATTCTGAATGCCTAGCTTCTGATGTACAGTATTTATTTCCCATCCCCAGCTACTTATTCCCTTCTTATCTCCTGACTGAAAACCTTCCCTCCCCCACCCATACCCGACTCCACATTGGTTAACACCTTCAGCTGTGCTCTCTGAAATGCCTTTTAATAATTAATGAACTTTCTTTCCTCTTAAATCTTTTCTTTCTCATTTCTTCCATCTTGCGGTATTCACTGAAACCTGAATCCCTCCTAATGTCACTGCATTCCTGCTCACACTTTCCAGTACTGGTTGCACATTTACTCATATTTCCTTCCTGGTCATGGCTCTGGACAGGAGGAAGGGGAATATTTTTTGCTTCCTCAGGGAGTTCAATGCCGGGCTCACTCAACTCCTCATATGAGGAGTTTATGTTTTACAGTTTATTTATGTTTCATCAAGAAATCTTCTATCTTTACAGTTCCTAAATTTACTCAGTTTCTATGATCTACTCCTTCACACCACTTCAGCTACACAGAAATAGAGGGTCATATCCTTGATCTTGCCATTGCCAACTAGTGTTCCACTACCATGATCATGAACTCCATAAGTCCTTTATCTGATCATAAAGTTTTATCATTTCATCTTTTCTTGTGCCTCATCACCCCTCACACTGGTAAGAAGGGTCATTGTCAGAGACTGGAGTTCAAAGAGAAGAGAATGGAAGATGATGTAAAGGGGTTTTGATAGGGAGAGTAGAAAAGAAGAGGAAGCTTATGTCTCCCTCTTAAAAAATGAATCTCCTTCAAACTCTTGAGTAATTTTTTTTTTCTATCTGTATAAAAGGAGTCACCTGGTTCAGAAGTAATCTGTAGCATGTGGAATTAGCCAAAACAGTCATTGGTTGATTCACAGGATGATTTCTTAGTAGGGTTTCAATGGTAGTACAATCTTCTCTCATTATGGCTTCATAGAGCTTGGTGTGAAGTGCTTTTGATCTTACTGGTTCAGTAGAAGAGGCTCTGTCAATTACTGGGCCCCTGGTTCCTCTTTTGGTTATATTTCCCATGATAAAAACACCTTATAGACAGTGAGAAATTGAGTTCAGGGGAAACTGTATGTTGTGGAATGTGGTCAATTTAGAACTCTTTATGATGATTCAGTTTAGTTCTAGAACAGTTTTGGAATTACTGCTTTTAAAGGTGTAGCTATGAACAAAACAAAATTTTATATTTAGGAGTTACTTTGTATTTTAGAGGAATAAATAACTTTTTGGTGGTGCCTTAATTGGAATTTCTGAAATTAGTCAATCCTAAATAGGCTTTTTTCTTAGATGATATCCTTTCTTGTGAAAAGACCTAATAAGCATGATGTAAAATAAGCTGCAACTGTTTTCTTATTTAATTCAACTACATGGCAAATATCTCATAAAATAAAGATTTGTACCTAAAATTTGATTATGGAATGTCAAGTAACATGCAAATTCTGTCTCAGACAAGGAAACTTGCCTGTCAACTGCATGATTTTGTATGTTAGTGGAATATTTCTCTTCCTTTATTTTTCCACTTCATCATGGATACATGAATAATTTGAACAATATATTAGGCCTGATTGTTTCCTGTAATTATAAATTTTTATTTTCATTGTGTAATATATGAAAGATGTTTTATACTCAGTCTCTTTTTTCATTTGATTTGTCTCCTGATCTCTCCTTGCAAACAAAGTTTGTTTATAGCACAGGCATCAGAACTGATTTTTAAAAAAATTTTTTTTGTTTTATCTTGGTTTTTTGTTTTTGCGTTTTGATGAGGCAGTCAGGGTTAAGACTTGTCCAGGGTCACACAGCTAATAAGTGTCAAATGTCTGAGGCCAGACTTGAACTTAGATCCTCTTCACCCCAAGGGTGGAGCTCAATCCACTGTGCCACCTACCTGCCCCCTCAGAACTGATTTAATGGCCATATCCCAAGAGTGGTTAGTAATGGGTCAGGGTTATTTTGGAGAGACCTATGGGAGAATATCCAGGAATCTGTCCTTGGACTTGTGCTTTTGAACACTTTGATAAGTGACAAGAATGAAGTTGCTGAAAGCGTGCTTGTCACATTTGCAGCTGAGAGGGACAGCTGACACATTGGATGGGGGATGGGGGGTGAGAAAGATTTGGATATACTTAAAAATTATGGACCAAATACAATAAGATTAAATTTAATAGGGTTTTTTTTAATTGACTTACAATAGCACAAGCAGAGGAAGGCATGGCTCTGTAGCAGTTCCTGTGAAAAACATCTGGTGATTTTAATGGACTGTAAGCCCAATATGACTCAAGTATGTGACATAGTAATCAAAAAGCTAATAATTGCCAACTCTAGCAGCTGTGAGTTTCACTGTTTCTTGATCAAACCACATCTCAAATATGCATATAGCATCTTCTTCACAGGGTTGTTGTTAAGATGAAATGAGCTATTTGTGCTTTGCAAACTTTAAAGCAATATATAAATGCTAGCTATTATTGATCTTTTAAAAAATATATTTCCAAATGTCACATCTCTATATAGATCATGCATATATTGTATTACATATATGTATATGTAGGTATAATGAAATAGAAATCCAAGATAATGAATTGTTTTGTCTATTTGTAGCCCAGAAATATCTTTCTTCAAGGCCCTGACCATCATGTAAGAATAGGAGATTTTGGTCTAGCTTGTACAGCCATCATTCAGAAAGACACAGAATGGACCAGTAGAAATGGGAAAAGTAAGTTTTCTGTTGTCAAAAAATCATTTATTAAATGTCTCATTGTAAATATAATCTTCACAAATATATTTTAAGCAGCAATAATTGCCTTCCCTCACTATGACCATAGGGCTATAAAACTGTGCATACACTTTGATCCAGCAGTACTACTACTAGGTCTGTATCCCAGAGAGATAAGGAAGAAAGAAAAGGCAAAAGGACCAGTTTGTACAAGGGTATTTATAGCATTTCTTTTTGTGGTGGCTAAGAATTGGAAATTGAGGGGATGCCTATCAATTGGGGAGTGGCTGAAGAAGTTGTGGTATGTGAATGTAATGGAATACTGTTGTGCTATAAGAAGGGATGAACAGGAGGATTTCAGAAAAAACTGGAGTTACATGAACTGATACAGAGTGAACAGTGAGCAGAACCAAAAGGACATAGTATACAGTAACAGCCATATTATACAATGAACAAGTGTGAATGACTTAGCTATTCTCAACAGTAGTGATCCAGGATAATCCCATGATAAAAAATGCTATCCACCTCCAAAGGAAGAATTGATGGAGTCTGAATACAGGCCAAATTATATTATTTTTCACCTTTTTTTTTTTAAGTTTTCTTCCACAAAATGACAAATACAGAAATGTTTTGTTTACCATTTCAGGGAGCGAGGGTGAGTGGAAGGAGGGATGGAATTTGGAACTCAAAATTTAAAAAAACCCAAATCTTAAAAATTACTTTTACATGTAATTGGGGGTAAAAATAAAATATTTTTTAAAAAATTGCCTACTCCAGTAACTTCCATTGTAGGGGGCAACTCTGAGATCTTGAAGACTGTACTAACAGATCACAGGCTTTGGCAGGTGGGTCCTGCCAGGCTGAAAGTGATGGACTGTTTGTCATCTGAAGACTGATCTAGCCAAGTTCAGATGCTTATCACCGGGTTGGCCTCAGGGTGATGAATTTTATTGTCACAGTAACTATTGTAGACCTAGTACCAAACGATAGGTGTTACAAATTATAAATTATAAATTGTACTGTGGAGGAAGAAGTACCCATACATATAAAACTCAGGATAATGGAAGGATTAAAGTATAATAATCTTCTCAAAATTGTAATATCCTGAACCCAGCAAGTCTTCAGGGAAGGTTTGTTGGTAATGATAAACTAAGATAAGTAAAAGAAATTGTGACCAAGATTATGCCAAATGGCTATCTTGATAATAATCAGAGTATTAAAATTATAGGACTGACACATACTTCAGGAGTGGGTACCAGTCTGTATGCTTCACCAGAACAGCTGCAAGGATCTGAATATGATGCCAAGGTAGGGTCAGGTGGTGGTTTTTTTTTTTTTTTGGTTTGTTTTTTTTTTACTATTTCTTGCTTTTCTTCTTTAAGACAGTTTTCAGAAAACATCTGAGCAATATAAATTTCTCTTTGCATATCATACTGCCCTAACAAAACTGTCTTGCTTTTTTTTTTTAAGTTGGAATTTCCTGTACTTTTGATTATTTCCAAATATCTGCCAGTACTGAATTGTTTTATAAAAAGCTGTCATTATAAAATGCAGTCTTCACCTCAGGCAGTTGTTCTTCCGAGGAGACCATTTTTTCACAAATATGGTAATGAGTTGTTACTTGATACTGTAAGGAAGCTTAACTGTTTAAGAGAATGGAATTTCTCTGATGTTGAATGAGAATAATATAAATTTTTAATAAGCTTGAATCTTTAAAAAAAAAAAAAAGGCCCAACACATCTTAGAGAATATCAGGTAAATTATTGCCCTCATGTAGCTTAGATTCTGCCAGGGTGTGATGGAGACAAGGAAAGTATCCAGACATGCTCTAGATATAAGGAAAGGAGAGAATGTTTTCAGATAACTTCTTTTCCAAAATACATCCTAACTTGTAATTATTTCCTCATTTATGATGAATAATTCAGTTTTGACAACAGAAAACTAAGGTATGCCTTATGGTTAAATCCTGTCTACCTCCAAAACAAACTTGGCTAGGACTTTTAAAAACTTCTTTTGAACGCTGGTACAGATTTATTGTTAAATAAATTTATTTATCTGTTAAATCTACCAAAAATGCCTTATTTCTGAGTGGAGGCAGAGAGAAACGAACCTGAAAGTAATTTTACAGTTTTCTGCTACAGCTTGTAGTAGACTTCAGAAGTTTTGTCACTTTTTCCAGCCTGATGTGTCAAACCTAAATTATCATTAGGTGGGAAAAAATGTCTTATTGGTGGTGGACAACATATTTACTGGACAAAATGAATTTTTTGGAACGATTAGAACTTATTTCTTCCTGTAATGACCAATCTAGGAAGACTATTTTTGGGTGTCCTCTTTTGTAAGGCCAGGGCAGAAGGGAAAGATGAAAGGATTAAGTAGTGTAGACAGTTAATAAATGGTCTTGTCTAATCTTAGTAAAGACTTGCCATTTGTCTCCTTGCCTGTCTCCCAGTTCTGCTTTCCACTCCCTTTGTTGTTGGTAATTTTTCTAATCACAACGGCAAACCTATTTATGTTTGCTTCTGGATATAAAATGAAACTGAAATTTTAAAATGTTATTCTGAATTGAAATTTACACTAATAAATTTGTGTGCTTTTTGTTTTTCTAGTCAGACATGTATAGTTTGGGTGTGATCCTTCTAGAGCTCTTTCAGCCATTTGGAACAGAAATGGAAAGAGCAGAAGTTTTAACAGGCTTAAGAAATGGTCAGATCCCAGAATCACTTAGCCAAAGATGTCCAATACAAGCCAAATACATAAAGCAATTAACGAGGAATAATTCATCACAACGACCATCTGCTAAACAGCTACTGGAAAGTGAACTTTTTCAGAATCCTGGAAATGTATGTTATTATGTTCAACTTGCTAGGTTTAAAAGGGAGTGCTTAAAAAAAACAATATTTTGTCATTATAGATTACTATTCATAATGCTTCTCGCCCACAAAGAAGTTCAGATTAAGAAAATATGTCTCTGAAAAGGAAATTGGTATATGGAAATTCTCTTCTCAATGGAGTCTGCTCTGTGGTAAGGGCATATTCCAAGTTGTTCTGGAAGAATTTAAACAGAATTACTTCTCAGGCATATTTTATTATGTTTTCCAAATTCTACTCTCAGCCTAAGTATTTCATTTCTATTTTCTTAATATTTTATAGATCTTCTGAAAAAGCTTTCTTAATGCTATAGTACATGAAAACCCCCAGCAGTAATTGCAAAAAGGAATAGAAATTAAGGGTGGTAGAGCAGCTGGATTTAACATCTGACAGTATCTCAGGGGATCCCTGATCCAGGGGAGCAAGTTAGCTAGTTTTTGGCTAGATAGGAAGCAAGAATGTCCAATATGTATCTAGATGACTTATATTAGACAATTACTTCATTGAGGTGAAGTAGATTGTACTTTGGAAATGACTCTAACTGATAAAAAGGTTAAAGGATATGAATAGGTTGTTTTCAGAGGAAGAAATCCAAGCTATCAATAACCACATGAAAAAATACTCTAAATCAGTAATAATTAAAGAAATGCAAATTAACACAATTCTGAGGTTCTACCTTAAACCCATCAGATTGGCAAAGTTGACAAAAAAGGAAAATGACAGATGCAGGAGAGGCCATGGGAAAACAAGCATATTAATGTGAAATTGGGAACTGGTCCAGACAGTCTGCAGAGCAAGTTGGAACTATGCCCCCAAAACTATCAAATGATGCATACCCATTGACCTGGTGTTACCACTATTAGATCTGTACCTCAAAGAGATCAAGAAAAGAGGAAAAGGACCCATATGTACAAAAGTATTTATAGTAGCCTTTTTTGTGGTATTGCAAACTGAGTGCCCATCAAGTGGGATGGCTGAACAAGTTCTATGTATGTGATAGAATAGTGTTGTACTATAAAAATATTATTTAAGGGGATGGTCAGAGAAACATGAGATTTGTATGGAATGATGGCAGTGAGATGAACAGAACCAGGATAACAATTTATACACTAAAAGCAAAACTGTAAGGACAAAGAACTTCTTTGTACTGTGATCAGTGCAATGACCAACCACTATTTCTGAGGTCTCATGATAAAATATGCTACCTCCTCCTGGTTAGAGGTGATGAATTCAAAGTACAGATGAGACTTTTCTTTTTTGATTGGGCATGGCCAATGAATGTAGGCTTGACTGTACATGGTTATAACAAGTTTTATTTTTCTTGTTTTCTCAGCTGAAGGTAGAGGGAAGGGTGGGGGAAAATGGGAGAATGATCTGAAAATAAAATAAATTTTTTAAATGGCATTTAGGAGGCTTGTTTCTAGTCCTGCTTCTTCCACTAACTGTCTGTGATGACCTTGGATAACTTATTTAACCTGTCTGGACCTGATTCATTATCTATAAATGAACCAGATTATTGCTAAATTTCCTTCTAACAATATTTTTAAATTCTAGACTTGGCCAGGCCATTCTTGTGTTACCCTACAAAGTGATTGTGTGTGGTTATCATATGGTATGCAACCATACCCCTTTTTCAGAAATTAAGTTTTATTTTTAATTACTTGGAGGAAAACTTTTATAATATGCTGTCACAGAGGCCTATACAGTGGTATTTAAAGTTTTTTAATTTTTTTTCCAAATTTGGAATAACTGTCTTTTCCACTAACCTAGGACTTTACTCATTAAATGGGAAAAGTATAGTAATTTATACTCTTGAAGCTTTAAAGCAAGTATGTAGCTAATTAAGCAAAATATATTGTATTCTGTCTAATTCAACAAACATTTTCTTATCTGGTAAATGAAGATTATTAAATTCAGCTATGACATACCACATTAGCTAGACCATACATGACCAGTGGAGAATTGCTTATTGTTTTTCTTGGTTCATATGTTGTTTGTCCTTCATTCTTGAAGAGGACCAGCACATCAGGAAGGTGATGTCATGACTTGCAAGTGAATTGGACCACATGAAAAGTATGCATAGGGATTATGTTCTCAAGGAAATTTTTTATATCCAAATAAAAATGTAGCTTTGTGTTTTTCTGATAAAGGACTTGTGGGGATTTTTGTTACTTCCTACAGAGGGGACAAAACCACTCCATACCTAGGTCCCCAGCCTTTTATCATTTTAACCAAATTTGGTGTTTACTAGAAAAGGCAGAATGAAAGAAATAGGAAAGGTAAGTTATCAGTGTGGAGACTGACTTTTTTTTCTTTTCAGATGAATTACGTCCTACAGAAGAAAGTAGTTGAACAGGAAAAAGAAATTGAAAAGCTCAAGGAAACTATAAGACTCCTTTCTCTGGAAAAAGGTATAAAGGAAGACATGAAAGAAGGCGAGGGCTCTGCAGTCTGACCCGAATAGCTGTGTATAAGAATGGGCACAATAATTTTTTAATAAGTATTTGCTGCTAATTTTGTTGGATCTATTGGAATACAAATACGTTTTACAAATTTCTGTATGGTTGGGGCTGTTGTTCTTTTCTGTACAGGTTTTAATTTTCTTAATCTGTATGTACAGAGTAACATTCAAGGCTTAACACCTGTAATATTTTTACTTAAGGTTTCTTTTGCTTACATTAACTAGCTGTTAGAAAATTTATATAATAGAAGAGCCACAAGTTCTATGATAATTTTATTGGTGTTTGACATCTGGCTGTAAGACATCAATTTTAATATAAGTGCGTTTACCAACAGGCATGAGGCAGTATAGGTTTTCAGTTATGCCACTTTCAAAATGTACTCTTAGAATTTACTTCAGGAGTTTCAGGGCACTATTAAAAGAGGCCAAATTTTCACATGATTTCATCCATTTTTGAATATCAGTTGGAACAGAATTAGGGCCACCCAATTGCTGAAGTACACCCCAAGCTACAATGTCTGCTACAGTGAGTTCATTTCCTACCAGCCAGGGACCTCTGCCAAGAGCAGAGCTAATACGGCGCAAGACAGCTGCTTTTTCTTTACTGCTTCCTTCTTTCAACTGAAAAAAAGTCATATCTATCCAACGATCTATAAGTGTTAGACTAACAGCATCATGTGTCTGGCCAAGCAGTGAGAACAAAAATCGAGCAATGGTCCCTTCACCTTCGATAGGACACATTGTTTGAATACTGAACTTCATCTGGGGCTTTGGCACTGAAAAGAAAAAGAAAATACCTCAGTATTAGTAAATAAAAGTAACCCTTTTTAAAGTAATGATATTAGCTTAACATCTGAAGAATACTATTACTACCATTAAAATTTGTAATAAATTATAAATTACCATCAAATTTATAAAATCTCTAACAGCAATGTTATGTTTGCTTATAACTGAAAAAAAATTTCCCAAAAGCATATTAAGTGATCAGTTACTTTTTAACCAAGAGATTAGCCAATATACCCAACCATAAAGGATCATAAATAACGATGAACTGTGCATTTCTTAACTTGGAAAGTCCAGGAACATAAGCCAAAAAATATCCTGAATAAGAACTAAAGAAGAGTTTTAGCACATACCAAAGAGATATTGTGAAAGAATAGTTAACAAGCCGATACTTGTCTTATGGCTAACAAGGAAAACAACTACTATTGAGAGATCTAAGAAAAACAATTTTCTAAAAAACAATCTGACACTTAGAATACTGACATATCCTAAGAATTTATGCAAACAGAATTTTCCTTTAAATAGGTAGTTGAAGTGATCATTAATTTTCACTTTTCCAGAAAACATAAACCTTAACATAATCTTGTCTCATAACATGATGTAAATTTCATTGTTTATTCCATCAGTTTAGCTATAATCCTCTACCTACCATCCTTCCAAATTAAAGTAAAGCCCAATTGATACTCGTGACGTGACTGTTTCTTAGATTGTTCTCCAAAACACTTCAAAAGACTTTCAGGAACATTCTTTACAGATGAATGCACATGAACAGTTGATAATATCTTGTAGTGTTCACAAAGAAAGCTGTGTAGCACCAACAGGGAAAGTGGAGGCAGAGTTGGGTTTGCATTAATCACAATATCTTTCAATGCTCCATAATCCTGCATTTAAAAAAACAAACAAACAAACAAACAGGAAAAACACTAATTAGTACTGTAAAATCCTGTTCTAGAAATGTTATTCTAAATTATAATGCCAATGAAAGCAATTCTCTTATTTATCAATCTAAAAGACTTTCTCTACTACCTATTAAATGTATTCTTGTCATAAGAAATCTAGTTTTAGGTTTTTTTGTTTTTTAGGCAATTGGGCTTAAGTGACTTGCCCAGGGTCACACAGCCAGTAAGTGTCAAGTGTTTGGTCTGAGGCCGCATTTGAACTCAGGTCCTCCTGACTAAAGGGCCCTAGCCACCTAGCTGCCCCCATAGATATCTAGTTTTAAATTGTAAATGTTTTGACTATTTCCTTGGTGTAAGGAATTCCAAGTGAGGAAACTCCTTTCAATTCAGATCAGTAAATATTCTTCAACTATATATTAGTGAATTGCCTGGGGCATTAAAGTTTAAATGTTTTAATCCCACTATTCTCTTATCATAGGAAGTGCTTGAGGTCAGCTCTCAATCTCACTTTCCCACTTAGTTTCACAGGGTTCTGAAACTTGATTTAATCTTAAATAGGGGTTACTCTTTATTAAATTACCTGATATTTCTGGAGAATGAGCTTAACTGAAGCTTATTTCCTTAACTACTAAAACTTCTTTTTTTAACCATTTTTGACAGAAATGTAAAATGCTATATTCTAGTTCCCAGTCTTAAAAAGTGAAATGAACACAATTTAACACTTTCTTGATGTCATTATAAACAATTACTGTATTCTGCTGTAATATAATCATGCCCATAGGGGCTCCATGAAGATCTATAGGTAGAATTATTTGCTCTGCCACAACATAGTCCCAGTTTGTTAGTATTGGAGGTGGTGATTCTTTTATATCTTCTCTTGCAGGCTCACATTTCTCAGTATGTTTAATATAATAGGTCATTCTCCCACTTCCCTAGCTCTAGCCGTCATTCTCCCTGCCAGAGGAAAAAGAGAAACCAAGCTTATTAAATTTATTAAGTTAAAGAAATACACTACCCTAAATTAGTAGGCTGATAGCTAATTTTCTCATTGTTTAGGAGGCATTTTTCTTTCACTTCCAAATGTGGAGGGAGAGAGAGAGCAAAAGAAAGGCAGGAAAAACCATAAGGGTGATTTCTGTGGTCTTTTGTAGTTCCTCCTTTTCTTTTCTCTTCCTGGTTGATCTTGCTAGCAGCATATGCTTGTCTCGAAGATTAAGCCATGCATGTCTAAGTACACATGGCTGGTACAGTGAAACTGAATAGCTCATTAAATCAGTTATGGTTCCTTTGGTCATTAGTTCCCTCCTACTTGTACAAATGTGGTAATTCTAGAGCTGACCCAGTCCCCTTACCCTGGAGCTGGCACCCCCCCGCCCATATCGTGAGGATGTGCATTTATCAAACCCAAACCAACCCAGCAGTGTCCCCCCAACCAGCGGTTGGTGCCCCAGCTACTTTGATAACTCTAGATAACTGTGGGTCAATCACACACCCTGGTGGTGGCAATGTCCCATTTGAAAGAATGCCCTATAAACTTTCGATGGTACTTGCCATGCCTACTATGGTGACCGGGGTGATGGAATCAGGACTCAATAGGAAGCCTGAGGAATGGCTGCCACATCCAAGGAAGGCAGCATGCTTGAAAATTACCCACTCCTGACCTGGGGAGGAAGTGGCAAAAAACAGCAATACAGAACTCTTTTGAGGTCCTGTAATAGGACTGAGTACACTTTAAATCCTTTAATGAAGATCCAACTTATGGCAAGTCTGGTGCCTCAGTCCCAAGTAATTCCAACTCTAATAGTATTTTAAAACTGCTAAATTAAAAAACTTGTAGTTGGATCCTGGGATAGAGTTGATGGTCTGAAGTGAGGTGAGCCACTGCCTGTCTCAGTCCCTGACTTAACAAACTTCATTTTAGATACATAAGTAGTTTTAGTACCATTTCTAGAATTCTCAGTGAAAAACTAGGTGTTTTGTTTTGGGTTTTTTTTTTTTTTTTTTTTTGGATGCTAGCATGTTAAGACTTTCAGTATGAACTTACCTTCCCAAGCATTGAATCTAAGTCTACTGCACTTGTAGTTTTTAAAGTAGTGTATTCATTAGTTTGGATCATGTTTGTCACATCAAGGTCTGCATCTGGTGTTTGTATCATCTTGGAGAGCCCATCAACAGCAGCTTTCAGTTCATACAAACGTTTTAAGATCTCTTCCTGGCGGGACTCAAGAGCCTGAAGAGATGGGTCAGCCTCTTCCTAAATCAACCAAAATTAACAATGTTTTAATTTTCTTTTGTAATTCATTTTCTTTCATCTCAAGGCAGTCTTTTGTTAATACCCAAGTCAGCCAATGAAGAAATGTTATCTTCTCCATTACAATTTTAGATACTTTGGTCCTATTTTTTCTCCTTATTTAATACATTACCTGAGTAGAAAAAGAGACTTAAAAGGAGAGCAAGCTTATATTTTTAATAGCTCATGCTGCTGTCATCTGCAACTTGTCAAGGTAAAGAAAGCACTCTTTGTATAACAAACTGGTAATTATGTTTTTTTTTAAAACTATTTCATGCCACTTAGTATATGGTAATTGGAATGGATACATAAAATGGATGCAAACTGTCCTCCTGTACTTTTACAGACACTGAACTAACCACAAAAATACTCTTGACTGTAGAAAGTGCAGAAAATCACTTAAGTGTCTAATAATTAAGCTGTTTGCAATAAAAAGAAAATTTACAAAAATCCAAAAATGTTTAGTTTTGGAATATCTCTTAATTTATATTTGAATATTAATGGCTGCTGTCCTAAGAATGAAATTCAAATTTAAAAAACGAAAGCAAACTGTAAAAGGACCTGACTTGGAAAGTTATCCCATTTCTCTATCCTGCACTCAAAATCACAATGCTGCTAAATTAGCATCTTACAATTGAATGCAAAGACCCAAACCTAAGCAGATGTCTCTTTACTTTCCCTTGAGGGGAGAAAGTGGTTAAGTGTTTGTGTTTCAGAGGGCTTCTCTGCTGAGCCATTTATTTGATGGAAGGCAGAAGATACAGTTTTTCATCTCTGCACTGTTAAGAGTACAGGCTTTATGTTTTTCCTAACAATAATGTCCTATCCACAGAACCTAACCATAATAATTTATCTTGTGACCAACCGTGCAGGATGCAAAATGAATAACTTCAGTTAGGGGTGAAAACATGTCAAATAATTGAGTAGGCAGTACCCGGAAATAAGAGTGCATGATTTGTGATATGAGAAATGACAGTATGATCTGACCACAATACTAAAAGTTGCAAATACTATTAATGAGGCAGTATTTGTTTCTTGTCACTTCTATTTTTTTTTTCTTCCCTGACATTCTTTTGAGGTGTAGTAGGAAAAACACTGGACCAAGGTTTGAGTCTTTAGGTACCTGAAAGGCTATCGTGGGGAAGAGGGATCAGATTTGTTCAATTTAGTCCCCATGGGTAAGACAAGAAGCAATGGAAATCGCCTAACAATTAGAGCTATCCAAAAACAGAACTGGCTGAGTTCTGAGGTTCCCTTTCACTGAAGGTATTCAAGTAAAGAGATAACCATATGTTACCACTATTGTAAAAGGGATTCTTGTTCATGATCATAGATTTAGAGCTGGAAAGACCCTGAAAGGTCATTTAGTCCAGTCCCTTCATTGTACAGAAAAGAAAATTGAGATTCAGGTGAAATGACTTGTCCAATGCCACAGTGAGTGGCAAAACCAGTGTTCAAATCCAGGTCCTCTGACTCCAGATCAAGAATTCTTTTTACTGCAACATAGTTTAGTCTGCACTAGATGTCCTCTGTTACCCCTCCAATTCTGAGACTGAGTCTGCGCTCTACCAATATATACTTGCCTCTAGACCAATCAAGCCAAGCCATCACCACCATTTTCACCACCATTTCTCCTCAGACCCTGATGGAGACATCCCAAAGACCCTGAAATCATCCAGCCCAGTGCCCTCATCCTGGGAAAGCCACCTCTGTGGAGATGCAGCCTGGCAAATACTCCTTCAGGTGTCACAGCCATATCTATCGTAGACTCAGAAAAGAAAGTTTTCACCAAAGTCTTTGATGCTATCAAATAGTTCAACACCAGAAACTAATATTTTTCAGTGGAAATTACATTAAAGAAGAGGCATTACCAAATTTGGACTGCTTGGCACTCTAAGGATCACAAGAACTTCCCATCTGACTTTCACATACATTGTCACTATTATAATGTGAACTTGAGAGCAGGTGGTTTTTTTTTTTTTTACTATTTTACTTTTCTATCTATCCCAAATGTTTACCATATATTAAGCACTTAAATTCATTTATTCATAAATATATGTATGCATACATTCATTCTTCCTCATGAAGCCTCTTCTGATGCCCCAACTGCTGTCTTCCCAAACTACCTTGTAGTTGACATGCTATGCGTATAATACACACACACACACACACACACACACACACACACACACACACACAGAGGTATATTTACAATTATGCTAGTTTTATATGTACTTCTCTATTAGAAAGTAAGATTGTTTCATTCTGTCCCCAGTGCCTAGAACAGGTGTAGGGAACTTGCCCCTGTCAAGGCCACATGTGGTCTTCTAGGTCCTTGGGATGCAGCCTTTTGACTGAGTCCAAGTTCTATAGGACAAATCCTTTTATTAAGGGACAATGCTTAACACATAGTAGTAGCCTTATTGCTTAACAAATACTTGTTGATTGATTTGATGGTTCTCCTTCCCTCTACTCTTTCTCAATCTCTTTGCTGGATCTTCATTTATATCATGCCCAAGAACTTTGAGTGACTCCCACCCCAAGGTCCTGTCCTGGTCCTTTTCCATTTTCTCTCTATTGACTCTCACCTGAAGAGTACATCAGCTCCCATGAGTTGATCTTCTCCAAGCTGATGATTTACAGAACTTGTAATCAACTCTATTCTCTTTCCTGAGTTCCAGTCTTTTTTCACTAACTTCCTTTTAGACATTTCAAACTGGATGCTCCATAGGCATCTCACACTTTCAGGTCCAAAACAGAACTCATTATCTTGAGTTCCCCTTCTGTTCCCAACTTTCCCTTTTCACCATCTTTGTAGTAACCCAAGTTTACAAATACGGCATTATCCTCAGCTCTTCCCTCTCTCTCCTTTCCACATAGCCAATTACCAAATCTTGTCATTTTTCCCCACAGTGTATCTCTCGTGTATATCTCCCCTTTCCACTCTCACAGCCACCTGTGATTACTTCAGGCCTTAATCAATCACCTCGAGCCTTCTAATTGGTCTCCCTGCTTCAAATCCCTCTCCACTCTATTCTGGTCACTAACTTAAGGAATCATCCCCACTTAGGGCAAGACAGCTCATTTGTAGCAAAGAAGAAACTTTAAAACCTAACTGGCGTGGGGCAAATGGAGGCGGCCTTGGGGCAGCCCCGAAAAAGGAGGCAAAGTAGAGCTTTGGAGGCAGAGGCCCGGGTTGGACTCTTCTGTGACAGCCAGTCGTGTCACTGAGGGGACTTGGACCAGATGGCTTCCGGAGGGTCCTTCCGAGCCCACCACGACGATCCAACGACTGCTCCCACAGTCCCGCGCAGGGGCAGGGCCTTGTTCTAGAAAGGGGGCGAGGGCGGAATCCAGGGCGGCCCCTTCCGGCGGACCTCCACGTAAAGTTCCAAAGCCCAGTCCCAGAAACTATGCGAAAGCTACAGGCGGTTCGATCCCAAGCCCGCCCGCCCCGTAAAGTGACGGGGACAGACTGCCGGGACCCCTCAGCAGCTCCACCCAGCGGACTAAGCCCTCGCCACGCCTCCAAACCGGCGCACCCTCGGCCACGATCCTACCTGCACGTGCCCCGCCGCGTCGTCTGTGAAGGCCGAGCTTCGGTGCTTGGTGTGTATGTTGGGGACTCGGTACATGCATGTAGGGAGCTCAACACACAGCGATCCACTCGCCCCGTGATACGGCTTTACCTGGTACATGGTTACCGCGGAAGGGATGTGAGGCAAGGAGAGAGCAAAAACACCACGCTGCTTGGAGAAAGACGAACAAATGGCAATTGCTACGAATCCTTCCGTCGCAAATGCTGGAGGACCGGAAAACCCTGCGGGTTTAAGCTCTCTGATTGGGCAAAGATCCCGGACTGACACGTGACGAATCTTGTCCCCAGCCAATCAGAGGAAGAAGGCGTTGAGGTCCTTTGGGAAAGGGAGGGCGAAAGATTCTTGAGAATCACCAATGAGCGGGCGCGAGGTGAGGCTGCCATCCTACGCCGCCGAAGCGGGAAATTCTTCAGACTAGCCCCTGGCGGGCTGAGCTGAGGCTTCATGGAGGGACCGAAGTAAGTGATCTGCTTCCTTACGCTCCCTTTTTCCCCTCTCGGCCTTGCTCTTTCTGGCCTAGGGTCATGGGGGGGCGGGGTAGAGAGGCCACTTAGATGCGTGAAGAGTTGGTCCCTATCTACGGAAGCCTGGTCGGACCTTCTTCCTGCAGGCTCTGGGCCCCTTCTTCCTGGGGTTGGCCGATTGATTTCATTGGGCGGAGCAATTGCCCTGTGGGGTGGAGCGCTCCCCTAGAGGAGGCCTTCCTCCTCCCCAAGGCGGTGGGCCTTGAAATGGGAGGCGACCAGGGTGCCGTGGAAAGTGCTGTCTGCCAGTAATCGGCAGTTTGCGTGACCAGGTAGTGTAGGTCATGTGACTTCTCCAGACCTCGGTTACCCCCTCTGTAAGATGAAAAGGTTCGGACTAGATGACCTAGAAAAAGCTGTCCATGCTTGGTGCATTCACGCTCCACTGGCTTCGTAACCCCTGGACTTCCTTCCCCTCACCTCCGCCCCCTCTCCTACCGTATACCACGAGACGGAAATGGCTTTCTGAGGCATGACTGGTGATCTCTTAATTGTCAACATCCTTCTCTCAATGGCCAACGTTCTTGACTTCACCGAAATATTTGAGACAGGGTTGACTATCCCCTTCCTTCTGGATATTTTGTCCTCTCTTGGTTTTCATGACATTGCCCTCTTGTTCTGTTCCTACCCATCTAATCCTTCTAGTTCTCTTTTGCAGGATCATCACCCGTGATGACGTGGTAGGCCGCGTCTACATATTTAGCCTTCACCTATCTTCTGAGCTTTAGTCTCACCTCTCCAACTGCCAGTTAGATTTCACCTCCTTGTCCCTTAGACATTGCAAACTAAGTATGTCCTAAACCAACTCATTACTTCTCTCAACCAACCCAACCTGAACCATCCTCTCCTATTTTCTGTATTTCTTTCAAGGCTACCATTATTCTTTCAGTGATCCAAGTTCTCAACTTAGGAGTCAACCACAACTCTTTAATCACCACTCTTTCCCCGATCCTCCCCGTTTATCAGTTGCCAAATCTTTTTTTTCCTATGTCTGCAATCACTCCCACATTCTTCCCCTTACAGTCACTGTAATTCATGCCTTCCTCATTTCTTGCCTGTAACGTTGCAATAGCTCTCAAATTGGTCTTCCTATATTCAATTTTTTCCCTTTTTCCTGCTAGTCATTTACACAGCTGACCAGGTGACAAATTGATATTCTTAAAATACAGGTCTGACCTTGTCACTCTCTTCCTTAAGGAGTTTTAGTTGCTCCTTGCTGTCTCCAAGATTAAATACAGATTCTTCCACCTGGCATTTAAAACCCTCCAAAAACCTGGCTCCAGCTTATCTTCCAACCTAATTACACATCTCTTTCTCTAGTACCCTATGCTTTAGTCAAACTGATCTTAATTTTCTATGGAGGCTGGATGAGAGGAAGGAGTCCTTTCTTTCTTTGTTTTAAGCTTGCCAAATAGTCTAGGAGAGAGGCTTGTGTTTAAGGGAATCTTGTTAAAGGATTATTCATTTAGATTTGCACATTTTCCCACAGGCTTTGAATATACCTGGTACTGTTATCCATCTCTCCAGCTGTTGAAGTCACTTGACTTCTGCTATCTAAGCATCTACCTTGTAGCAGATACTCTGTTTCCTTTTTCTCCACCAAACAGTTCTTTCTAGGAAAGATAAGCCTAATAAAAAAGCCCAATAAAAAAGCAGAGGCAGAGCTTTTATTTTAGACCCTCTTACTGATTTTATTAAAGTTCAAAAAAATCCTAGAATATTAGACCTGCAAGGATATAAGAGGTTATCTAATCCGTAACGCCTTCCTTTTACAGATAAGGAAACAGAGGGCCCACTTTATTTCTTTGGTTTAGCTATCAAAATATGCTAATCTTTGTTCACTGATAATTTGAAGGATGTTTCTAAGTACTCAAGAAACAGCCTTTAAAGAGGCAATGAGCAGTCTTGCCTTTATTTGATCTTTGCCAATATTTGACCTTTATTTTTTCCTTCACTAAGATAAAACATCTTCTGCACACTTTAGAAAATTAGGGTAGCACACCTATCAAATCAACAAGATTTTGGGTGCTTACTGTGTTTTAAACATTGTCCTAGGCCTTGGGATATAAAGACAAAAATGAAACCACTTTTGACATCAAAGGGATAAATATGTTTACATATAAGAAGGTAATCTCTAGGGGAGGAACTTTTAGCTGAGGGTATCAGGAAATACTTAAGTTTTGTAAAGTTTCGTTTAAGTAAAGTCTTATACTTTGTTCAAAAAGTCAGCCTCACAAGTACCAGAGAGGTGTGGCAATCATCTGGAGGTTTTAATAGAATGGCAACAGTATCAGCCAATAGTATGGTATAGAAGCAAAGGAAAAGACAAAATGTTTATATCCTAAAATAATACTACTGTAGACCTCTGTTGGCCAAGGAATCTCATTCCTATTATAATGTAGCTTCTTAAACTACAAGATCAAAGGTAATTTGTCTTTACAATGATACTTTACAATGATACTGAAGAGGAGTTTCATTTGTGTAGCCCCATAAATTAGTAGAGTCTTAATTTGTTACTATTCTTTTATATATGTATTTAAGAAAGGTCGAAAGTCTTCCTGCCAGCATTGTACACAGTATGATGGATTCTGAACTAATTGAATGAACAGACCCAAAGAATAGTTATTAGTGAAGCAGAAAATCTCTAGTGGGATGCCCCAGGGGTCTGTCCTTGGCTCTGTGTTATTTATGTTTGAGTGTGACTTGGACTAAGGCATAGTTGGCATGTTTATTAAATTTGCAGAAGATGCAAAGGTATATAGCTAACTCATTGTTCCATAGAGTCAGGATTCCAAAAGATCTCAGTAGATTAGAACATGGGACAAAGTCAAAAATACATTTAGTAAATATAAAACTTTATGCATGGATTGAAATTTTAGTTTTACAAGTTTGATATGGCAGATTATCTTTAAAGAATCTGTCATTTTAGTGGACTGTAAGTGAACATGAATCAGCGGTATATATGGCAGCCCAAAATGTTAATGCTGCGTTTAGAGAAGCATGGTGTCCAGAATTATGCCTGGTCAGAGTACTGGGTTCTATTCTGGGGACCACATTTTAAGAAGGACATTAATGAACTAAAGAGCTTCCAGGACAATAAAATGGTCAAAGAACTGCCATATGAGAATCAGATAAAGGAACTGGAAATTTTAGCTTGGAGAGAAGAATATTTAAAATCATAGGTTTAAAGCTCGAAGGAACCTTAGTGATCATCTAGTCCAACCTCTTATTTTATAGATGAGGAAATTGAGATCTAGAGTGGTTGAATGATTTGCCCAGAATCGTACCGGTAATAAGGAGCAGAGGTGGGGTTTTAACTCATTTTCTGACTCTAATCTGGTGTTTTTTATACTATACCACACTTAGGGTGAGATATTTGAAGGGCTGTTGTAGAAGCGGAATTTGTATTGTTTTGTTCTCAGATCACCAAACTAAAAGTAGTAGGTAGAAGTTGCAGAGAGACAGACTTTGGCTCAATGTAAGGAAAACCTGCCTGACAATTAGAGCTATCTAAAAACAAAATGGGCTGCTTTGGCATAAAAGGTTCCTTCCCTAGAGGTCTTCAAACAAAGATTGAATGACCATTTGTTTATGTACAAATAGTACTAGATGTCCTTGGATGCCCTTTCCAATTTTGAGATTCCGTAATTTTGGAACATGACCAAATCTATAATCTAACTAGTAACTAGGTTAGTCCTATTGACACAAGTACTTTGATCAGTTGCCATAATTAAAACTCAGAATGAAAATATATAAATGCAGATTTTCATTTTCAGTAAATTAACTGTGTTTTGTTTTGTTTTTTTTCAGTGCAGAAACTGCTAATGCTATCAGACCTATAGATCGTAAGTCAGTTCATCAGATCTGCTCAGGACAAGTGGTGCTTAGTCTGAGCACCGCTGTCAAGGAGCTGTTAGAAAATAGTGTGGATGCTGGAGCCACTAATATCGGTGAGTTTACAAGAGCTTTAAATTAGAGAATGAGTTAGTTTCATCATGTTTTTATTATAGGCAAATGGTGGTATCTATTTACTGATCTCAAAAATGAGACAGTGTTATGCACATATTAAGAACATTTTAACTCAAATTTAGTTTTGGTAGTTGAGTCCTTACTATGTCCATAACAGTTTGCTAAGTGCTAACATTATTCATTCCAATGAAATAGAACCATACACCAACTTAGATCAAAAGTATGGGCTAATAAATAGAGACATAGAGGACTTAAAGGGGGAAAATTTAAAAAATATTTTAAATAGAAACTGCATTGTAGTAAAAAGTGCTAATTTAGATTATATAAATATAGAAATAATAATGCTAATTTAGGAAAGCATTAAGAAAATCAGTGTATAAGCTTTTAAACATGTTTATTGTATGGAAGTTAAATGTTTTTTATCTTCCTAGATTTAAAGCTTAAGGAATATGGAGCTGATCTTATTGAAGTTTCAGACAATGGTCTTGGAGTAGAAAAAGAAAACTTTGAAGGCTTGAGTAAGTTGAATTTTCTTGACTCTTGAAGCAATTAGACAAAAAAAAAACATTTATATTCCATTCTCTTAGTGAACACATATTTGGGTTTAAAAAACTATTCATGAGCCAACCTGTTAATACCTTTTATTACTTGTTAAATATATTCCAAGTTCTATCCCTTTAGAAATGTCGAAATGATTCGACAGCATACCATATGTAGATTGGATAAAAGAAGTAGGAATGTTTAACCTGGAGAAGAGAGTGAGTGTTATAGATCTAGAGCTGGGTGTGATTAAGTCCAGCTCCTCATTTTACAGATGAGGAAACTCAAGCCTGGAGAGGTTGCATGACCTGCCTCGATTCACTCAGGTGCTGAGAGAAGATGTTTAACTTCTTTTCCAGCTCTGAAACATCACACTTCTAAGATTCAAGATTTCTCTGATCTAACACACGTTGAAACATTTGGCTTTCGAGGAGAGGCTCTGAGCTCATTGTGTGCATTGAGGTAATAGTACATTTTTAACTTTTGCAGATGATTCTACATTTAAAAAGAAACAGAACGCTGAATTTGAAAAGAGTGATTTCAGTCATTAGTGTTTCAATAAGACCTGGAATGTTTTTGGAATAGTTTCTTTCAAATTGACAAAGTAAATGGTTAATTTATAGTTTGGTGTTATCACATTAGCAAAGAGGTGTTTAAATATTTTATTTTTTTGACATGATAGCTACAACTGGGATAGTGCCTCTATCAGTTTTTCAATTCTTAATTCTATTTAACTTACGTATTTCTAATACATAAGCTCTAGTGAGGTCTGGGCTACAGTGATAGCCTCCTAATTAGTCTCCCTGCCTTGGCTCTCTCTTCTTCAATCCATACTCCGTAAAGCAGTCATATTGATATTCCTAAACCACAGGTTTGACCATTTCACACTCCCCTGTTCAAAAAAGCTCCAATGGCTTCCTATTTCCTCTAGAATAAAATATATAGATTACTGTATTTGACTTTTAAAATCTTTCAAAATCTAGCTTTACCCTACCTTTCCAGGTTTATTACATTACTCCCCTTCCCATACTGTCTGTACTAGTCATCTGACCTATTTGCTGTTCCTCGCACATGCCATGCTGCCTCCTGACTCCCTTCTTGCCTTTGCATGTGCTGCCCTGCATTCCTGCATTCCTAACCTTTACCTTCTAGACTCCCTAGCTTTCTTCAAAGCCTATCTCATGTGCTATCTCCTATGATAGGCCTTTCTTGATCTCTCCTCCCCCCAAATTACCTCATTTGTTCTGTATGTCTTTTTTTATATGTGTACCTGCTGTTCTGAGAGAATGTAAATTCCTTAAGAAAAGGGATTCTTGTCTCTTAAATTGTTTTTGTATCTCCATTCCTAGAATTGTGCTTTACATAATGGAAATGCTTACTAAATGCTTGTTGATAGATTGAAAATGTAGCAAACCAAGCAGAATAAAAAGTCCATGGGAGCAACTAGGTGGCTCAGTGGATAGAGCACCAGCCCTAGATTCAGGAGGACCTGAGTTCAAATCCGGCCTCAGACACGTAACACTTACTACCTGTGTGACCCTGGGCAAGTCACTTAACCCCATTGCCTAGTCAAAAAAAAAAAAAAAGTCCACGAAGGAAGAGTAAGGTTTCGGTGCCTTTGTCAATGAATAAAGATGGAGTGGTGAATATCCTAAGATTTAGTTAGGCCTGTAGTACCCTGTGGGTAAGATTTCTCTAAATCTTAGGAAAAAATGGCCAGAAAAGGGTAGACAGTATTTCTGCACTTTTGCCAGTTTCCCAGAGTGGATCGTGAGAACCCCAGTAATTCATGCAGATATAATCACTGCCATGAAATATTAAATCTCTTGTGAAGGTGAAGAAATTGCTTCTCAAAAAGTGATGATTAGCAGGGACATGAGGTGGAACTAGAGGAAGGCCTGATGGTTTTAAGAGTAATATTCCTTCTTATCCCTATGTTCTAGGTGAGAAACATAGTGAAATTTGGCTATAGTTTATTTTAATTAAGGTCAATGTACTCCATGCTTTTCTGTGTGTTTTTTGTTGTTATTCTGGTTCTCTTATCAAGTGTGTTCTTTGATTATACATTTTAGAAAAATAACTATCATGCTTAATTAGACTTTTGAACAAAACATATATGTCATATGGGGAATGTGAATAAATTATAATAATTTTTGCTTTTTGTTTTGTTTTGTTTTGGTTTTTTTTTTTAGGCAGTCGGGGTTAAGTGACTTGTCCAGGGTCACACAGCTAGTTAAGTATCAGGTGTTTGGTCTGAGGCCGGATTTGAACTCAGGTCCTCCTGACTTCAGGGCCGGTGCTCTATCCACTACATGACCTAGTTGCCCCTGTCATCATCTTTTGTTAAGAGATTTTGTAAATAGTAGTTAACAGAAAAGGGGTGGGGGGATAGGGGGGGCAGGTATGAAAGTAACTGTGTGATAACCTGTTGTCTCAAATGGTAAACATTGTATATTCTGGGAAGAACTGCTTTTGGTCATGTCTTCTCTTTTACAGTGATGTTACGATTTCAACTTGTCACAAATCAGCCACAATTGGAACGCGATTGATCTTTGATCACAATGGGAAAATTGTTCAAAAGACCCCTTACCCCCGACCACAAGGGACAACTGTCAGTGTTCAGCAATTGTTTTCTACCCTGCCTGTGAGACATAAAGAATTTCAACGAAATATTAAAAAGGTATAGTGAATTAAAAACTCTGATATTTAAAAGTTTTTTTATCATTATATTAAGCATATAAGTATAATAAGTTACTTTTTCAATACTTCAAAAGATCTGTAATTTCATTCATATAAATATGTTTGCCTTTCCAGACATTAGTAGACAACTTGAGTTGCTGTGGTCAAAATAAAATTATCACACAATGGCCAACTTTATGGAAAAAAGCCTTTCCAAACCATAGACTCAGTAACTGACAGTCCATTACTGGGCCCACACTCAGACCCTGTCCAGCTCAATAGGATGCACCAGTACTTGTGTTCCTCTGGTTTAGCTTTTGAAAAATTCTAATCCTAATGAAGTATCTTAGTAGGATTTTGGTAGAGAGAGTGCTTTCTGCTTTGTCTTCACGTTCTACCTGACCAATCAATGGTATATATACCCAGACCATTTTCCCCTCTACCTCTACCCACCTCAACCAACATCTTCCACACTGATCTTTACCTCCAGAATTCATGTTTCCAGTTCTTAGGGAAGTTAATCCACTCATCTTAGCTCCTGCTCTAGGGCCTAGCTATCTTGATTAGTGAATGAGTGAGTACAAACTAGCCCACAAAGCTCACTATATCTACTAACTGACCCCTGACCATGGTTGACCTTCACATCCCATCCAGCGTACACGTAGGCTATCTTGCCATCTGTCTCCTACCATGCTTCTGTACCCATACCTCCACTTCCTGTATCTTGCTTTGCTAATATTATCAATAGTACCACTACTTCTGGAAAGGGCATTTCATTTGAGTGCTATACTAATCAACTCATTATCTCTGTGAATTGCCACACCAAAACTCCTTTCCCTGTTTACTACTCCCTTATATATGTTGACTTCCCATTTTAGAATGTAAACTCTTCCAGGGCCAGGGACTGTTTTACTTTTTTAAAAAGTTATTTGTATCTCCATCATTTAATAAGTAAGTAATTAATAAATACTTTTTAATTTATTCATTCATTTATTCCGGTGTAGTAAAAATGTATCACTGATGTTTTCTTATTTTATTGATTCTGTTCTCTTAATTCTTTTGAAAATTATTTAGTTTGTTTTTTCCCTTTAGTTAGATATTACTATATTAAAACAGTCTTAAATTTTTTCTTAGAAATAATCTTCAAATAGTTGTTGAATGTCCATGCATGTATATAATGAATCAGAAATTACATTATTTCACTCTGAGTTTTTTAATTCTGAAAGTTTATCTTTAATAGCTTTACATGTATTTTAAGAACATTCTCCATTTTTTTGAAACTTTGAGAAATAACTCAGTAAAGCCTTCATGTATTTGAATGAAAATTAAGTACGTGATCATGCATTGAACAAGTAGCTAAAAACTTTTTTAACATATAAAGTATTTTGCAGGAGGCTAACTTGTGCCCAAGTTTTATATATTGTACTTATTCTGAACAGAAGAGTCATGTATTTATTTAGGAATGTCTCTTTAAGAAAGTCAGCAAGTGTTAATACTAACTAGAGGAATATGGAAGCCAAAGATTTTGGGCTCCATTTTATGCTGTAATTGAGTGCTGTGTGTCTTAAATTAGGTTATTTTCCATGCTTCAGGTTTCCTAACAACAGGAAGAATTGTTTTTGTTAAAGTACTTTGAGAACTTCAAGTATGCAATTATAATTGTTGCACAATGATTATTGTATTCTTTCCCAATTATAAATGATTGAGAGGTTTTTTGGATTTTTGTTGTTTGTTTTTAACCAGGAATTCACCAAAATGGTACAGGTATTACAAGCATACTGTATCATTTCAACAGGTATTCGAATAAACTGCACCAATCAGGTTGGACAAGGAAAACGACAGACTATTTTGTGCACAAATGGAAACTCCACAGTAAAGGAAAATATTGGAGCAGTGTTTGGACAAAAACAGGTAATAATTGCCAAAGAAATTGTATTGTAGTTGTGGCAGGTTATTGCCTTTTTGGAATTAGTGTTTTCCAAGAAAAATCCAATAACTAAATGTTCTTAAACATTTCCCACTAAGATTAGTTGAATTAGAATCATTAGTTGCTTGTTTGAAAAAACAAAAAGCTATTTTGCCCTTTCTTGTTGGAAAGAAAACCATACCCTTCTGCTCCTGCTCTGGAAACTTGTAGGTAATATTCTGTCCAGTAAATGGAATGGCCTGAATTTTCCTGCTTTTCAAATGTGTGTCAGAAGTATGATGAGAATCACTTTGTAAGCCAAACAAATAAAATCAAGTTCCCTTGCTTTCCTATTGTAGTTTAATTAAACTTAGAGAGGAAAACAGAGGGGGAAGAAGTCATATGCCTTATTTCCGGAATTTAGATTTACTCTATTAGATAATAACAATGAACCATGATTTCTTTCAGTTGCAAAGCCTCATTCCCTTTGTGCAGCTGCCACCTAGTGAATCAGTTTGTGAAGAGTATGGTATTGACTATAGTGATGCACTACATAATCTCTTTAGGTAAGTAAGTGACTAAAGATCTTTGCCTACATGATTCACTTGGAGTTATTTGATGAGACTTTTTAAGGGAAAAATGATGATTTAGGAATTGCATAAAATTGTGAGTGATATTGCTGCTGAGAAGACAATTTAGGGAAAATGCTATAAGAAAGAAACCAGATGCTTGATATAAACATGAATAGGAATAAAAGGAGTTTCTTTGTTCTATATAATTTGGCACATTTTCAGTTTTTCTGCTGAATTTTTATCCTTAGTGAAGGTTTTAGGCAATAAATGATCAAAATAATTTTAAAACATAAAATCATATATAATATTTTACTTACAAAATTATTTTAGCATAGCAGAAGAATATAGTACTGATTTTATAGCATGTTTTATTTCTTTTTGCTTAAGTATTCCTGCCTTTTCACAAACTCTAACTTATTTCTTTTTTGAAAATAAATTTTATAGATGCCTTTTTCTACATCACAGTGATTCCTATCTAGAAGTACATTAACCACTATCCTCCAACTCCTTTGAATTGCCTTGTTTTGTTTGTTTTAAATTTAATTTGATTTTTTCCAATTAGCAAAAAGGTATTTTCTCTCCCTTCCACCTTTACCTCCCCGGGGGGGAAAAAATCCTTTTAACAAAAATACGTAGTCAAGCAGCACAATACCTTGGACATGTCCAAACAGTAGCTGTCTCACTCTACATCTTGAGTCTATCTCTCTGTCAGGAGATAGGTAACTAGCCTCATGGAATCATGGTTGGTTATTGTGTTGATCATAATTCTTAAGCCTTTCAAATTTGAACCCTCCCTTGTAACAAAGAAAGCAGTTAAGTAAAACTTAACTGATAAACAATACAGTGACTTCTTCAGCCTGGATATAACATTCTGCCTTTGTTACGCCTCACCTCTTTGACAAGAGGAGTGAGAGATAAACAGAATTATATAGTCCAGTTGGGCTGGAAGAACAGGGCTCTCTCTGGATTCTTCCAGTGAGCCACTGTGCATGGGGTCTATGTATTTTGTAGGTCAGAATCCTCTCCAAACCATAGCCCATGATTCCCTACTAATGCATTTTCTTTTTTACCAGTCACAGAACACACAGTTTATAAGAAAAGCTCAAAGGAAAGGCCAGGTGGGGAAGATAATTTGTTTAGTTTTGGTCATGGTAGTACCCGAATATGCTTATATGGGTAGAGAGGAAAGGAGATTATTGATAATTCAAGAGAAGGAGGCAGTTGATGAAACAAGATCCTAGAGAGCTTGGAGGGGATCAAGGACAAAAGTAGAAGAGTTACCCTTGGAAAGGAGGTAGGCTTACTCTTTTCTTTGAGATAGAAGAGAAAGAAGACATAACAGTTAAAGATAGAGAAGTTTTGAGGTGAAGAAAAGTGTAGAGAGTAAACCTATCAGATGATCTGAATTTTTTCACCAGAATAGGAGATGAAATTATCTGCTGAGATTGATTTGGGACTCAAAAATCATTTAATGTAAGAATTTAATTTCACAGTAATATATGAAATTCTGTCATTAAACATTTCCTTGGATATTTTTTATTAAAACTCAAATATTCAGTAAACAGTTATTATCACATTGTGATTAAGTGTATTTACTAAGGATGAAACAAAGATCTAGTTCTGGAAGGTAGACTTGAATGAATTTTCCTGAACAGGTAGGAGCATTAGGAATGTGAGTGGAGGTCAGTATACCCTAGAGGAGAATAGAGGAGGTGAGAAGGGAACCAAATAAAAGTTTTGTGAGTAAGTATGATAAAGAATATATAATGGAAATCCTATGAAATTACTGGAAGTATTCTGTTTTCTATTTCTCTGAGAAGGAGGAATAGAGTATACCTAAAATATTTTAATAGTATATCACCAGATTTGGGGGATTTGGAGGAGGGGAGAGGACAGTAAGGGGGAAAACTTGGAGCTTTAAAAAACACTTTAAAATCATTGTGCTAAATGACAACAGTTCTTTGCACATAGTAGATGTTTAAAAATATTTGTTTAATTGAATATATGTTGAGAAATTACTTTCTTTCTCTGAGTCCCAACCCTTATCATATTAATGTAAAATAGTATTTCAGGTTTTGTTTCCCATTCTGACCATGGTGTTGGAAGGAGTACAACAGAGAGGCAGTTTTTCTTTATCAATCAACGGCCTTGTGACCCTGCAAAGGTAAATTACTAGCAGCACTGTAATATAAAGTTATTCCTTCCATATCATGAGAGTCAGGGGGGCGGTAGCCCCAAGATCTGGAAAATCCACATAAAATGTTTTGGGCCCTCCCTTTGTACCAAAGAAGTCTGAAGTAATTATGATATTAAAAGATAAAATATGTTGATATTATACAATACTATACATATATTTTATGCATTTCTGAATTTCCAAACTTTTTCTGCATTGTCTGCTGACCTTTACATGTCATCTGTGGCTTCTGCAAAACTCCCCCAAAATTCCCATTTAATTTCTTATGCCAACCCGCAGTATGTTGAAACTGTGATGGGAAAAGTCATGATGTGGAAAGGATAACTGTATATATTTTTGTCTTTAATTTCCCTTTTTTCCCCCCTCAATATTTTGTAGTCACTTTTGATATTCAAAGGTTCTGATATAGTAAGTTCTAAGTGAACTGCCTGCTGTGACTACCCAGAAATTTTACTCCATGTCATCCATTGGAGGCATTTCTGTTTTGCTAGAGATCCTCTATAGCAAGCTCTTAGGTATCATTTTAAGGTTTACAAAGCACTTTCCCCACAACATCCCTTTGAAGTAGGCAATGTCTTATACTCATTTTACAATTAAATAGAGAAGTTGAGGGTAGAGAGGATAAGTTCAGAATTTTTTTTATCTATACTACACTGATGTTACAAATATATTTATATTTGTTACTAATGAAAATTAAAATAGAATTAAATTAAACTTAAGAAGACAAATGTTCCAAGTGTTCACAATATTTCACTCAGAGTTGGAACTTCAGGGTAGTTTTTGGATCATAGATCTAAAGTTGGAAGGGACCTTAAAGACCATCTAGTCTATCCTTCTCATTTTATAGATGAGGAAACTGAGGCCCCAGTAGGTTAATTGACTAGCCTACACTCGTGAAGATTGTAAACTTGAGAGGCAGACTTTGTACCCAGGTTCTCTGATTCCAAAGCCAGTGACTGGTCTTTGCCTTGTGCTATGCTGCCTCCAATTTCTTTATAACATATATGGCAGGTGACCATCTTTTCGATTTTTGAGGATTTTAATTTTATAAATCCCAAGGTTTCTTACGGCAGCTTATTCTTTTGTTTTTTGAAAAAAATTGTCAACTTAAACACCAGAAAAAGAGAGCATTTCCTTACAGAGTAGGACACAAAAAGAGGAAATTATATGAAACCATGATTCTCCATTTCACACTGCTTGCTTTTTCATGCCACTTCCCATATATATCTATATATAAAAAATTCTACACATTACTTTCAAAACTATCCTACCAGACTATGTTTCCTTTTGAACTTCCTTCTATACTCTTCTGTGTTACAATGGCCCTCTCTTCTTTTCAAATTGCTATTGCCAACCTCTGCCTTCCCTCTTGATCTCCTCCCACTCAGTAAAAACCTAGGGAAAGAGGAATCTAAAAAAAACCCTTGTAACAAATATATATAGACAATAAAAAGAAAGCCACACAGTGGCCATGTTCAAAAACATATTTCTCTTTCTGCACCTTGTGTTCATCCCCTGTAAGGAGGTGAGTAACATGCTTCATCTCAGGTCCTCTGAAGACATAGTTGATCATTGCATTAGTCAGAATTTTTTAAGTCTTTCAAAGTTGTTTCTCTTTGCAATGTTACTATCCTTTTATAAACTATTCTGGTTCTGTTCACTTCTCTCTGGGTCAGTACATACTACCCAGGATTCTCTGAAATAAATTTTTTCCCTTTACACAGTAATATTCCATTACCTTCATATGCCACAGTTTGTTCAGCTATTCCCTCACTGTCTCAAGGCAATCTAAGGCCTCTTGTACCTTGTATTATAGTTCTTTCCCCATCTTACCCCTGCTTGTTTCCCTGTTGGAAGTTTTATTTTTCTTTACCATACTACGTATGTTCAACCTGTTTGTCCATTTCAGGGAACAGTGAGGTTCATATTTGTTGCCCAGTCCTCTCACCCCATCTATGTTTATATACGCTTTTTATTCCTCCCACTTATAAGATACAGCAAGTTCTACCCTTTTCTTTTTCCTTTCTAGACTCCTATATGCCTCTTTTTAGCCTCCACTTTCTTTCCTTTCTTTAAACCTTCAGAATAGCCTACTCCCAGGACCTCTGTTGTTCTTATTAATGCCTTCAATCCCTTTGAAGATATGAAAGTTCTGAAGGGATGCTTGTTTCTTGTCCCCCATTAGAACGTTAGCTCTATCTCATCATGCAAATCCTTCCAAGTTCTCAAATAAATTTACCTTTCTGGGTTCTTCTGGACTCTTGTGCTTATATTTCAGAGTTCCTATTCAGCTTTGGCCTTTTCACCAGAAATAGCTCAGTGGATAGAGCACTGGCCCTAGATGCAGGAAGACCTGAGTTCAAATCCGACCTCAGACATATAACACTTATTAGCAGTGTGACCCTTGGCAAGTCATTTAACTCCATTGCCTAACCAAAAAAACCCCAAAAAACAAACAAACAAAAAAAACAAAGCAAAAAAACCAGAAATACCTGAAAACCCTCTATTCTATTAAAAATCCATTTTCCCCTATCAGATTATACTCAGCTTTGCAAGATAAGTTTTCTTTGGTTATAAGTCTGTCTCTTTTGCCTTTTTGAGTATTATATTCCAAGATCTCATTGATATTAGAAGATGCCAGGTCTTATGAAACTCTGACTTTGATACTTGAACTGCTTCTTTTTGGATGCCTGTAGTATTTTTTCTTTGATATGGGATCTCTGGATTTTGGTTATAATGTCCCTAGGACTTTTCCTTTTGGAGTTCCTTTTAGAAAGTAATCAGTGGAATTTTTTCTTTGTTTTGCTTCCTGGTTCTGATAGATATAGGAAATTTTCATTTATGATTTTTTTAAATCTAGTGTTCCAGGCTTTTTTAACCATTAGTTTCAGGCAGACTAGTGATTCTTAAGTTATCTTTCTTGATCTGTTTTTTGGGTCAGTTGTTTTTTGATATCTGATATCTTATATTTTCTTCTATTTTTTTCAGTCTTTAGACTTTGGTCTAATTTTTCTTGCTGTCTCATGGATTCGTTGATTATAGACAAGGAAACTATAGCCTAGAGGCATGAAATGCCTCTTAGACAATGTCCTAGCAAAAATGGAAAACTATAGTGATCGGCTCTTTTGCATTAGCCCTTTTTTAAAGGATTTCTAACCCTCTCCAGATAAATCCATAAATCCATAGTCACCAGCTACAAACAACCCAGATCTTGGACTGTCATTAACATTTATAGTTCAGATGATGAAATGGAGGGACCTGTTTATAAATCAGTTTAAAGGCAGCCATGTCATTGTCTTTTGGGGTTTCTGCTCTGGATGATTTGATATTTTTTTTTCTTTCAGAGATTGACTTTTGGCTTTGCCTTACACAACTGCTGCTTATGTCATAAAGTGGGAGCCACAGGGCTGGGGAAGGAGAAAGTGGGGGTACTAGTCAGGTGGACCCAAGCCTTCAGTGCTTCTCATTTTTCATAGGCTCATAGATCTATAGTGGAAGGGACCACAGAGGCTTAGACCGACCCCTTCATTTTATACATAAGGAAACTGAGTCCCAGGGAGGTTAGATGAATTGCCCTAAGTCACATGGGTGGTAATCATCAGGTGGGGTTTGAATTTAGGGCTTTGGACTCCAGAGTCAGGGGTTTTTTCTTATATGTACCATAATCCCATTCTGTTCTCTGAAGAAAAGATTTGTGGGTTGGGAGTAAGGGACAAAGAGGACTATCATATGGGAAAGAGCCATTCTCCAGGCTGTATTCTTGACTTTCCACCTTGTATTTGTACTCTACCTACCACGTTGCTTTTCAGCTCCCTTTTATACCTTGTCTTTCCCCATTGGAATGTAAGCTCCTCGAGGGCAGAGAAGACCAGGTTTTTTGTTTTTGTTTTGTTTTGTTCTTTCCTTGTTTGTATTTGTAGTCTCTGTGCTTAGCACAGTTTCTGGCACATAGTAAGGGGGTTTTTTTTTGTTTTGTTTTGTTTTTTAATTTTTAGTAACAAATTCTCTCCTTCACTTTATCCTTCCCCCACCCATTGAAAAGGCAAGAAATATGATACCAATTGTACATATGAAGTCAAATGCAAAACATATTTTTGCATTAGCTATGTTCTGAGGGAAAACAAAGCAAGAAAAATAAAGAAAGGAAAAAATATGCTTCAGTCTATAGTTTGAGTCCATCAGTTCTCTAACTGGAGGTGGATGGCATTTTTTATCATAAGTCCTGTAGAGTTATAGTGCATCATTGTATTAATCAGAATTAGTAAGTCTTTTATAGTTGATTATCTTTAGAATATTGCTGTTACTGTGTATATTGTTCTGGGTTCTTCTCACCTCACTTTGAATCAGTTCATGTAAGTCTTCTCAGGTTTTTCTGAACCATCCCCTCCATCATTTCTGACAGCACAGTAGTATTCCAATTTATTCATACACTATAACTTGTTTAGCTATTCCCCAGCTAATGAGTATCGCTTCAGTTTCCAATTCTTTGCCACCACAAAATATTATGTGCAATATTTTTGTACAAATAGATCATTTTCCTTTTTCTTTGAACTTCCTAAATAACTCCATTACTTAGGAAGACCTAGTAGTGGCATTACTGGGTTAAAGTATATTTATACTCTTTGGACGTAGTTCTAAATTGTTCTCTGGAATGATTGGACCAGTTCACAGCTCCACAAACAGTGCGTTAGTGTCCTTATTTTCCCATATCCCTTCCAGCATTTGTTATTTTCCTTTTCTGTCGTCTCAGCCGATCTGATAGGTGTGAGGTGGTACCTGAAAGTTGCTTTAATTTGCAGTTCTCTAATTCTTAGTGATTTAGAACATTTTTCATATGGCTGTTGATAGCATTGATTCCTTCCTCTGAAAACTGCCTGTACATAAGTTTTTAATAAATGTTTGTTGACTTGCTTGGTTTAGTACAGTTTTCAGGGATTCCTACCATTTCTTTCCTCCAGAGCTTTAACTTCATTTTTTATCTCATTTCTTCTTTTAGTTATTCATGTAGTCCCTCTGGAAAATCCATTTTTTTCTTTGACTCTGTGTTTGCAGTTGCTGTGGAGTTACTCCTTCCTTTGGGGATTTCTAGATTTGCAATAAATTTTTATTACTTATCTCCAGCTTTAGTTTCTGAATTGGGCCTTTGTGCCCTTTGTTGTACTTTTGGATTGGGTGGTTGAACGTGCTTGGTCTCTACCCTGAATCACCTGGGTTCTTGTGCAGATCTCCAACTCCCAAGATTAGGCCTCACTGGATCTTTTTTTTTTTTATTCTGAACTTAAGAAATAAAACAAGCATTTCCAGAACATAGTAGAATAGAAAAAAAGATGATTGACCATGAAACTGCAAATCTGTTATGTACAACTTGCTGTTCCTTTTAAATATATATAATAAAATATCGTGTAACTTCCTTTTTTCTTTTTCTTCCGCCCCCCCTTCCAGTCCTGGAGATGGCTATTATTACACACAAATGTGTGTGTGTGTGTGTGTGTGTGTGTGTGTAAAACCATTCTATATATACTTCTATTTATCAATATTTTCTCTGGATGCAGATAGCATCTTCTTTCATATGTCCTTTATAATTAATTTAAATATAATGCTCAAAATGACTTAGTTACTCAAAGTTATTCTTAAAACAATATTGTTGTTCCTGTGTACAAGGTTCTCTTGATTGTGCTCATTTTGTTCTTCATGATTTCATGTCAGTCTATCCATGTTTTTCTAAGATCATTGAACTCATCATTTCTTATAGCACTGTAGTATTCCATCATGATCATATACCATAACTTGTTCAGCCATTCCCCAATTGATGGACATTCCCACAATTTCCAGTTCTTTGCCATCACAAAGATCACTGAATCTTTGAGGTTAAGAATTCTGGGCCTTCTGTATCCCAAAGAGATCATAAAAATGGGAGAAGGACCCACATGTACAAAAATATTTATAGCAGCTCTTTTGTGGTAGCAAAGAATTGGAAATTGTAATGGAATTACAATTACAATGGAATTGTAATGGAATATTATTATTTCATAAGAAATGATGAGCAGACTGGGAAGTAAGGTACAGGGAAATAATACAGGCAATGGGGTATAGAAATCTATTTATAGATAGAAGGGGAAGGGGATAAGAGAAGGGGGGGAGATAGAAGGGAGTGCAGATTAGGGTATGGAGTATTCAGAATGCATGCCATCTTGGGATAGGAGAAGGGACGAGATGGGGAGAAAATTTGGAATTCAAAATCTTGTGGAAGTGAGTGTTGAAAACTAAAAATAAATAAACTAATAGAGAAGACAACTATCAACAAGAGGATGGATTTAAGCTTGGCATGAGGGAGACAGTGCAAAGACAAGGTGAAGTGTAAAATGTCTAATCAGTTATTCTGGAAACTAATTCATTCTTAGATGGTCGTAAGTATCAAATTCCTAGCATGATATAACAATAGTACTGCTTTTTATTTGTTCTATCAAATATGTGCTTTTCAGTTTTTTATCTATAGTATTTCTTTTGTGCATGGGAAATAAATATGTGTCTCATACCAGAGTCATATTAATAAAAAAAAGAAAGAAAGAAAAGAAATGATGAGCAGGCAGATTTCAGAAAAACCTGGAAAGACTTAAATGAACTAATGCTGAGTGAATTAAGCAGAATCAAGAGAACACTGTACATAGTAACAGCAACATTGTGCGATGACCAACTTTGATAGAGTTAGCTCCTCCCAGTGATGCAGTGATCTAAGACAATTCCAAAAGAATAAAACTGGAAATGCTATCCACATCCAGACAAAGAACTATGGAGTCTGGATGCAGATCAAAGCATACAATTTTCTTTTTTTTTTTTCTTTCTTGTGGTTATTCCCTTTGGTTCTGATTCTTCTTTATGACATGACTAATGTTGTAATATGTTTAATATGATTGTACATATATTACCTATATCATATTGCATGCCATCTTGTGGAGGGAGAGGGGAAAATTTAGAACTCAAAATCTTAGAAAAGTGAATGTTCAAAACTAAAAATAAGTAAATACATTAAAAAAAAAAAAAGAAGAATTCTGGACCTTCAGGGCTCTTTGTGACATCTTGAAACAGAGTGTTAGGGACATTTTGCATCTTTAGTTGTGTTGAGAGGCAACCATTCACTGGCCAGCAGGTCCGATCCCTCTTTTCTCTTGCCTTTGAGCTTTTGGCTTTTTTAAAGTTCTGGCATGGAAGAAGTCACTGTAGTTTCTCATTGGATTTCTTGATCATTATTTGAACTTGTATGAATTTCAGAGTTATTCTGGAACCTGAATAGCCTGCTTCCTGTTTAAGCAGTCATCTTGGCCAGAAAAGCCCATTACATTTACAGACATGTCTTAATTATTAAGTTTTTTCTTTATATTAGGTTTAAATTTTCTTCTTTGAAGCATTCCTCCATTGCTCCATCCACTGGGGCCAGGCAAAGTAAGTTTAATCCTTTTTGTATACAGCCTTTCAGATATTTGAGGGCAACTTAAATCTTTTCTTCAAGGTTAGCATTTCCATTTTTTTTTCACCTGATGCTGCTCTGTTATTCAATTCTTTTACCATTCTGGTTGCAATTCTGTGTACCTGCTTCCTTTCATTAGTGTTCTTCCTAAATTTGTGGTATCCTGAATTGAACACATTGTTTTGGATATGGTCTGACCAGGAAAAAGGGTATCAGATCCTCACTTCTTTCATTCTACACACTACTGGGCAGCTAGGTGGCGCAATGAATAGAGCACCAGCCCTGGAGTCAGGAGGACCTGAGTTCAAGTCCAGCCTAGGGCACTTGACACTTACTAGCTGTGTGACCCTAGGCAAGTCACTTAACCCCATTGCCTCGCCAAAAAAACAAAAACAAAAGCATTCTGCACACTACTTCCGATAATGTGATCTAAGATTTTACTAGCTTTTTCATTAGTAATTGTAAGATAGTTGCTCTGTCTTACACACATTGAGTGTGCAATACAGTGGAAAATTCCAAACTTTTTTCGTATACCGCCATGCCTCCTTCGTTTTTTAATCCAATTGTCAATCTTTATATTTATCCTTATTAAATTTTATCTCTTCCACTTTGGCCAGTTGTTCTCTCTTATCATGAAGTTTGGGAATCCTAACTCTGTCATACACATTGTTAGCATTTTCTCTCTCCTAGCTTTATGTCATCTGAAAATTTTACAGATTTACCACCTGTGCCTTCAAGTCACTAAAAAAATGTTGAATAGCACAAGACTAGCCCTCTCCTAGAGACCTCCTTAAGAATGGACACGAGGGAAGCAGATAGGTAGCGCAGTAGATAGAGCACTGGCCCTGGAGTCAGGAGGCCCTGAGTTCAAATTTGGTCTCAGACCAGACACTTGACACTAGCTGTGTGACCCTGGGCATGTCACTTAACCCAATTGCCTCACCAAAAAAAAAAAAAAGGAATGGATACCAGGCCACTGAAGACTATTCTATGTGTCTGGACATTCATCCAGTTTAGAAAACTCCTAACTGTATTATCCTCTAACCCACAATTCTCCAAACCTGTGTGTTTCTCTAGACTGAATTTACACATATATTTTTACGTACCTTCTTAACCATTTTCCAGGTGTATATATATGTAACTTCTGCCTCAGACTAATGTTATAACCTTTAAATGAGTACTACGTGTATGTATGGTTCGGTTTTAAACTCACATCCTTAGCATCTTGGAACTTTATTATAGCTATTTTCCATTTCTCAATAACATTTTAAAATCCACTGATGTTTCCCGTCAGCACTGATTCCACCATTTTGAATGTCTACTTTTCCTCATATTACTATTCATCCGATCATATGACACAATACCAAAGCCAACTAGCAGTCTTGTCATATGCTTATATAGTGTATCACGTTTATGTTTACCTATATAAATGTCTTCATCTAGACCCAAACTATGTCTGCATCCTACTGAAACACTGGGATGTAGTGGATTACTTTTGAATAAACATAAAGATCCATAAACTGATTCATAAAAGTGCTCAGCACAGTGCCTAGCATATGGTAGGCACTTAATAAATGTTCATTGATGGATTTTTTAGGAATCAGCATTTTAAAAAAAAAAATCCATATCACTTTACCTTTCTGGACCTTCAATTCCTCATGTGAAAAATAAGAATATGGTACTAAATCAGGACTTGACAGACTATAGCCCAGAGGCCATGTCTGGCCCACCACCTATTTTTGCCTGCCTGGAGCTAAGAATTTGGTTTTTTTTACATTTTAAAAGTTAAATTCAGCAAAACTTTATCATAAAATGTAAAAACATTCTTAGCTTGTGGGCCGTTAAAAAACAGGCGGCAGGTCAAATTTGTCCTGTGACTGTACAAAAACAGGCAGAGGGCTAGCTTTGGCCCACAGAATCTAGTTTGCCAACCCCTAAACTAAATAATCTCTAAGGACTCTTCAAGCTCTAATATTTTATAATTCTAAGAGTAAATGTTGGTTGACCAGTTACTATAATGTAAAAGAAAATAGAATATTTATAACAAGTATTAATGTTTGTTCTTTCTGTAGATTTCCAGACTAGTGAATGAAGTCTACCACTTATACAATCGGCACCAGTATCCATTTGTTGTTCTTAACATTTCTGTTGATTCTGGTAAGTTCTAATGTCTGTCAATTCTGGTTTTTTCCATTTTGTACCCATTACTGTTGCCTTGGTTCCGGCTCTTACCTTTAATGCTGCAATAGCCTCCTATTCCTGGTTTTATCTTCCCCATTCCCCAATCCATTCTACATCTTATTGAAAGATTACTCTTCCTAAAAATCCCACTCCTAATCCTTCCCTCTCACGTTCAGAAATTCAGTTCACTTTTATTTAGCCAATATTAATTATACTTCCTGTTTTTGGCACCATGTTAAGTACCGGGAGAGACACAGACAAATAAAACATGGTGCAGGCACTCAAGGATTTTACTTCTTAGTAGGAGAGATGAGGCAAATAAAAAAATAACTAAAATACAAACTGGAATCCAACAGCTCCAATTAACATGTTATGAAGGAGGGACCGATTACTTCTGGGAGATCAGTGAAGGCTTCCTGTTTGTTGAATAGAGGAGGTGGCATTTGAACTGGGCCTGGAGAGACAGGAAGAGTTCATTCCAGACATAGAAAGCAGTGCGGAAAAAAACCAAACAAATAGTAAACTATTCAATAGCTTCCCATTGCTTACCAAATAAAGTTCAAATTACTTAGTTTGTTGTTCAAGAACCTTTGCTATATGGGCCAAAGCTACTTTTCTAGCCTAATTTCACACTAGACCCCACCTTATACCCTGTGTTCCAACCACAAACTGGATTACTAAATTTCTTGAGCCTACCTTGCAATTTTCTTTCTCTGAGCCATTGCCTTCTCCTTCCCCCCAACTGTATTTCCATCTTTTGAAATCCTTCCAGTTTTTTAGGACCTTTACACTCCTCTCCATTTCTTTCTACTCCACTCCTAATTAGAATTGATCCTTTCTTCCTTTCAACCACGAAATGCTTTTCATATACCTTTCTTATGGCATTTATATTCTTTGTTATACTATAGTTGTTTGTGTATTTGCTATATCCTTTTTTCATCTGCCCTCACACTCCCAAATTATAAGCTCCTTCAGGACAAGGACCCTATCTTACTTGTCTTTGTCTCCCCATAGTGCCTCATGCCATGGCATATTCATAGCAGAAAATGAATGAGTATTTGTTTAATTGAATTGAAGTCCTTTAAAACTTGGACCATATTACTCCATTGTCCCGACCCGCGGGACATCAACGGAGGTCCGGACCTGTAAAAGAAGGAGGGGAGCAGGGGACACAGGAAATGGAGACAAGACAGGCTTTCTGATCAAGTCTCGTTTATTGAAGGCAAGCTCAGGGTAGTTATACACACAGTAAGAGGGAGTGGGGGAGTTCCACCAACGGTATAGGGGCGGGGTATTCCAGGAAGAGATACAGCTTTGTCCGTAATCTGTTCTTATCACAAGGACCACCAAGGGTATAGGGGCGGGGTATTCCAGGAAGAGATACAGCTTTGTCCATAATTTGTTCTTATCACAAGGAGGCCTTGACAACTGCAACCTAGTAATTTTCCAGAGGTCATACTGGGCCTGTGGTCCCTTACACTCCATTAAGAAAAAAATGAAATGATATAGCTATAATATGAATGGAAACAACTTACTGTACAACCATGACCACTTTAAAACTAAGTTAATTATCTTTTTAGGGAAAAGGTGGCTTTTTAATGTTGTAGCCAAAGGGGAAGCAAGAATGTGCAATGAGGTTTTTAGAGGTAACATGCTCTCCCCGGCTCTTAGGAAGTGACCTCTTTGCCTATTTCTGTATTATTTGTAGTAGAGTTGTAAAGTTAAAAGTTTGTATCTTTTGGCCATTCTTAACTGATAAAATGGAGAAATATGACTCCTCTCATTGTTAAAATTTAATTAAAAGTGTAATAAATTCCTTTTTGTTTTGTTTTTAGAGTGTGTGGATATCAATGTAACCCCAGACAAAAGACAAATTTTATTACAGGAAGAGAAGCTTTTGTTGGCAGTGATAAAGACATCTATGATAGGAATGTTTGACAGTAGTGTTAACAAACTTAGTGTCAACCAGAAGCCAGTTTTAGACATTGAAGGTAAGAAAATGATAACTGTATTTTTTAAAATGCTGTTAAAATTTTTACCTATTCTGACATGCTCCTTATTGTTCCGAAGGTAAAGTAGCTCTGTCACAGGATCAAAATTATCCTTTTTTAATGCATGAGTTAGTTGGATTTTATAATATATAGGTATATATTGGACACAAGTTACCTTAAATGTAATATGTATGGCTACCTCTGCCCACAGATCGTCAGAGACAAGGAGAGCCAGTTGTGTTCATAGAAGTAGAAGCTGAGGTTTTCAAACAAAGGATGATGTTTCCTGAGCAATAAAATCTAGCTTGAGTACATGTAAGCAGAGTTTATTGTTGTAATCAAATAAGATTTAGACAAAGCTAACCTGGCACACATTTATTGATATAACTAATTATTATTTTACAAAGTGGTAATTAGGCATAAATGGAAAGCCATTCACTATAATTAGCATGATTTCTTAAATAGTGTTAGTCTAGATATTTCTGGAATCAGTTGGGGGAGAGTGCTCCTGAAAGAAAAATGATACAAAGAGAAGAAGTTATGAGTCCCTAAATCCTCCCTTTTAGGGAGAAAAGCTAGCTATTGCTTCTTTACCTCTATCAAGTTTGGTCTTAGGGGTCTGAACTACACCTGGCAACCAAGGCTCTCTTTTTTTAAATTATGGCCAAACACTGTTAAATCCTCTTATTTCCAAGGAGGAGTCCCTGAAATGGTTTTCTCTTCATGTTTGTTTTAGGTAATTTATTAAAGATGTGTTCAACAGAGATGGAAAAACCCCCTCCAGAAAAGGAGAAGAATCTCATCTCACCACATACTAAAGGAGAAGAGAAAAGAACATTAACTATTGCCAGATTACGGGAAGCATTTTCTCTTCATCATACAGTAGAGCACAATTCTCAGAATCTGAAAACTCGTAAACAACCACAAGATTCTCCAAGACAGAGAAATCTTTGGTCATTTTGCAGCACTCCAAGTCCTGTAAACTCCCTCAAACCAATCGCTGGCGAAGAGTGCAGCAGTCAGGAGGAGATGCTGGAGCCAAACCCACACAGACACAGCAGTATGAATCCAAAGCCAGTAGACAGTGACAAAGATTCGGGACACAGTAGCACTTCCACACAGTCTGATGCAGGTCTCAGCACCCCAGAGAGGGGTACACATGTTGGCAGGGAATGTGTCACGAGTTCGCTTGAGGAAGGTTACACATTTTCAGAAGAAAGTGTTGAACCTTTTAAGAAATCACCAGAAACTGACAGTCAATTTTCAGTCACAGAATGTAGTTTGGAAGAAAAAGGTATTGAGAATGACTTCAGAAATTTGCCTCAGCCAAGCAATAACTCACCACCAAAAGGGAAGCGATTTAAAAAGGAGGTGGCTTCTTTAAATTTCAGTGTTCCCTCAAAGGTGATGAATTCTGAGGACTGTTCAGTATCACAGGTGGATGTAGCTATTAAAGTTACTAAAAAAGAGGTGCCTCTTAACTTCTCCATGAGTTCTTTAACTAAACGGCTGCAGCAGCTGCAGCAGCAGGAGCAACAAAGGGTAAAAGCACAGAATTATAGAAGATTTAGGGCAAAGATAAGCCCTGGAGAAAATCAGGCTGCAGAAGATGAACTAAGAAAAGAAATAAGGTATTTTTTGCCGTAATTGTGTTTTCCTATAACCCACTTGAGAGCAAAACAAATTGAGTAACATATGTTATGTTGTCACATATATATATAGAAAAATTAAGGTATTGATGCTAACTATTATTACAGTTCTGTTCAAATCCATTTAGCTCATAGCCATTTGAGATTTAAGTGACCTTTTAAGTCCTTGGAGCTGGATTCTTTTCCATTCTTCTGAGAATTCATCCATTCTCATGGCATCTCCTCTGTATCTCTATGTTAATAATGGGCCCCATATCAATAGGTATAGCCTTATCCTTTCACATAAGCTCTGGTATCGCTACCTCCTGGACATTCCCATTTTAATATCTCGCCCACCATTTTAACTTATCTTAAAATCCTTCCTCCCATCTTACATTCTGTATATGGACAGATTGTTCTCCACCCTCAATCTTATTTAGATCCTACCCATTCTTAAAACTCAAATTAAGACCCACCTCCTTCCAAGAGTTTCTTGGTCTTCTCTGAACTCATATATTTATTTACCTGTCAGACCTTTCAACTTAAATGTTATACTATTACCTCAAATGTGACTTACTTCTCTGCCTTCTCCCTACTAATGACTTCTTCTCTTTAGGGTGCTAATTTTCTCCCAGCTAACCAGGCCCAAGACCTTTAAGTCATCTTTAACTTTCATTTTTTTCTTGCTTTGCTCTTTTAGCTACATATCAAATCACTTTTGCTGTACTTCCTTCATGTTAAAGTCCTATGGCACCCTACTTCAAATTTTTTATCTCCTATCTGTTTCTGTTCTACTGTAGTAGATTCCTAATAGGTTTCCTTCCGTCTCTTTTTTTATTTTGAATTAGTGGATCTTCTGTTTCATTGCATAGAAAAATCTCCAACTTAGATTTAGCAAAAAGTCAGCATGTATTCAGAAACATAGTAGTTCCATTTCAACAACTTTTTTTTAGTGAAATCATATAATACACATACTTTATAAGGCAGAAACAGGTATTGAAGTAAATTTTTTACGGTTAATATGAGATATCTTTTAAAATGCCTAACAATACTTTAGCAGAGCAGATGCTCACATTGGTCATGTCTGAAAATATCTTTCTTGTTCTACCTCTGCCAAGAAGCAGGAAATACACTTTATCTTTATCTGGAATCATGGTTGGTCACTGCACTGATCAGAGCTAAGTCTTTCAAAGTTGTATATCTTAACAACATGTAAATTGGTCTTCTAGCTCTGCTTACTAAGCTCTGCATCAATTCATACTGTCTTCCTAGGTTTCTCTAAAATATTTCTTTCATCATTTCTTAATGACACAGTAATATTCCATATATTAATGTATCAATTTGTTCAGCATTCCCCAGTTGATGGACATTCCCTCAGTTTCCAGTTTAGGGCTACTACAAAAAGAATTGTTATAAAAAATGAGGCTTTTTCCTGTTTTGTTTTGTTTTGTTCTTTATCTGTTTGGGGCATAGGCCTAGTAAGGGTAGTGACTTTTGGGGCATTCCAGAGTAGCTAGACCAGTTCCTATGCTAGACCAGCAGTTCCTATGTTCCTCATAGGCCTTCCAACATTTGTCATTTTTCTTTTTTGTTAACTTTACCAGTCTGATGGGTATAAGATAGAATTTCAAAGTAGCACTAATTTACATTGTTCATTAATTTACATTTTTATTAGTGATTTGTAGCATTTTTCTTAACATGCTTTTCTTTTTTAATTTTGAGTTCCAGATTTTCTCCTTCCCTTCCACCCCTTTCCTACCCTCTCAGAAGGTAAACAAATGATGTCAATTATACATGTGAAATCATACAAAATATATTTCCATATTAACCATATTGCAAAACAAAACAAAAAAATAAAGTGAGAAAATTAGACTTCAATTTGTAGAGTTCCTCAGTTCTCTCTCTGAAGGTGGATAGCATTTTTTTTTTCATCATGAATCCTTTGGAATTGTCTTGGATCATTGTATTGATTAGAGTAGCCAAATCTTTCACAGTTGATCATCATTATAACATTGCTGTTACTGTGTATAATGATCTCCCAGTTCTTCTCACTTCACTTTGCATTACTTCATATAGATCTTGCCATGTTTTTCCAAAACCACTCCCTCATCATTTCTTATTGCACAGTAGTACTTCATCACAATCATATGTGACAACTTGTTCAGCCATTCCTCAATTGATGAGCATTCCCTCAGTTTCCAATTCTTTCCACCACAAAAAGCTACTATAAATATTTTTGTACATACAGGTCCTTTTTTTTTTCTTTGATCTATTTGGAGTAGTGGTATTCCTGAATCAAAGGGTACGCACAGTTTTATAGCCCTTTGGGCACAGTTCCAGATAGTTCTTCAGGATGGTTTGATCAGTTCACTATTTGACCAGTGGTTCATTAATGTACCTGATTTTCCTCATCCTCTCCAGCATTTGTCACTTCTGATAGGTGTGAGGGAGTACCTCAGAGTTGTTTTAATTTGCTTTTTTCTTTTTTTAAAAAATTTTAATCAATCAATTAATTAATTGTTAGTTTTTAACAGTCACTTCCACAAGATTTTGAGTTCCAAATTTTCTCCCCATCTTTCTTCTCCCTTCACCCCAAGACAGCGTACATTCTGACTACTTCTTCTCCTAATCTGCCCGCCCTTCTGTCACCCCCCCCCACACCTTCTTTCATCCCTTTCCCCTTCTATTTTCCTGTAGGGCAGGATAGATTTCTACACCCCTTTGCCTGTATATCTTATTTCCCAGTTTCATGTAAAAACAATTTTTAACATTTGTTTTTAAAACTTTAGGTTCCGAATTCTTTCCCTTCCTTCCTCCTCACCCACCCTCATTGAGAAGGCAAGCAATTCAACATAGGTTATACATGTATAGTCATGCAAAACACTTCCATAATAGTCATGTTGTGAAAGACTAACTATATTTCCCTCCATCCTTTCTTGCCCCCCCATTTTTTCTATTCTCTCCTTTGACCCTGTCCCTCCTCAAAAGTTTTTGCCTCCTCCCCCAATCTGCCCACCCTTCAATCATCCCCTTCTCCCTTATCCCCTTCCCCCTGTTCTCCTGTAGGGTAAGATAGAATTCCATACTCAATTGAGTGTGTATGTTATTCCCTCCTTAAGCCAAATCTGATGAGAGTTTTTTCTTTGTTGACAAAATATGGAATATTATAAGGTTATCACATTGCATTGATTTTGTCTTTCTTTTGGAGGACTTTCTGTTATTATTATTGCTGCCTCCTCATTTCTTTCCCTCTGTTAATTCATGTTGTATAGCACTGCTGGGTTAACCATTGTAAAACACCATGTTCATCACTCCTGTGCTCAAAAACCTTCAGTGACTTTCTATGACCAAGAAGATAAAGTCCATGCTCATTAATTTTGTATTAGGACCCTAGATAGTCTGGGCCTAATATACCATTTATAGCCTTGTTTCCCACTACTCCCTTCTACAAACCCTTCAAATTAACAAATTATTAAATCTGTCTATTTATTTTACTCCTGGAAAGACTTAGGCTTTCCCACCTCCATTTCTTTGATCATGCTGTTCCCTTTACCTTCTCCTCTTCTCTTCATTCTTGTTCTATTATGTTATTCTTGGTGTAACCTGAGTTCCTCTTCCATGAAACTTTTCCAGTATGCAGTGATTTCTGCTTTCTCAGAACTTGTAGTGCTAATGTCTTTACCACTTATTTGACAAATCATTAGATATTGCCCTATGACATTTCTTGGATTATTATCTAGTGGGGTTATCTTTTTGTATAAACGCAAAGCATCTCTCTACTGTTCCTTGGGGGACAGTGACTCTGGCTTATATTTATTCCTGTCCTCCATAGCACTTGGCATAGGGTCTTGTTCAGGATATATTTGTTAATCTGATTTTAATACATTATTTTAAACTCGAAACACAAAATTTTGCTTTAGTGGTGTTTTGTAGTATTCTCAATTTATTTCATCTTTCTCTACAACTGGATTATAAAGTACTTAAGGACAGGGAATATGTTTTATTATCACTGCTTCTCCACAGCACAGTGTATCCATAGTAGGCATTCAGGAAATACTTGGTTAAAAAAATACAGTGAAAAGGTACAATTAAGTCAGAGATTAGGAATTTTGTGGTATGGTTTACTCTTTTGTGAGTGTTTTCAGATTCATATTTTGAATTACAACTAAATCTGTTCACTCAGTTGATTTTTTTTTAAGGTGGGAGGGTGTTTTAAAATGCAAGACTAACATGTTCTCAATTTTCTATGTTCAGTAAAGATATGTTTGCAGAAATGGAGATCATTGGTCAATTTAACTTGGGGTTTATAATAACCAAGCTGAATGCAGATCTCTTCATAATTGATCAACATGCCACAGATGAGAAATACAACTTTGAAATGTTACAATTGCACACTGTTCTGCAAGGTCAAAGGCTAATAATGTAAGTTCACCAAAATTCTCAATAGACTGACTACAAGTGGTGTTGGCTCATATAGCTTAACAGCAATATTTCTTATGTGTTTGAATCAACTAGGCTATTCAGGTGTAATCCTATCTCTTTTACCCCCTTACTGCATACATATGTACCTGATTTGTTAGGAAGTTTAATATACACTTTTAAGTAATAAACTAATTTTGCTATTCAGAGATCTTATCCAATGGCTATTTAGAAAAGCTTTTGGATGAAAGAGAATTCGTTCAGCCCAAACGCTGAAAATTCAGTCTCTTGATCTTCAAATCTAACATGATGGATTATTCCTCTCCCAATTCCTAACTTTTTTCTTTTTAGGAGTTACCTTTCTCTGATTCTCGTATCAGGTAAAAAAATCTGTAACCAATAGTTTTACAAGATTTTTTTTTCATCAAGTATTCATGTTGCTTAATCTACAAGTCTGTTTTTAAGCAAAGTGATGCATTCAGATAATTTTTTCTTTAATACAAAATTAATGTATATGAGAGAGAAACTCAGGGTAATGATGGTAATGAAGGTATCCCACCTCTTGGCAGAGAGATGGTGGATTACACATATAGGACGTGGCATACATTGGCAGACTTGGCCAATCTGTTGCCTTGTGTTGTTTAATCATACTTCTTGGTTAACATAGAAGGGTTTTATGGGAGCAGACAGAGTTATTGGGAAGTAGCAATTTTTTTAAGTGTCAATAAACTGCCCCCCCCTTTTTTTGAAGAAATAAGCTTAGAACTAAATAGAAACATATCCTTTAGTATTTAAATGGGTCTATGATCTCATAGGGTAGGATCTGTATCATTTTTTTAAAAAGTCTGTTATTTATTGATCCCTTTTGTTATCATCCTCATTTCTGAATATATGCCTGCACACTCCCCTGCCCAGGGAGCTGTTACTTGTTTACAGAAATTTTTATGAGGAAACTGTTCCACTTTTGTATCTTCAGCTCTTAGCGCAATGTCTGGTGCATGGTAGGTACTTAACAAGTGTTTAGAAATTTGGTGGCTATGCATGTCTTGTTGGTTGGGTGTTCTCCATCAGTACAAGTAGAATGTCATCCATTCCTTTTCATACTATGTGGTTCTTGTCCATATTCTTCTATAGATCCTTCACAGAAGATCTACCCAGTGTGCTAGAGGTCTTCCTCTGAGCTTTTGTAAATTTTGTGGGTACCAGTTGCAGTCTACTTGAGGCTACTGTGTATATGTTGTTCAGATTCATTACTGAGACTTGGCATGTGATTTGTTTAAACAGCAGTCAGCTCTAGAGACAAATCTTACCATTTCCTTTTGGACAGTATTACTATATTTTTTCCTAAGCTACCAATGACATTGTTTTTATTAGCTGTGATAAAAGCATTTAGTATGTCATTTGTTATCCTTTATAATATAAAAAAGTACTTCCTGAAGCACTTCCTAAGAGTGACATTTAATTTCTTATTTTGTCATATTTTGCAAAAATATGATTTTGCTCAGTTTCACTTTGGATTGGCTTCTAAAATCATGAAGGCCAAATATCCTTAGTAATACTTTTCAATCAGAGGCAAAACAGGACAGGCAGTGTCAGTAGGATAGCAGAATTAGTTTTCTCTACAATTTCTTTTTCTCTAAGAATCCTTTGTGTCCAAGAATCTTTCTGACTCACCTTTTCTGCCTTGCTTGATTGTAGAGGAAGATACGGCCTCTTATATTAGAGCAAGCTAATATAATATCCAAAATATAATTCAGTGAAGTCATATGGGAGAACAAGAAAGCTACTGGATTGATGTTATGTTTTATTGCTGATAGTATAGGCACACAGCTTACTGGAGTGATGCACCGTTCTTTTGAATCCATTTCATTATATCTTAAAACTAAATGTTTGACTTAAAACTATGATTTGAACTTTTTCTGTTTTTCAGACCTCAGACTCTTAATTTAACTGCTATCAATGAAGCTATACTAATAGAAAATCTGGAAATATTTAGAAAGAATGGTTTTGATTTTGTCATTGATGAACTTGGTAAGTTTTTAACAAGGATCATGGAATCATATTTTCTGTTTTGAAGGGATTTTGAGTTATTTCATTCAACCATGTCATTTTATGGATGTAACTCTAACTCCAGAATTTTTTGAATATTTTCCTTTTATTCCTCAAGTATGTAACTATTTTTATTCATCACAAACAGCATGTAAAATTTAAATGTATTTTTAAAATCTGTTCTTAAATTTCTGTATTCTTTTAGCTCCAGTCACAGAAAGGGTTAAATTGATTTCCTTGCCAACTAGTAAAAATTGGACATTTGGACCACAAGACATAGATGAGATGATCTTCATGTTAAGTGATTGCCCTGGAGTCATGTGCAGACCCTCTCGAGTTAGACAAATGTTTGCCTCAAGGGCATGTAGGAAATCTGTAAGTAATGAAGAAGAAAACCTATTTTGTTCCAGGTTTGATGAGATTTAATAGCTTTGTTGTGTTTTAAAATGAAATTTGGTGGCTAAGCATATCTTATTTTTATTATAGCAAAAAACTGTTATAAAGTGAGATCAGTTAAATAATGACAGTGTTATATTTTGCCTCTCTTGCTTGTTGGTGAGTGGCATATTTGACTAGATTATAACATGCAGTTGGATGAGCTTGAGTTCAATTGAATTGAATTAGTCTATGAGTGATATCTGTTTAGGACAGGCACTGCAAAACCAGGAGTGGGAGAATGGGCTGGCTTGTACTTGGGAAATTGCGTAGTGCTTGCTTCCTGCTCCCAAAGCCCATTTTTTAAACACTAATATTTTCCTAGTAAAGCTCCACAGTATGGAATAGCATTTTCTTAGAGGAATCAAAATTAAAAGTGACCGAAAGGGTAATGAAGAATATATAGTGGATATCTTTAAGATGTAGCATGTTATTGATGATAACATGTTTTAGAAGTCACATAAAATTCTTTTTAGTGGGGCAGTTAGGTGGCGCAGTGGATAGAGCACTGGCTCTGGAGTCAGGAGGACTTGAGTTGAAATTTGGCCTCAGACACATAACACTCATTAGCTGTGTGATTCTGGGCATGTCACTTATCCCCAATTGCCTTACCAAAAAAAAAAATTTCTTTTTAGATGTATGTGACTATAAATGGAGATGTACTGGTTGTGCAGCCAAGGAAAAAAAAGTTAGTAGATGGGACAGCCCAAGTGTTAAATTAAGTGGGTATCCATGAAATATTAAGTAACCTAGGGAAAGGGCTATGTTGTTTTGGCTAGATCTCTTGGAAGGTCTCTAGAAGGATGTGGACGTGGAATATACAGGCTGATAAGGCACAGATGGATTGTAATCTATACTGGTAGAATACCTATGCCATTGAGAATGTGTATCCACTGAAGTTTTATTCTTGCCAAAGTCAGAGAAGGTGACTGGGTTACAATGTTTTCAGTCATGCTAATGGTCATTTCTCAGGAAGGATTTGAGATGAAGTTTCTGTTATTTTGGCTTGTGGTAGACAAGGGGGAGAGCAAATGGTGTGTATGAAGCTGTGTGAAATCAGTGGTGTATAGTCTTAATATCAGAAATGCTTAAAAGTCCTCTATTCCTTTAAAAATACATTTTTTCCTCTCAGATTTTACTTAGTCTTGCAGGTTAAGCAGTTCTTACTTGTAAATAATTTTGTCTTTTGGGGAAAAAAATACATATTCCAAGATTTTCCCTTCTGTTTAGTAGAAGCTACTTGATCTCATGTGATCCTGATTGGTTTTTTTGATATTTGAACTCTTTTTGAGTACTTGCAGTGTATTTTCCTGTGCCTAGAAGCTATAGATTTTGGCTATGACATGTCTTGGAGTTTTCATTTTGGGTTGTTTTTTTTTTTTTCAAGAGTTAACCCATTCATTTCTTTTCTTTCCACTTTACCCTCTGGTTCTAATTCTGAGCAGTTTTGTTGATAGTTTTAAGAGAGACCAATGATTCTTAAGTTATCTGTCCTTGACCTATTTTCTAGGTTAGTTCTTTTTGCTGTCTGTTTTTGTTTTTTGTGGTTTTTTTTGTTTTGTTTTGTTTTTGGAGGCAGTGGGGGTTAAGTGACTTGCCCAGGGTCACACAGCTAGCTAGTAAGTGTCAGAGGCCAGATTTGAACTCAGGTCGTCCTGACTCCAGGGCCAGTGCTCTGTCCCCTGCACCACCTAACTGCCCCCAGTTAGTTCTTTTTGATAGTAGATACCTCACATTTTATATTTTTTCTGTTTTTGACTATTCTAGTATTTCTTCTTGTCTCCTGGAATCATTAAATTCTTTTTGCTACATTATAATTTTTAGGAAATTCACTATTTGGGTATGGCTTTCCACCTTGTATTCTAAACTACTTATTCTCCATCTAATTCTTTCCTCCAGATCTTTTATTTCACTTATAATTCCATTTTTTATCTCTTACTTCATTTCTTCTAGGTCCTCTTATTGGTTCTTGTGGCTAAGCCATTTCTTTTTTTCTCTGAAGCTCTGCTTGTAATTGTTATGGAGTTACTCTCTCCTTCTGGATTTCTTGACCCATCATATTTCTTCATACTGTTTGGTATCTTCTCTTTACTCAAGGCTCCACACTTTCTTACAATCTTAAATAGGCTGGTCAGGCCCTGTTTGGTCCTGATCTTGATTTCCTGTGACCTCTTACCTCCTCCTCTGGAGTGTCTGTATGCTCAAAGTATTGATAGGTTTCATTGTCCCTGGTCAGAGCTCTCTACTCTTCTTGCCTCCATGGGGTGTCTCCAGTCAGGGTTCTTCTGGTTTCTCCCAGTTCCCCTAGAATATCCCCGGTCTTCTGTCCTTTCTAATGTTTCTCCACGCAGGGCACTATTGGGATACTTCAGTGCATCCAGTGCCCCAACTGGGAAAGTTCCAGGAGAGCTGGAACTCTTGCTTCCCCCTTGGCTAACAAGCTTCCTGAGATTTTCTTGGTAGGGCCACAACTGAGCTTCCCTGAGCTCTGACCTGTTTGCTTGTGCTGATGTTGGCTTTTCTGGCAAGAGCTTCTGGTTCTTTTTTGTACAGTTGTGGCCTGAATGGAGGAGATTCCTGAGAGATTTTTCTTTGTATTTCTTGGTCATTGTTTAATATGATGTCTTTTTTAGATCATTGCTAGAGTAAAATGGGAAGAGCTAGGCTCCTTTGAGACTCTTCATAATAGCCATCTAAACTGGAAATGTTTTGTGTTTTGTTTTTTTTTTTTGAATCAGGGATTTTAGGAGATTTTTTAAAGGGAGAATGCTGGGTTTGTCATCAGATAGCTTCAGTTCAGTGTCTTTCTCTACTGCTTACTAATGGTGTGACAAATCACTGAACTTCTTTGGGCCTAAGTTTTCTCTTCTGTAAAATAAAGGCACTCTTCTAGCGTCAAATCTATCCATCTCTACAATCCTCTCTTCTCCAGTGTCTCTTCTGAGATCCAAGACTGCATTATACCTAAAGTACCATTTGCCATTTTCAAGCCAAGAATTAGTCAATCAGAGAACAAGCATTTAATTGCTTGCTATTTGCCAGCGCTCTGCTAGGTTGCTGGGGTGCCAGGTACTGTACTAAGTGCTTTTTACAAATATTATCTCCTCACAACAAATGATCCTCACAACAACCCTGGGAGATATTATTATCATCCTCATTCTACAGTTAAGGAAACTAAGGCAAACAGAGGTTTAGGTGACTTGCCCAGAGTCACACAGCTGGTAGGTGCTTGAGACCGGATTTAAACTGAAGTCTTCCCAACTTCAGACCGAGTACTCTTTCTGTTGCATCACTTATATATATGAGAAGTGGTGGCCAGGGAAGGGAGCTTTAATATAGATAGTCAGAGGGATAATAAGTAGAGACGTAGGGCAGTAGGTTGTCCATAATCCAGGCTAATATTGATTTGATTATTCTTTCCCAATCAAGACAGAGAAAGTACAATCCAGGTGAGGGTGCAGGGACATAGATAAATACTGCAGCACAGCATGTGGTGAAATGCCCATGCTCACTAGGTCCTGGCATCCTGGTAGATATCTAGATGTGTTGAAGCATGATCTAGGACCAGCTAGGTACAGAGGACTGAGGTGAGGATTGACTTCCTCTCCAATCCAAGTAGCTCCATCCCAGGACGAGTCCCAGAGTGGAATAGAGTAATTTCTTCAGGGTGGAGCAGTGAAGGAAAAGAGGTATCAAGGTCTCTGAAAGTCCTGGTGCAGAGGGTCATTCTTCATAAAGAGAGGCAAGTAGTGCCAGGGCAGATGGCAAGATTCCAGAGCAGATCAGAGCAGTTTTATTGGAGTATGCTGTGTGCACAGTAAAATGGTAGGTCATCCTTAGAGGTTTGTTGATCATCAGCAAACACAGGGATGACTTTAAGTTTTATTATAATACTGAGCTCTTCATATGCTTAGACTTTTTTCGTAGTGGTTCATTTGATCATCTACTTATGAATTGGTAGTCCTTTCTTCCTCCCTAATTCCCTGTCTTACTCCCCACAGAAGCTATTTCAAACTGCTTTTCTGCATTAGGCATCCTATACTTCCCTCTTCAAGACTCTAAGCTGAGAAGCTTACTTGTTACCTTGTTAAAATTGCGATTATTTGTTACCAACTCCCTTTTCTCACCTTTTTATTTCAAAACCCTTTGACATCATCCCTCACTTGCTACTTTCTCCTAGTCAGTGATAATGGAGGAAATGCTTCTTATCCAGGAGTTCCCTATGAAATCATAGGTACAGTTCCAACCCAATCTCTGTGTATATTTCTGTATATTTGTCTCCCTTCCTTGGTGGCAGGGGTTGGTTTTGCCTTTCTTTGTATCTTCCGCACTTCTCATAATGCCTGGAACGTTGTAGGGGCTTAATAAAGCTTATTGATTGATAATGTTTTTTTTTTTCCCTAGTATTATAGTAGGGGAAAAGGCTACTTTTAGATAGGTGCTATTCCCAGGAAAAAGAAAAATATCATTAAAACTTCTTGTGTGTGTTTTGAACTCAGGTTATGATTGGAACTGCTCTTAACAAGAATGAAATGAAGAAACTAATCACTCATATGGGTGAGATTGAGCATCCCTGGAATTGCCCACATGGAAGACCAACTATGAGGCACATAGCTAGCTTAAACATAATTTCTCAAGACTAATGAATAATTGTGCATAAAATTATTCTCATTTTGTAGAATTGCAGATTTTATCATGTATTTTCCCAATTTTGAAAGCAAAAATTTAAGTAACCTTTTTTGTTTTAAAAATCAGTGTGCTACATTATTTTCCATGTATATTTAAAATTTATCTTTATATTTAACTCTGCTTGTGAAATTTCTTGTTCTTACTGATTTTAAAAAAAATATATATGTACAGCCAAAAACATATTTTGAGAAATAAAGAGCATGCTTTAGATGTTATATAAGGCTTGAATTCACACATTCTTCACAGAAAATATATTTAGTTTGTACTTTAAGCATTACTGTCTAAACTAATGTAAATTTCAAGAACTTTGGAATTATGATTTACTCTAAGAATAGGTCTCCTAGCTGAATGAAATAAAAAATTAACACTTTGAATTTCCCTGTTAACTCCATTATGCTACATTTTTATTTCCTTGATATTAAAATTCTAGAGATTTTTAATCATGGGTGCATAGTGTTAATGCAAATACAGATCTCATCTCATTTGAACTTTAGTAGAATGAAGATAAAAATGAATAGATTGGGTAGCTGTCAAAATGGCTAGCAAATAAAGAGGGGAAAATCCACTACAGAACCTCCTCATTCATCTTAGATCATCACAGAATTGCTAGCTGATTATATTTTTAAATTTTACAATTATTTTCCTTTAAAGAGTTTGTACAAAGCTGACAGATCTTCTGAAATATGTAGAATATATTGCCAACAATAACAAAGTAAATATTTTTTTCCATCCATACCACAGTGTTTATTAAAGTTCTTATGCTACTAACAGAATATATTGCTGCCAGCAATATTGGAAATTTCCTTTTTGGGCCATGGGTTTTTCTGTCAGTTACTATTACCAATAGTAATTCTGCTAGTAATATACTGCTACCAGCAATTCTGCAAATTTCCCCTTTGGGCCATAGCCTTCCTGTCCTTGGGACCACAATGCCAATAGTAATGAGTTAAATTTATATGCCACTTTACAATTACTGGGTGCTTTCCACAAGTTATCTAATTTGATCCTTTAAAAATTTCAAGGTAGAGGGGCAGCTAGGTGACTCAGTGGATAGAGCACCGGACCTGGAGTCAGGAGGACCTGAGTTCAAATTCAGCCTCAGACCAAACACTTGACACTTACTAACTGTATGAACTTGGGGAAGTCACTTAACCCCAGTTGCCTAAAAAAAAAAAGTTTAAGGTAGGTAATATAAGATAGTAGCATATTCCAGTTTACAAATTCAGAAACAAGTTCTTATTTTTTTTTTTTTGGCTGGGCAGTGGGGTTAAGTGACTTGCCCAGGGTCACACAGCTAGTAAGTGTTATGTGTTTGAGGGCAGATTTGAACTCAGGTCCTCCTGTATCCAGGTCCGGTGCTCTATCCACTGCGCCACCTAGCTGCCCCCAGAAACAAGTTCTGGGAGGTTAATGCCTTAAGGTGGCTTCAGAGGGATGTTATATTGCCTGACTCAAAGCCAGATCTTCTGAGTCTAAACCTAGTGCCTGCATCACAGTGGGTTAGATAAAAGTTGTAAGTTAGGGCATTGCCAACTCAGCAAAAACAGTCATTTTTCCTTTTTTCCAAGAAAAAGTTTTGCTTGGGGAAACATGACTTTCTTCTCTCTTTACATCTGGATCAGTGTATCCTGGCTTTATTTGATAAAAAATGAGTGACATCTTTAAGCCTTTTCAAGAAGGCAATTCATGAATTTCTTTTCTCAGCTGAATGTATGATGGAAATATTTGGAAATCAAAAGGGTAAAAACATTTCTTTAGAGATGGGCAAATTTTGGCATGGTTTAATTATTGAGTGGCAGAGTGGTGTAGGATCAGGCTGTCCTTGGAATAAGGAAGACTGAAGCTCTAGTTTTACTTCTGTCACAAAAAAGCATGTAATCGTTCCTCTCCACGCTCCTAGGCAACTCTCTTAAGACTAAATTCCAGGGCAGGAGCTGATCTGTATTGGTATGGGGAGCTCCTGGTACTGATAAAATCTTAGGTCCTGCAAAAAATATGAAAATATCTTTTGAAAAATAGCTACCTGGAAATCAAATCTCTTTTTAATGGTATCGACCCTACATCAAATTAATACTGAAACCAATTTCCACCATTCCAAACTCTAGGGAAAATTTAGAGCTGTTTCTAAGACCTCGGACAGCTTTCTACAAGTTAACAGCTAGATAGGGAGGATGGATATTGAAGGCAGTACCTTTAAGCCCCTCTTTTAAGAGCTCCTTATTAAAGGAGACAATTCTTTAAAAAGCCCTTTATTAAAAAGAGTGGACCAGTTAAGATCCTCTTACTAAGGAAAGGGTCCCTTTAAGAGTCCGGGCTGTCCCTTTAAGAGCGTTGTGGCTCCTTAACAACGGTTTCCTAGAGACCGCACTGTCTCCAGGACGCTGCACCAGCCGGAGGTAATTCCTAGAACCTTAGTCTCCAGCCTGGTTCCCCGGGATTGTTTCGCCAAAGGATTTAAAATGGTATTGTTATTCGCCATGCCACTTCCAAGGCCGAGAGATAATGGGGCTTTAGGAGAGGCGGGTGGACTGGGTCTGGGGGGTGAGGGCAGGACGAGGAAGGCGGACGGGTAGATTGAACATTCCCCATGCTGGTGTGCCCTGCGGCCCTGCACAGTGCGGCTGCGCAGACGCACATCCTCTGTCCAGCCCTAGAATCTGAAGGGAGTATAGAGACCTCGTATCCAGCCCATGCCGGAAGGCACTCAGGCGATAACTTCCTTATAACGTCCGGGTCAAGGGGTCATCCATCCTCTCGTGGAAGACCTGCAAGTGAGAGGGAGGCAGCCTTTACAGCTATCCAGATAGATCTAATAGCATATTTTTTCTTTCAAAAATAATTGCTGCCATTTAAATTTTTTTCTTATATTTAGCTATATTAAAATAATTTATTTTTTTTTTCAGTAGTAAACTTGTTTTTTCTCCCATACACCTCTCCTCTCAATGGGAAAAAAAGGAAAAACAAAACAACACAAAAAACCTTGTAACAAATATTCATAATCAAGCAAAACAAATTCCCACATTGGCCAAGTCCAAAAATGTGCCTCTCATTCAGTGTGCAGTTCATAATAATAATGATAATAATAATAGCAGCTAGCATTTATAAAACATGTATTGCAAATATCTCATTTTCTTTTCACAACCACCTTGGGAGGTAGGCGCAGTTATCCCCATTTTACAAATGAGGAAACTGAAGCAGATGGAAGTTAAGGGACTTTCCCAGGGTCACCCAAATGGTAAATACTTGAGACTGGATTTAAACTTAGAACTTCCTGAGTCTAGGAAGTGTGCACTCCCAAGGACTGCTCCACCAGGAAGTAGACAACATCATCTTTTGCAGTGGTGGTTGGTCATTATCGCATTGATCAGAGTTCTTAAGTCTTTCAAAATTGTTTGCCTTTATAATGTTATTACAAATTCATCTAGTTCTGCTTACAACTCTTCATATAACTCTGCCAGGGTATTTTTGAAACAGCTTTATATCACCTTAATTTCTGAATATATTTCTTCCTCTTCCCCTAAACGGTAAACCATCCCTTGTAAGAATAATTATAGAGGGGGACAGAGTCTGTTAGAGCATATGCAACATTCTACACCAAAATCACCTATTTCTTAAAAGGAAGAGAAGTTACGTTTTCTTATCTTTTCTCTGGAATTAAGTACAGATCATTATAATTACATGATATTCAATTTTAGGGTTTTTTGTTGATCTGACCCACATGCTTCCAGGACTGAGCCCTCATTGTCCAATCCCCACCTCACCCCCCACCCCACACCACTCCCTTATCCTGTTGTTGCTGTAATTGTATATATGGCTCTGTTTGCTGGTTCCCTTTCACCATGAAATAAGTCATATGCTTTTTCATATTTGTTTTTTTTATGGAGCAATAATACAACCTAGTACATTAATTTACCACAATTTGTTTAGTCATTATCCAGTTTAGAATCATTTACTTCACTTCCAGTTCTTTGCTATCACAAAAAGTTCAGTTCAGTCTCTTTTTCAGTCATGTCCAATTCTTTGTGATCCCATTTGAGATTTTCTTGGCAAAGATACAGATTTAAACTTAAGAAGGAGAGTCTTCCTGGCTTCCAGGCCTAGCATTCTCTCATTGCGCCATCTAGCTGCCCCACAGAAAATTAGCTCTAATTATTAGTAAGTTTTTCTTGACACCAAGAATAAATTTGAAGCCTACATCTTTTGCTTCTGGCTCTGCCCTCTGGAGCAAACAGAGCAAACTTAATCTCTTGTCTACATGACAGCCCGTCAAATACTTGAAGACAGCTGTCATGCACTCCCTCGGTCTTGTCTTCTCTAGATTAAACATTCCCGATTCCTTTAACTCATTGTCATATGGCATGGACTCAGGGCTCTTCTTGAGTGACTGAAGTGATGGCCTTGGAAATGCTGAGGTAGATAAGAACATGAAAACTACATTTTCGTGATGGTGATTTATGGATGTTCCTAATTGAAATGATCTTTTAGGAGCATCCTTTGCAATACAATATGTATACACACATATATTCACTACTCAGTGAAACATTAGCTAGTATTCCTGTTCTAACCTTAAAACTCACGTGCTTTTTGGGTCAACTAGGTGGCACAGTGGATAGAGAGAAGGACCTGAGTTCAAATCTAGCCTCAGACACAACACTTTCTAGCTGTGTGACCCTGGGCAAGTCACTTAACCTCCATTGCCCAACCAAAAAAACAAAAACAAAAAAAACCTCACATTTCCATTGACACATATTTCTACAAAAGTTTGTGTGTATATCTATATATAAATAAATGAGTGTATGTATATATACATATGCATATATGTGTGTGTATGTGTATATATATAGATATAGATATAGATAGATATATATATAGATATATATGTATGAGGATGGGTATTTCAACACCTTCGGCGGGAGAGAATGCCCTAATCTTATTAATTTGAAGGCTATAGTATGAATGAATGAATTAAAAAGCACTTATTATTATTATTTTTTTTAGTGAGGCAATCAGGGTTAAGTGACTTGCCCAAGGTCATACAGCTAGTACATGTCAAGTGTTTTGTCTTTGGCTGGATTTGAACTCAGATCCTCCTGACTTCAGGGCTGGTGCTCTATTCACTGCACCACCTAGCTGCCCCAAAAAGCACTTATTAAGAGCTTACTGTGTGCAAAGTAAAGACGGTATCTACTCTCAAATTCACATTCTAAAAGGAAGACAACATATGGAAGAGTGTGTGCCTATGTAATGTATAATACACATATATATGTGTGTGATGGTATCTATATTATATATGAATATGTACGCATAGTGAGAGTGTCTGCGTATTATATTGTTTGTTTAGTCTTTTTCAGTTGTGCCCAACTCTTTGTGACCCCAGTGGGGTTTTCTTGGAAAAGATACTGGAGTGGTTTGCCATTTATTTCTCCATCTCATTTTACAGATGAGGAAACTGAGGCAAACAGGGTTAAGTGACTTGCCCAGGGTCACACAGCTAGTAAGTGTCTGAGGCCAGATTTTAATTCAGGTCTTTCTGACTCCAAGACTGGCACTCTATTCACTGTGCTACCTAGCTGCCTGTGTATTATATATATGTATATAATATACATACATGTACATGTGATAGTGTCTATTATATATACAATATTATGTCTTATATCTCATATATTATTGTATATTATACATATGCACATTATTGTGTATTATATACATAATACACGATCACACATGTGTTTATATATTATATATACATTATATATTTGTGTCTGCTATGTATATTACATATATAATAACACTCACATAACACACACACATATATTACACAAACATTCCTGCATATGCCGTCTTCCTTTTAGGATGTGAACTTGAGAGTAGGGACTGTCTTTGCTTTGCACATTTTTGTTGTTCACTTGTTTAGTCATGTCCAACTTTGTTCAAGGACTTTGTCCATGGGGTTTTCTTGGTAAAGATACTGAAGTAGTTTGCTGTTTCCTTCTTCAGTATGTCCCCATTTTACAGATGAGGAACTGAGGCAATTAGAGTTTAAGTGACTTGCCTAGAATCACATAGCTAGTAAGTGTCTGAGGCTGGATTTTATTTTTCTTTGAAAAAAAAATAGGTGATTTTGGTGTAGAATGTTGCATATGCTCTTACAGACTCTGTTGATGTGTTGTTCAGTTTTGCTGAACTGCTTTCCCCCCTCTATTATTATTCTTACAAGGGATGGTTTACTGTGTCAATGGAATTGTGAGTTTTAAGGTTAGAACAGGAAGACTAGCTAATGTTTCACTGAGTAGTGAATACATGTGTCAGATCTTCCTGACTCCAGTCCCTTTGCTTTATCCACTGCACCACCTAACTGCCGCCACTTTGCATGTAGGAAGCCCTTAAGAAGTAATTTTTTTATTCATTCATTTATAATACTATAACGTTCACGTTCATAAGATAAGGGCGTTCTCTCCCTCTGAAGGTGTTAAAAGTTTGGATTAACTTTTAGATAATTTTTAGGAGAATGAAAATGACTACGATAATGATGATGACAACAACGACAACAACAGTGGTGGAGATGGTTAGATGATGCCCCTATATGTCAAAGCTGAAAGTCTAATTTAGAGGGAAAGTTAACATTTCAATGAATTGTGAAACATTTAATGTTTTTCAGGTAAAATTCATTAGTGCTCCAAAGTACCATCAACTTTCAGCCAAAGAAACACATTTGTTCTACAAGTTAAAACTTTAAAGGCCATTCAAAGACAATGGCAAAAGAAAAGAAAAAAGCAGATAAAAAGGCAGAAAAAGCTGCTCGGTCCCCTTCTCCTCTGTCTGACCAACCCGTTGACACATCCAAACAAGAGACCAATGCTCCAAAGCAGGAGGTCATTCCTGTCGCTCCCGAGCCTGAAGTTCTGTCATTCAAAGAGGAGAAGCCAGAAGAAGTACAAGTAGAGATACCTCAATACTATGAAGAGCCTATTCTCACCAAACTGATTGTCTTAAGGTGACTTTAGCTCTAGTGGGGTATCTGTAGCAAGTATTCCACACTGCATCATAGATTAATACTCCAGATTGATGTCAGAGATCAATGTAAGCTGAAGTAGCTAGGCAACAATGAGTCTTGCCCTGGGTCTTATACTCAGGATTTAGATGTGTAGGAGGCAAGGAGGAGAGAAGAGAAAGGGGAGGGTGAAAGGAGTACAACATGACCAAAGTCACAGAAGTAGAAATTAGTGTGGTGGGGGGACAATAGGGACATAACTTCATGAGGAAGAGAGCAACCTAATGAAAGTGTTATTTTAGGAAGATTAATTAGGAAATACTGTTCAAGATGACTTGGAGTAGGCAAGGAGACTATTTGAGCTGGTACTGTAATCTCAGTGTGACATGGAGTGGTGTCAGTGGAAATACAGAGAAAGGAAGAGGCATTTCAACATTAGGTGACTTAAGGAGCTTTTCTGATTATCAGAATTTGCTAGTTAGGTAGTTACATTTTTGTAGCAAAATTCCACCTATGGAATGCATCATTTTTGATAGGTACTAATTTTCATCGTTGATACTTGGTACTAATTGCATGTTTTTAAAATTTGTGTCATTTCTGTTTGCTTATACTCTTCGTCATGTCAAGCTCTATTTCTTTGCAGCTATGAAGGTGAAAAAGTCCGTGGACTGTATGAGGGAGAAGGTGTGGCCCATTTTGAGGGAGGAGGTGAATATAGAGTGAGTTGTGAATTTTGAGTTGTATCCATTTTGGAGGGAACTAGAGTGCAATGCTTAGGAGACTTGCCTTTTTAACAAGGTAAGTACTAAGTGTTTTCTAAACCAGTTAGGTAACTGATTCCCAGAAATACACCGGCTGCACTTCAAACTGATTTAAAATCAATAGGAACTTTGCATGAGTATTCAAAGACAAAATAGCAGCTTCATGTAACCAATATAGTACTTTGGGTTTTAAACTGTTTTTTTCTTTCTTAATTATCCTTGAATGTTACTCAACAATGTATAGTTTATCACTTTGCCTATTATCAGAGTTTTGTGCCCTGCTATAAATAACATTGCATTCATATTCTGTAAACAATCTAGAGAAGTCTGACTTCTTATAAAGCGCCTACAGAATATGTCAGTTACAGGGATGCTAAGGAAATGATTGTCTCATAGATCCCAGAGTTGCTTACCTAATGTCTATCTTTTATGTATTTAATTACTGTAGCTTATTACTGTAAAGTTGGAGCTGGTTACATGGTTTGTATGTGTTCTGCTGTATACAATGTTCTTTTGGCTTTTCCAGCCAATTCTCCTACTAATATTCATGGCACATATTAGAGGATTAAAACGTTGAATACTTGGTAAGAGTTTGTGGGAGGTATTTCAGAAACCATGGAGAAATAAGAAACAGGAGCTATCTTTTAAATAAATCTTAAAGCCTAAAACAAAAAATAGTAATGTTTGACACGTGATTTAATGACTATAGGCATTTGGGCTTAATCACTTAAATTTAATTGTGGCTGATTTCCTCAACATATGTTCAAATGGGTGACTGCAGATTCATTTGCATCTTTCAAAATGGAAAAGAATGTGTGTTAAAATAGGGAGGATCTTTGTTCATTAAGTTATTAGTTTTTTTAATTTTTTAATTTTTTTTACCTTATTTTATTTTTTTTTGAAGGACTAATGGTAATTTTTATTTTTTTTTTGTTTTCAACATTTACTTCCACAAGATTTTGAGTTCCAAATTTTCACCCCATCTTGCCCCTCCCTCCACCCCAAGATGGCATGCATTCTAAATACCCCTTCCCCTAGTATGCCTTCCCTTCTATCTCTTCCCCCCTTCTCTTATCCCCTTCCCCTTCAATTTTCCAGTAGGGCAGGATGGATTTCTGTACCCCATTTCCTGTATTTCTTATTTCCCAGTTGCATGTGAAAACATTTTTTTAAACATGTGTTTTTAAAAATTTGTGTTCCAGATTTTCTCTCTTCCTCCCCACCCACCCTCACTGATAAGGCAAGTGACTAAATATAGGTTATATATGTGCAGTTATGCAAATCACTTCCATAGTAGACATGCTGTGAAAAACTAACTCTATTTCCCTTAATCCTATCCCGCCCACCCATTTATTCTATTCTTTCTTTTGACTCTGACCCTCCTCAGAAGTATTTGCTTCTGATTACTCCCTTTCCCAATCTGCCCTCCTCTCTATCATTCCCCTATTCTCTTGTCCCCTTCCCCCCCTCTTTTCCTGTAGGGTAAGACAGAGGTCCACACCCGATTTAATGTGTATGTTATTCCCTCCTTAAGTCAAATCCTATGAGAATAAGATTCACTCATTCCCTCTCACCTTCCCCCGTTTCCCCTCCACTGTAAGAGCCTTTTCTTGTCTGTTTTTTTGGGGGGGGGGATAATTTACTCCATTCTACCTCTCCCTTTCTTCTTCTCCTAGTATATTCCTCTCTCACCCCTTAATTTTATTCACTAGATATGACCCCTTCATTTTCAACTCACCCTGTGCCCTCTATCTATCTATCTATATCTATATATACGTACATATAATTTTTTCCCCTCCAACTACCCTAATACTGACAAAGGTCTCATGAGTTACAAATATCATCTTTCCACGCAGGAATGTAAACAGTTCAACCTTAACAAGTCTCTTATGATTTTCTCTTTCCTGTTTACCTCTTCATGTTCCACTCGAGTCTTGTATTTGAAAATCAAATTTTCTCTTCAACTCTGGTCTTTTCATCAAGAATGCTTGAAAGTCCTCTATGTCACTGAATGACCATTTTTTCCCCTGAAGGATTATACTCAGTTTTGCTGGGTAGGTGATTCTTAGTTGTACTCCCATCTCCTTTGCCCTCTGGAATATTATATTCCATCCCTTAATGTAGAAGCAGCTAAATCTTGTGTTATCCTGATTGTGTTTCCACAATACTTAAATTGTTTCTTTCTGGCTGCTTGTAATATTTTCTCCTTGACCTGGGAACTGTGGAATTTGGCTACAATATTCCTAGGAGTTTTCCTTTGGGTATCTCTTTCAGGAGGAGATAGCTGGATTCTTTCAATTTCTATTTTGCCCTCTGATTCTAAAATATCAGCACAGTTTTCCTTGATAATTTCTTGAAAGATGATGTCTAGGCTTTTTTTTTGATCATGGCTTTCAGATAGTCCAATAATTTTTAAATTCTCTCTCCTGGATCTATTTTCCAGGTCAGTTGTTTTTCCAGTGAGATATTTCACATTGTTTTCTAATTTTTCATTCTTTTGGATTTGTTTTACAGTGTCTTGATTTCTCATAAAGTCACTAGCTTCCAATTGCTCTATTCTAATTTTTAAGGAAGTATTTTCTTCAGTAATCATTTGGACTTCCTTTTCCATTTGGCCAATTTTGCTTTTTAGGGCATTCTTCTCATTGGCTTTTTGGACCTCTTTTGCCATTTGGGTTAGGCTATTTTTTAAGGTGTTATTTTCTTCAGCATATTTTTGGGTCTCCTTTAGCAAGCTGTTGACTTGTTTTTCATGATTCTCTTGCATCACTCTCAGTTTTTCCTCTACTTCTCTTACTTGCTTCTCAAAATCCCTTTTAAGCTCTTCCAAGGCCTGGGACTGATTCATATTTTTCTTGGAGGCTTTGGATGTAGGAGCTTTGACTTTGTTGTCTTCTTCTGGTTGTATGTTTTGATCTTCTTTGTCACCAAAGTAAGATAATATAGTCTGACTCTTTTTGTACTGCTTGCTCATGATCCCAGCCAATTACTTGAGTTTTAAACTCTTTCTTAAGGTAAGAGTCTGTTTCCAATGTGGAGAATGTACTGTCTCAAGCTTCGAGGGTTTGTACAGCTGTTTTCAGAGGTACTTCAAGGGACCTGTAAATTTTCAGTTCTTCCAAGGGGGTATGATTAGGGGCGAGGTGTTTCCTCTCCACAGCCACAACAAGCTCCACCACACCAGCGTTCCTTCTCGCCCCAGGACTGCTCCTCAGAACTGTGACCCAGATCCAAGCACAGGTAAAGCAAGAGATTCCTGCCTCAGCACTGACAAAGAGATCCCTGCAACGCCCCTCTGATCAGCCACTGGATTCCCCCTCAGTCTGTGGGCTGGAAGCTCAGGAAAAAGTCGAGGCCCTGGGCTGCGCTCGAGACTTGCGGCTGAGACCTAGCTCCTCTCTCACTGCAGTCACGGACTTTTCCCACTGACTTTTCCCACTGACCTTCCACGTTGGCGTTCGTGGGTTGAGAAGTCTGGAAACTGCCACAGCTGCCCATGATTCAGTCCTCTGAGGCCTGCTCCCGGTTTGCTGCGGCCTGAGTGCCCACACCGAGCTGTGCTCTTCTCCCTGCCCGGTACAATATGCCTTTCCGATCAACCATCCAGGGTGTCTTGGGCTAGAAATTTGTTTCACTTTGTCTTTTTGTGGGTTCTGCTGCTTTAGAATTTATTTAGAGCCATTTTTTTAGGTATTTGGAGGACTTTGGGAGAGAGCTCAAGACAGTCACTGCTTTCCCTCCGCCATCTTGGCTCTGCCCCAATAGTTATTAGTTTTTAAACTTTACGCTTTGTTATTAGCACTACTGAATTTGGAATCAAAAGCAAACAAAACAGGTAATTCTCATCTATTTAATACTCTTTGTATCCCAATTTCTATATGATATATGCCTCTCATCACTTAGATCTTTGTGAGAAATTTAGAGAACTCCTTTGTTGCTTAGTTCTTTGAAATTCTTGTCATGAGAATAGAAGGCCTGTATTCCATTTCTTGTTTCATTAGGTTACATTTTTTTCTTTTTGCTTTGATACTTTTTAGTTACTAGAATACTGTTCTGGACAACGTGGCAGTTATTGTTTATCAGTTTTAAGCTGATGTGCAAAATTCTTACCAAGAGGAAAATAACATGATAGTTTTGCACATAAGATTTGCATTTCTGAGTATATTCATTGATTATAGAGTAATCAAACTTCCAAATGCTTCATAGATAACTAGTAGTTACTAGTAAGTAACTATTTAAACACAGTACTAATAGCCAAGGTCCCACCCCCCCAAACCAGGTGAACTTTCTTTTTCTTTTTTTTTTCACTTTTAATAAACATTTTATTTACTGACCAACAAAGTAGTTCTAAAACTGTAGCTTCTGGAAGAACCACTTGTTTTTGCCTGTCTTGTACCTTTCCTCAAATTTGACCTTGGCCTCCCTCCTCATCTTATGTTTTAGTGCAGGGTCACGGAATACATCCTTGTTGACAACTGTTTTGTCCAATGGGATGTCCACAGAGTATATGTTGGGCATGAGGTGGTTGTAGTTATAAACTTTCACAAAGAACTTGATTTTTGATCTCTTGGCAATCTTCTTTTTGCCCATTGCTGCAGTTACTTGGTGAGGGTAGCGGTCAATACCTGCCACCAAAGCATGGCTGTAGGGCCTGTCGGAGGTCCCATCATCAATGCTCTTGACAATGACGGCTTTGTGCTCGGAGTACTGCCTGGCCAGGACTAGCACCACCTTCCTGGGTTTCATGAACTTGCCCATTTCGACATGAAGCAGGTCGCTCCTAGAGCCAAAAAAAAAAAAAAGCTGAACTTTCTGAGTAACAAGAATCATTAGAAAAAACATATAAATCTGATTAAGTGTCTGATTAAAGTTACAACACTTTTCCTGCATGAGAAAAGCTTCATATAGTATGGGGCATGGTCAACCCAAGCCCTTTCCTTTCCAAAACAGCAAATATGAAAGCAAGGAATGTAATTTAATGCTTTTTCCCCCTTTATTAAGAAAAATAAAAAATGAAACTCAGAACTTAATTCCTTGACCTTTTCTCATCTCTTCCCAGTTAAAAATGCTAATATCTCTCATTGGCCACCATCCTCTTAGACTTGCAGTTGGGCCTCACACACATTTGATCTTCTTAGTGGTCTTGGCCTTTTTCTGGAAAAATGGTTTTGTTTGACCACCATAGCCTCTCCGCTTTTGATCCTACTGTAGAGAGCGCGTCTTTGCTCTTCCTGTGCTGCAGCACTCTGTGAGACTGGTGCTTGCCACACATCCTGTGAGTTTTAGGCACACTCACCGAAGGGCAGGGTTGGAATTCCAACTGATCTCTGACAGCCAGAGCAATGTGAATGAGTTTAGAGGCCAATCCTGGACTAAGGAAACCAGCAGACTTGAGGAGAAAGATCACTGGTACTCCCTCAAAAACTTTCTTTTTAACCTTTGGTTATTGTGATAAATATAAAATTACAGATATGTATTTCTTTTGTTTAGTTTTGCTCACAGGTTTATGATGACTGGTTCAAAATTATTTTAAATAACAAAAAAAGAAATTAGATTTATGAAGTTATATAGACCCATTTTCTCATTTCCATCTCCCTCTCCCCCTCACTTTTCTGAACTACTTCTAAGGGGGAGGGATTTTTTTGGTGGTTAAATTCTACAAATACAAAAATTTACAAATTCATGCTTCCAAACTTTAGAAAAGTGATTCAATGAGGCCTACATTAACTTAAATAAATATAAGTTCTTAAGCTTTGAAATGCAGGATTGAAAGTTTTTGAAATATTGAAATCACAGGATGATTAGGAAAGGGAAAATGTTTAGCATTGTGAAAACTATATAGAGCAGAGTTGTAGCTTAAAACAAAAAAACTCGGTAATAAGATTTCTTTGTTTTTCCATTTTGAAGGGTATGTTTTCAGAAGGACTCATGCATGGACAAGGGACTTATATCTGGGCTGATGGATTAAAATATGAGGTAAAACAGATGATTATGATCCTGAACTGCGTTTTTCTTAGTATCATGTCAAAGAATATTTCTGCATTTTGCATTTTTAACCTGAAAGTTATGAAGATTCAAAAGTAATTTTTTTACATGAAGGAAAATGTTTTTGTAGATAAAGAAAGTAGAATAGAGAGGAAGGTAACTCAAGACCACAAAACTGAGATGTAGTAGAGTACTAGAGCACAATTCCAATGCTTTATAATGGAACAAATAGTTGATTAGGAGGTAGAGGAACTGAGTTCAAATGTTAACTTTGATAGTTGGATCTTATATGACCTTGGGAAAGTTACCTAATCTTGTTGAGCTTCTGTCTCCCTATCTACAAAATTAGGGGCTTTGATGGATCCTTCTAGTTCTAGATCCTATTTTTAATCTCTTGAAGAAAACATCTATCTCTAGACACTTATCAGCAAAAAGGAGAAAGGACAGATCAATAAATTAGGCATGCAACTAAAAAAACTAGAAAAGCAACAAATAAAAAAACTAAACACAAAAATACAAAAACCAAATATAGCAACAGAATTGAAAGTAAAAATAAGCCATTGAATTGATATATAAAGTTCGTAGCTTTTTGGAAAAACACACAAAAAAAAGATGAACAATGAGCTAATCTTATAAAAAGAGGAAAATCAAATTGACAAGAAAAAATCAGAAAGGAGGGTTTACAACAAATGCAGAGCAAATAAAGGAAATTATACAAGTTATTTCCTATACACCAGCAAAACTGATGAGTAGATGAATATTTACAAAAATATAAAACACACAGAATAGCAGCACAAAAAAAAAGAGAATATAAGTAATGCAATATCAGAAAATGATGTTGAACAAGCCATAATTGAACTCTCAGTAGAAAAAAAAAATCTAAGACCAGATAGATTTACTAATGAATTTTATCAACATTCAAAGAGCAATTAATCATGGTAGTACATTATTTGAAAAAACAGGGAAAGAATAGAGCCTGCTAAATTCCTTCTCTGAAAAAAATATTCTTCAATGGGCTTTATACCTAAACTAGGGGAAAAAAAGTAGAGAAAAGAAACTTTAGATCAAGGGTTCTTAATGTTTTTTCTGTCATGGACTTCTTTGGCAGCCTGGTGAAGCTTGTGAATCCCTTCCTGGGATAATGTTTTTAAATTCATAAAATAAAATACATAGCATTACAAAGGAGATCAATTACATTGAAATATAATTATCAAAATATTTTAAAAAATAAATTCCCAGAGCCCAAGTTAAGAACTCCTGCTATAATCAATATCCCTAGGGAACATTGATGCTAATACATTATGTAAAATATTAGCAAAGAGGCTATATTGTTGTTGTTCAGTCATTTCAATCATGTCTGACTCTTTGTGACCCCATTTGGGGTTTTCTAGGCAAAGATACTGGAGTGGTCTGCCATTTCCTTCTCCAGCTCATTTTACAGATGAAGAAACTGAGACAAACAGGGTCTTGCTCAGGATCACACAGCTAGTAAATGTCCAAAGCTAGGTTGGAACTCAGAAAGATGAGTCTTGCTGACTTCAGGCCTAGCATTCTATTCACTGTGTGACCTTCCTGCCCCACAAGAGCTTATAGCACCAATTAAAAATATTATCCTTTATGACCAGGTTTAATTTATTCCAGGAGTGTTTTGTTGTTTCAATATTAAGAAAACTATAAATATAAGAGAGAAGCAATGGGACATAGTGGTTAAAGAGCTGGCCAACCCAAATCCATTCAAAATTACTACAGAATTATGAAATATGTGGGAGTCTACCTACCAAGACACACGCAGGAATTACGTGAATACAACTACAAAACACTCTTTACTCAAATTAAAAAAAAAATGTAACTAATTGAAGTGATGTTCTTTGTCCCTAGTTGACCATGAAAGAATAATAAAAATGACAATACTACCTAAATTAACTTATAGATTTAGTGTTGTACAATCAAACTGTGCAAGATTTCTTTAGAAAATTCTAAAAAATAGTATCAAAATTCATCTGGAAGAACAAAAGGTCAAGAATCTGGAGGGAAATACTAAAAAAAGAATGGAAAAGAAGAGGAGGGGCTAGCAATACCAAATATCAAGCTATACTTCAGAACTGTAGTATAAAACTATTTGGTGCTGGTAAAAACAATTAAGAAGTTGATTAGTGGAACAGATTACGTACAGAGGATCCATAAGCCAATTAACATAGCATCATAGTGTTAATAATCCCAAGGACACCAGCTATGGGGGTAAGGACTCACTGTATGAAAAAAAAAAAACTCCACGGAAGGTGGGAAAGCAATCTGGACAAAATTCGTTTTGAACCAACATCTTATATCATATACTACAAAAAACTTCAACTAGCTACCTTCAATTAGATATAAAGGATCATATCATAAATAAATGAGAAGAGAATGGAAGGCTGTACCTTTCATAATTATGAATAAGGAAAACATTCTTGACCAAACAATGGATGGAGATGATCATAGAAGATAAAATGGGCAATTTTGATTACATAAAACTGAAAATCTTTTTGTACAAGCACAATAATGCATCTAAAAGTAGAAGGGAAACACTTAATTAGGAAAAATCTTTACAGAAAATTCTTCTGACAAAAGTCTGATGATCCAAGATACATAGGGTGCTGATTCAAATATATAAGATTGAGTTGTTCCCCAAATAATTCTGCAGTTCTCTGGTGGTCAAAAGATATGAACAAGCAGCTTCCAAGAGAAGTTCAAGCTACCATAAACCTTATGAAAATATGCTGTAGTGGAGCCAGACAATGGTAGATGAACAAGAGAGGCAATAGGGAGAATTGAGCAGGTGAGGATTATTGAGTTTGACCAGTTTCACTGAGGGAAAGAAAGGAGAATAGAGAGAGGACTAAGGACTAATCTGGACAACAGATAGAGCGCTGGGCCTGGAGTCAGGAAGACTTGAGTTCAAAATCTGATCTCAGACATTTACTAGCTGTTTGACCCTGGCCAAGTCCTGTTTGCCTCAGTTTCCTCATCTGTAAAATGAGCCGGAGAAGGAAATGGTGAACCACTCCATTTTCTTTGCCAAGAAAACAGAGCCAAACGTGACTGAAAATAACTAAACAACAACAAAAAAGAGACCATGGTATTGTAATAGATTTAATTTTCTGACCAGAATATCTTCCATTTACATTTTCTTTCAATCACTCTATAGAATTTGTTTCAATTTTATTAATATTGTCATTTAGGGGGACTTTGTTAAGAACATACCTATGTATCATGGTACTTACACATGGCCTGATGGTAGCACATATGAAGGAGAAGTGACAAATGGAATAAGACATGGATTTGGAATGTTCAAATGCAGCACCCAATCAATATCTTACATTGGCCAATGGTGTCATGGCAAGAGGCATGGAAAGGTACGTTATTCTTTAAAAAATAAATATATTGAGGATTCCTATCTTTGAATGAATAGAACTGCTTCCTCTTTGTCTCCTAATCATAAGAAGGGTGAAGGAGGAGTGACGAAACTTAGCGGAAGTTTATTATTGTTTCATTTTGATTCAGTTCAGATCCTGGTACAAGATGAGTAAATTCCATTTAGGTGAAACAATTAAACCAGTTATATGAATAGTTTCGTATAATCTGAGGGCAATTTAGGCTAATGAAAAGTTTTTATTGGAGTTATCCAGATAAATAACTCTACCTTCTTAATTTTACTTGAAGAGACTTGGCCTAATTATAATTTTTCTGTTATCAGGAAAACAATTCACTATTCATCGTGTACCTGCTATGTGCGGGGCACTGTGCTACTCATTGAGGATACAAAGATAATTTATCAAGAAGCATGTATTAAGCACATACTATGTGCCAAGTACTGTGCTAAAGGGATACAAAGAAGAAACAAACATAATCCCTTCCCTTAAGAAGCTTACATCCTTCTGCAATCTGGAATAGAATTACTAGCTGGCTACAATTAATATAACATTTTAGTCTTAGGTCATTTAACGTATGGACAGATCACTCTACACACTTCAATAGTCCCTAAAGATGTCACTATTTACGAGAGTAATACAATAATTAAAAGTGCAGTACAATACAATAATGACCTTGAGTCAACAAAGAGGTTAACTTATGTTCAGAATAGGTAAAGAAGGCAAAGATGTAATACATTTTAGAAAGATTTTAACTAAAATAGTTCAAATAAAACACATTTTGATGCTTAAAAAGATACATTTATCTGAAAAATTCACATGCCTAAAAAATTCATTTCTCAGTGGTGCTGGATAGATGAAGGGTAATTGTACATTCTTGTTAACATACAATTTAGATAAAGACTTCTTTTTTTTTTTTTTTTAAGGCAATTGGAGTTCAGTGACTTGCCCAGGGTCATACAGCTAGTAAGTGTCAAGTGTTTGATCTGAGGCTGGATTTGAGCTCAGGTCCTCCTGACTTCAGGGCCAGTGCTATATCCACCGCACCACCTCGCTGCTCCAATAAAGGCTTCTTATCATGAAGTCTTTGCTGCCTTTTTTTTTCTTTTTTTGGGAAGTAATTGGGGTTAAACGACTTGCCCAGGGTCACACAGCTAGTAAATGCCAAGTGTGTGAGATCAAATTTGAACTCAGGTCCTCCTGACTCCAGGGCTGGTACTCTACCCACTGCACCACCTAGCTGCCCACATAAACTTGTGTTTAAAAAATATTTTGATCGCTGTATTTTAATACATTTATTTCCTTTGTAATCTTTTGTATTTTATTTTGTGCTTTTAAAAATTTTTTCTCAGAAAAGACTTCACCGTGTTCCCAGAGGGGTCCATGGCACAAAAGAAAATCTGATTTACATAATGAGAGCAAAACAATTCCTTTTAGAATATATTTTAATCATGGCTATAGAAAAAGGTACTAGAAATAGGTATTATGCCTTAACATGGTACTGTTATGTCAAGGAGCCTTTTATAGATATTATTTCCTTGAACTTTTTATCCCTATGTGGTTAATAGGACAGATACTACTGTCACTATCTTCTTAAATACTTTTTTTTCATAGTTTTATTGTATAACAATGCATTGGAACATCTGAACAACTTAGTATCTGGACTTCGCACACAGCTGCTGTTTTCTCCTTAATTTCTGTTACTAGAGCAATTTGTCAATATGTTGAAAAAAAATAGCATGCATGGGGCAGCTAGGTGGCACAGTGGATAAAGCTCCAGCCTTGGAGTCAGGAGGACCTGAGTTCAAATCCAACCTCAGACACATGACACTTACTAACTATGTGACCCTGGGCAAGTCACTTAACCCCGAATGCCTCACCAAAAAAATGCAAATTATTGCATTAGTCTTTCTAAGGCATACACTGGTATAACAGGAGCTTTTGTCAGGGACAGCTAGTCTAACTTCCAAACATTATGTACAATACATTCACTATGGGTTCCACCCACTGCAGCTTGACAGGCTTGTTTTGTAGAGGTGTGGAGGAAGGAGTGTGAATCTCAAGAAGAGAAAGAGGGAGAAGAAAATAGCATGGGTGCCTTGGAAAGAGGCATCTCAGTGCTTGCCTGAATATATTGTTGCTGCAGATCCAAGTATTGTTGATATTCTTTAATAGAAATAATCTGGTGAAATCCCATAATGGGGTCTTCATCTGCCTTTAGCTGTTTCACAATCATAGAATCCACAGCTCTCAGGAGTGGGCTGGTGCTTCTGTGCTGTGTTGCTGGGTGGTGTTTTCTGAAAAAGAAGGCTAGACAATTTTTCCATGATGGTTGTTTTGCCTTGGAAATGCTTCCCACATAAAGCAAGATGTATCAATGTATATTGTCCTGATTGAGTTCTGTCATTATCAAGTAGCTGGTGGTAATGTTGAACAAAGCTGGAGCCAATCTGCTCTCAAATTGGCTTGTCACCCATTTTGGATCCTCTCCCAATGGGCTGACACAATGGCAGCAATAGTGGCAGCCGCAGCCTGTCACTGTCTTCCTGATGGTAAAGCTAAAATGCAGAATGATTGTATCATATTTAAATATAACTTTGACTTTTAATATGTATTATACAGTATAGGATTATAGGATGTATAGGAGTTAATATACTTTTGTGTTTTGATTCAAAGAAGAAAAGGAATTGTGTAACGTGAAAATTTGATTTTTAAAAAATCCTAATATTTATCGTAGGGCTCCATTTATTACAACCAAGATGGCACTTCTTGGTATGAAGGAGATTGGGTCTACAATATCAAAAAAGGATGGGGCATAAGATGGTATGTATAAACGAAACTGTTTGTTATAGTAATTGTGCACAATGAAGCATATAACATTCCACACTTAAGATTTCCTCTTCCTTAACAGAAGAACTTGTATTTTAATATCAATTATCTGAAGCCAATATTGGTCATTTTATTTAATCTCAATTCTATTCTCTTGTGTGATTTTTTCACTTACTTTATTGAAGGCTTCCTTATTCTGCTTTCTTTTCTTTTAATTAATTTGTTCAAGTCTTCCCATGTTTTTCTGAAATCCTCATTTTCATTATATTCACATTACAATAATAAATTCATATCACAATTTCTCTAGCTATTTTCCAATTGATAACTACCATGCTTTGTTTCAGCTCTTTACTACTGCAAGAAATGCTGCTATAAATGCTTCTATGTACATGGAACCTTTCTTGCTGTCAAGTAATGGTATCACTGGATCAAAAGATGTAGTTTAGTAACTTTTCTTGCATAATTCAAGATTGCATGGTTGAAATAATTCACAACTTCTTAGATTTGTAGTATCATAGATTTAGCACTGAAAGGGTTAGAGACCATCTAACAACTCCCTCATTTTTACATATGGTAACTGAGAACTAAAGAGGATAAGTGACTCGTCCAAAGTCACACAGGTAGTGGTATAAGTGGGTTTTGAACCCAAGTCCTTTGGTTTCAAATACTACTTTCTTTCTGCTATAGCGTCCTACCTCTCACCAGTAGTATAGTAGTGGAACATGAGGACCCACATTGCTTCATTGAGCAATGCTTTCATTCGCCCATCATATGGTATACATTCATAATGCTCTGCTGGTATCTGATTCTTCCTTCCTGTTAGAGATATTGGGCAAGACAACTGGAAGAGGTCTGTTAAACACAAATCTGAAATCCAGACACTCCTGGCACGTAACATTGCATGAGAGCCTAACTTCAGCAGTGAGCCCCCCAAATAAGATTCCAATGTAGCTGTTAACATATGGAAGTTTTTTTTTTCTAATAAGCTGCCAGTTGAAATTGTGCCCTCTTTAAAGCAACCAGAGCAGTATACTTTTTTTCATTTGTTTCAGTCTCAAGGGTAGCTGAGCCTTGTTTAATTGCTTCCATTTCATACTCTATTTGATGAATTATTCCCTGAGGGCTCCAAGCAATGACACCATTGTTATCCTGGTTGTATGATATTTGTCCAGAACTGGCAGAGCTAAGGCTTCCTGCAGAACTGTGGGATCAAGTGCTTATCATGGTATATGGTATAAGTTGTTGGTCTAAACCTATTTTCTGCCAAATTGCTATACAGTTTTCCTAAAAATCCTGTCAAATAGAGTATCCTTATATGGGTAGTTTCCCCCAATTATCTATTTAAATATCTAGTAGTTTATACCAACAAATCAATCTATCAATGTTGGTGTAATTGTTATATTTCAGTTGGTTGTTATGTGTAAGAACAGCCTATCTTCTGTATGTTGGTCACAGATGCCTTTGATTATTTGCATGTTCTCTGAAAATTTACTTGATTTTAGGCTGAATCTATGAAGCATAGAGAAGCTATATTCTAAATGTTAAGATGTATATTTTTATCCATGTAAAATCTTAACTATTTTTAAGCAGTATTGTATATATCAGTTTAAATTTGGTTACAGCTTTTTTTTCTTCCTTATCACTTTGTTACTTTATCATTCCTTAACAAAGTGAAATATTATGGTCCCCAGGATGGCTGGCATTTCATTGTATTCACATGTCTATATATTCAATTTAGATAAATAAATAAATCTTCAAAGTGTTGGAATTCTTGGATGGTGGTGAGGTGGAACAAGTTGAGAGAAAAGACTTAGATGCAAATATTTATCTTAGATGCATACTTATGACTTAAGCTTGGACTTTAGTACTTTAAAATGTGCAGTTTTATCAATATGGGTAGTCCCTTCACTGGTGCAAAAGTATTGCAGCTCTTCTCTATATTAATTGAGAAGTTTTCATGAATTTGTGGCCAATATGACAAAAAAAAAATCCATCAACAAACCTCTCTGATCTTAGCTAAGGAAGTTTTTAGATGACTGTCCATTTCAACTTGGCAGGGCCTACAAAAACTTATAATCTATTGGCGTAACTTTTAAGAACCCAGGGTCACATCTGTACCATGATGAGATACTAGAGAACAGGAGTTCTTAACTTGCAGTCCACAGACCTCTAAGGAAGAAGTTCCCAAATTTATTTTGCCTACCACCCCCTTTAAAGAAATTGCTTAGCGCCCCCCTGGAAATCTATTTTCTTTAACCCTTTAATGTTTTATTTAATTAGTCCTTTCAAAAATATATAAATTTTTTAAAAATAATAACACATCTTAAATTTAATAATTTACTGTAAATTTGGGGGTGGGGGAGTTTCCTGCATTGAAATTTTGATGACACAATATTGTGTCATGGAACCATATAGTATTGTATTGTATTGTAAACAAGTCATCATAGGCACATATTCTTGCCTATGCATGCTGGACTTCCCAATAATGCACAACACACTCACCTGACAACACTTGCTTGTTAAAACCTGTAGGCAGATTTGACCACTGATTGGTTATAACTTGCATTTTGTGTGTTTATTTGGAAAATAATGTGATCACTATGACTTTAACTCTGTTATATAACATATGAAACATGTATGAATGGTTTTTCAAAATTTTCTCCTCTTCTCTTCTTTCCTCATGCTTCTACTACCCCCTTATTTTTATGTAACACCTCCGAATCGCACCCGAGACTACTACTACCCCTACCCATCATTTCAGTGCTCCTCAGAGGCAGCATCACCTACTTCAGGAACTTCTGCAAGGGATCTATGAATAGATGCCAGGAGGTTATTTATTTGTTTTTAATATTTGACAACTGTATTTCAATATAATTGGTTTTCTTTGTAATCCAATGTATTTTTATTTTATGCCTTTAAAAACATTATTTTGAAAAGTAATCCATAGGCTTCACCAGACTGCTAAAGGGGTCCAGGACACAAGAAAGTTTAAGAACCCCTGCACTTGAGTAAGGTTTTTTCAGGAGTGTATGTGACGATACCTTGATGCCTTTTAAAAATCTGATTATTTTTGCCTAGTTACATATCTGGAAATATTTATGAAGGTCAGTGGGAAGACAACATGCGCCATGGTGAGGGAAGGATGAGATGGCTGACAACTAATGAAGAGTATACTGGTCAGTGGGTGAAAGGCATCCAGGTACTATACTAATTAAATTTAGCCAATGTATATATTGTTAAAACTTAGCATGTGATGGCATACCCAAGGTCCCATTCTAAGGTTAGAGTTTGCCATCTGTAATACTCATTGTTCTTATGGTCTCTATAAAAGTTTAAATAAGATCTCAGCATCATTATTAATGTCCTAAAAACCAGTGTGAATGCAGGCTGACTTCCTTGAGTATCCCTAGAACTGCTGTCATAAGAATCTTTTCCTGAGTCCAGGATCTGACACCTTACATCCGGGTTTTCAACTAAGCCCTGACAATATTTACCCAAGATGAGTTTCCATATTTGTTTGGTAGAGATGAATTGTGGCAGAGTGGAAAGGGCACTGGCCTCAGGGTTATGAAGAGTTGAATTCAAGTCCTACCTATTACAAATACTAGTTTAGTGACCCTGGACAAATCACTAAACTTCTTAGTGCCCCAGGGGCCTCTCCAAGACCATAAGATGCAAAGCAGTTATTGATCTTCACTGGTAGAGGTAGTTTCCTCTACCAATAACAGACCTGGTTCCAAAAATTTTTGATATCTAATTGTGGGATGGAAAAAAATGACCTCTTTGAAAATTCCTTCTAATCATTTTCTTTATTTTTAGAATGGTTTTGGAACACATACTTGGTTTCTAAAGAGAATCCCTGGCTCTCAGTATCCTTTGAGAAACGAATATGTAGGAGATTTTGTAAATGGAGATCGTCATGGTCATGGCAAGTTTTTCTATGCCAGTGGTGCAATGTATGATGGAGAATGGGTTTCCAATAAGAAGCATGGTTTTGTAAGTAGACTTGTGAAAATCACATTTTGAAAACAAGGCATTTCAAACATAATGATAGATATACTATTTGCCTCCAAGTATTAAACTATATCCAGTTGACATAAGAAGTTATTGCTTAAAAGATGTTTTCAAATACATAAAAAAATCTTATCAACTTAATCTTTTGAAAGAATGAAGTCTGCTTAGTCATGTGATTGCAGTTTACATCCTATTTAAAAAGCTATGTGCTTTCCTTAGTATACAGCAATTATACTTTATGCTTTGTGGTTATTTGGAGAGGCATCATGGATGGTGTTGTAGAAAGACCAATGGCCTGGGACTCTGGAATGAGTGCTCTAACTCTGGCTGTGCCAGTGATAACTTTTTAAACATGGGCAAGTCACTTAACCAATCTTTTAGGGTCTTGATTTCCTCTTCTCTAGGGATTGTGGACTAGAAGAGCTTTCAGTTCTCATCCAATGCTAAAATCCTTTTTAGCTCTATAATTCTAGTAGTGGTGATATCATTAAGTTGATCCCTCCATATGTTCTTATATCCTCTTACAAGAAAGTTCTTTCTCATCTCTGGGAATTTTCATTGGTTGTCCCCTATGCCTGGAATGCTTTCTCTCCTCATCTCTCCCTTCTGGCTTCCTTCAAGTATCAGCTAAAATCCTACCTTCTATAGGAAGCCTTTCCTGATCCCCTCTAATACTAATGCCTTCCCTATGCTGAATATTTCCAATGTTTATAAGTTGTTTATACATAGTTTTTGCATGTTGTCTCCTTCATTAGACTGTGAGTTCTTTGAGAGTAGGGACTGTCTTTTGCCTTTCTCGTATCCACAGAACTTAGCACAAGGCTTGGCACACAGTAGGCGCTTAATAAATGCTTATTGACCAACTGATTGACATAGCCCATGTATTTGGTTTGTGTTGGGCATGTGGGTATGGCAGAACAAAATTAACTATAGAGCCCCTGGCCTTTGCACCATGTTTTATCCAGTTGGACTAATTAACCACAGATTAAATGGCATTGAACTTGAATATGTGAAAAATAAGCATCCTTCAATCTCAACATATAACATACTATCACCGTAAGTTAAAACTAAATTAAAAGTTGAATAAACTATTACACCTTAGAACACACTTGAAAAATACCTTGACACAGTCATTAATATTTTCTTGATTAAACTTACTTAAGAATGAAAAAAGCTATTTCTTTTCTTTGTAGGGCAGGTTAACATTCAAAAATGGACGTATTTATGAAGGACAATTTGCCAATGACCACATAGCAGAGTTTCCATTGTTTCAAATTGATGCAGAATGTAACTCCATCGATGACAGTACTTGCCCAGAACCTACATGTAGTGCTGGTAAGAATCATAAAACATCAATGGAAAAAAAAAATCAACCCACTTTGGTACCCAAATGTTTACCTGCCAATATACATGTAATAGGTCAAGGGAGCAATGCTTTTCTTAATAACTGATTTCATCTAAATCACTTGCACACACTTGTCCAAGATTCACAAATAAGAACACTTCAAAATATTTTATATTACTTTTCAGAAAGCATAACATGATATTTTTTTTTATTTGATAGATATTATCAGAAAACTTGATGGCAGTGAAAGCAATTCTGTGTTAGGATCAAGTATTGAACTTGATCTGACTTTGTTGTTAGATATGTACCCTCCAAAAGACAGACCTGAAGAAAAGAAACAGGTAAAACATTATATATTACATCATCCTGTTCATAAGTTTTTTCTATTTAAATTATATAGTTATTGTAATTCTTCAGTTATGAAAAATGCTTTCTTGAAAATTTACTATTTAAAAAACGCAAAATATCAATCTAGATACCATCGAGATTAACCATGCCAGAATATGCCTGAATACCCTTGAAATTTTCCAGTTCATCAAGACCAATTTTCAATTCTTAGATGCCACATCTACAAGACCAGTCTTTTTAATGGCCTATACAACATTTCAATTTAAGGCAACAAATGTTTATGAAGTACTTAGTATTTGCAAGGATCTGGTCAATTCAGTTTTTAAAATCAGGCAAACTCTTTATCTGGGTTAACTGATGTTTTGACTAAATTGTCAAGACCAACCTGATTGTGCACATGGACCTGACCACGTAAAATAGGGACTTAAGCAAAGTTTCTTAGGTGTCTCCCATATCTTCTTTGGTCAGTTCCTCCTTATGGGGACTCAAAGCTCTTTTGTTGCTGTTGGCAGAGAAGAAAGAGATCCTATCCATTTATTGACATTTCAGTGTTAGTCATTAGTTCCTTCTGGGAACTTAAGGGGTCCTTATTTGTGCTTGTTCCATCCTGGTTTTCTCCCCTCTTAATATCAGATCTCCTGTTAGGGGGCGTGGAAACCATTGTGAAATGTGCTCGGAGCTTTTAGAGAATTTTGGTTTCCATGTGGGAAAGAAGTTTTGAAAGCAGAAACCATGTTGGGGGAGGGGAGGAGGGGCTAACTCAGGGACAAGCTGGCCTCACTACATGACAGGATAGTCCAAGATATTTTCTTCCATATTGCTTGTATGTTTTCACTGTACTTCCTTACAACTGCCTGAAATTTCACCATATGAAGATTTAAGTCACTAAGCCTTGTCTTCTGAAAATACGACTATAGCTGGTTTAGGGGCTATCAGTCATTGCCGCTGTAATGGGGGACTAACCAATGAGGGCTCAGCCCTTGGAGCTTGTGAAGGGTCGTTCATGGAGGGGTTTGGCAAGCCTGCTTCTGGCAGCATGCAATACCATGGAATGGAAGACCACTTCCCAGTTTTCCCTCTTTCCTCTTGTTGCGTGGTGAAGAGGGGCCTTTTAATTGGCCGCAGAGCAGAAACTGAAGTTGAATATAAAAACCTGCAGGGAAGGAACTCACTTTTTCCTTCTGTTGGCCAAGATGTGTAAAGACAACTCTGAGCTCCAGAAGGCCACAGTAGCTCATTGCTTGAGGCTACACGTTGTGCATTTCAACTTTTTCTTATTAATTTTTCAGCATTTTCTTATTGATTTTGAATCTTGGAGGCTCCATTGGATCTTTTTTAATTTCCACCATCTGAATAGCTCTTTATTTGGCTGTAATATTAAAAGCCACTCCTTGCTGAGATGGTATGTCCTGCATTGACTGAGCTGGGGCTAGTTTATCTGCAGCTCGAGCTGGCATGACTATAGCTATCATGTTTTTCCTTATTTTGAACTGAAACCAGCCTCTGTAACTTCTTTCCATTGTCCCGATTTTGAAAGTTGAAGTGATAGAATGAGGACTGAGAAAAAGCCATTGGATTCAGCAGTTCAGAGATCATTAGTAAAACTTGGAAAGAGCATTTTCAATTGAGTGGTGAAATTGCAGGTCATATTGCAAAAGGTTGAGAAATGAGTGGAGGAAAGTAAAGGCATAGGTGACTTTTTCTTAGGACCTTGACTGCAAAAGAGGGAAGAGTTATAGATATAGTGAACCTCAAAGGAGGGTAGGTTGGAAATAGCGGTGGCAAAGGAATGATCTTAAAGTGGTGATAGGGAGTAAAGTTCCTTCTGCTGACCCATGGTGTCAAGGGGCAAGAAAGAAGGTGAACTTCATAATAGAAAAGGTAGATCTGTACTCTGTCTTCTAGAGAGAACCAGTTTTCTGTAAGCAGCAGGAGATGGAAAAAAGCAATAGATGAAGAAATCTAAGATGAGGGAAGGTTCATTAACAGTAATGTTGGGTTACAGAGGGACCAAAGGAACAAGAGAGCAGAAGAGGAAATGCATTGTTGAAGGGGAAAGGGATGATGTGAATAGAGCTTGAGAGTGGCAATGGGAAGAGATTTTTATCCTCAGCACATAGTGACTGAATAAGAGGGATAAGAAAAGCAGGAGATGGAAATCCACCACAACATGGGAGAAAAATGACTTGATCAGGGCCCCTACCCTCCAAGGTAATAACTGAGCACTACCTTATTGTCTGAGGGCAGTAGTATCAGTTTCATAACTGGATACTCCAAAGGCAGATGAGTGAGGTATGGTGGCAATGGGTGGAGGCAGTAGAGAGCTCTGTCTGGGTATCTGGGTAGTAAGTAACTAGTGTTAAGGTTTCAAGGCCAGACTGAACTTCCACTTAGTGCCAGCCCTCTGGCCTCATGTGATAGTACCAATTGATGACTATGGTGTCTGGGTCCTTGGAAGATGGATTAAAGTCATGATCAGAACCAGTTCCATAGACTCATCCCAAGATGGCAGAGAATGAGGCAAACCCAGAAGATATCCTGAACATAGAGTGAACACAGTTCCCAATCCTCTAGTGTCTTTGACTCCCTAAGGCTCAGGCTGATGATTCTGCTAAAGATCAAAAGTGAATGTGGAATCTCTTGAGAACAGGCTTCTTGCCACTTGGTTTCCTCATCTAAATAAAATTAAGGCATTCGACTCACTAATCTGTAAGGATGGTCTCTTCCAACTAAAAGTCAAATGCTAAGTGTTACATGTAATTAAAATCCTTTAAGATCCACTTCTAGAACAAAAGATTAATACATCTTTGCCTTATACAGTACATCTAAATTTTTGACCTAAATTAACCTTGCCATCTTTAGATATAAAATACATAATGGTATGGCATTCATCATTTATAGTCAAGCTTTATTGTCTTGGATCTACTTTTTATGTTGTGAACTTTATTAACATCCCAATTGTTCAGCATTTCAGGGTATTTTATAACATTATTCTATTGTTGGAAGATTTCAATGATAGTGATCTTGTACATTAATGATGTCTTACCACAAGAACCATTAAAATGATTCAAATTAAAACAATTTTCTCATTTTAATTACCTTAAAACTGTTCTTTATTCTCTGTCTTTATAAAAAAACATTACTATGCTAAAGAATTTTTATTTCCCTGGGAAGAAATTACCCTCAAATTTGGCAGTAGAATATTTTGGGTGTTGTGATCATGTGATATCATGCACCAATTTGAAACTTGAAGTCTGCCCTATAGATAACAGTATGGTTTATCTATTCACCTTTTATATGTTGTCTTGGCCCTTTAGAAAATAAGCTCCTTGAGGCCAGGGACTGTCTTTCTTTTTGTTTGTATTTGTATCCCCAACTTTTAGCACAGTGCTTGATGTAATGCAAGCACCCTAATAAATTCTTGTTAACTTTACTTGGTTGTTTTTTTAAGTTGACTTAGAAAGAAGGGTAAGTTTGATAATACCACTGTCATTAAAGTAAGACTGAGACAGGTTTCATTTTCTCCCCTTCAGGTAGAATTTGCTGTTTTGAGAAATATTTCAGAATTAAGAAGAATCTATAGCTTTTACAGCAGTCTAGGATGTGATCATTCTCTTGACAATACTTTCCTGATGACAAAGCTTCAGTTCTGGAGATTTTTAAAGGATTGCAAATTTCACCACTGTAAAATAACTCTTGCAGATATGGACAGGGTACTAAGCGGTTAGTATTCATGCCTTTTGGTTTTTTTATTCAAAGTAATAAAATTAAGGTATAATATGGTGTAACCTTGGAATCAATGAGTCCTCCTTTGAGTATTTACTGAGTGACTGCTTAGGAGCACTATGTGAGTGGCAGGTTATAGAAATACAACGATCTCTGGCCTTAAAGAATTTAGAATACAGTTGGAGAGACAAAGACAAGTAATGATAATAATAATAGGTAGCATTTATGTAATATTTTAAGGTTTGCAAAGCAGTTTACAAATATTTTCTTATCCTTACAACCCTGGGAAGTAGCTGCTATTTTTATCCCCATTTAATAAACGAGGAAACTGAGGCAGACAGCAGTTAAGTGACTTGCCCAGAGTCACACAGCTAGCGTCTGAGGCAGGACCTGAACTCAGATCTTTCTGACTCCAGGTCCAGCTCTCTATGGTAGCATGGTGGATAGAAACATGTGCTAAAGCATATGACATGGCAAGTACACGTGACATGGCAGTGAGCAACATGATATATTGTATAATTAAGTGCAAAATTTTACTGCACAGACTGCATATGGTTCAACAAAGAGATAAGTTGCTGAGTAGCCAGGAAAGGCTTCAATGGTGGAGTTGGAGCCCAAGTTGGGCCATGATTTGCATATTAGGAAGTTTTTTAAGGTATTCCTGTTCCAACCGGTGTTGCTGACTTAGTGTTTTCCCTTGGAAATGATCAAACATTCATCTGACTGGGATAGTCCTGGATTAAGAACAATAGAGACAAAAAAGTTGAACAATCTTTACTGAACTACTCAGTCTTTGTTACAGCACCTTGTTACTGACTCATTATTTACTGAGAGAAATGACTTCATTCGATTTTTCTTTGAATGTTGTTGCAGGGACAGGTAAGTTAGAAAGAAGAGTGCTCAAATAGCTTGTTTATTGCAATATTGCTAAGTTTCCCCCCAACTTCCTTTTCTTATTTTAGATAATAATAATATTTCAGTTGAAGAAATTCACTCCCCCTTTACCACTTTGCTACTGAGAACGTTTTTGAATTATCTCTTACAACTAGCATACCACATTTATCACAAAGATTATAAGTAAGTATTATTTTTTCTTTTTTATATTTTTTATCCTAAACTTAATAACTGTCAATAAAATGTTAAAAATAGACACATTTTTGAAAGCTCCTACATAAATCCATAAACTCCAAATTTTTTATCATTTCTAAAAATTTGTAGATTAACTTAAACAAAATGATACAAAATGTCCTACTCACTTGTATCCCTTTCTGATCTTGTGTTTATTTTTAAATTTTTGTTACTGTTATTGTTGCTGCTGTTATTGCTGTTGTTTTAGTTATTATCATCTCATCTCATTTGTCTCACTTTTTTGATGAGGTTCAGATAAAAACTGCTCTGGGATGAGTCTCTGATATTGTTCATTGAAATTTAGGATTCTCTGGACTCTTGCACAGGAGGATCAAATAACTGTTATTTTGTGGTTGAATAAAAGTATTAGGATATGATCTCAGGCTCTGTAGGCTCACTGAAAGCATCCTCAGGATAACTCCAGTAGTAGGCAAGACAAGAGGATGATTTGTACCTTATCTTGCTCCCACGTAATTTTGATCTTATCTAGGTTCTCTGTACTTTGAAAGCTTTTTCTTCCATTATGGCTTAGAGATTATGTAGCAGGAATAATAATAATATGCTGTAAGATATGGGTGGCACTTCACATGTTACCTCATTTGGTCTGATTTGATTCTCACAACAAACCATCTATTAAAAACATTGTTCTTAAGTTTTTATGAATCAGTGTTATGTCCGCAACAGTTCAGTCAGTGATCATGGTCCGTTTCCAGTACAGTTTATTGATTGAGTTCTCCAGGAATCTGGAAATCTATATTGGAGGTGTGGAGATTTGGGCTCTGTTAGTCTGAAAGACAGTGAACTTATGATATATAATCCTAGCTACCAGGTTATGTCTTGGTAGGTATTTGTTAGGTGCTAAACTTTTCAGCCTGAAGTGATGTGTTATGCTGTTTCCACTGTTTCCTTGTAAAATCTGCAATTCAGCAGTGGGGAACCTGTGGCCTTAACACCACATGTGGCCTTCTAAGTCCTTGGGTGAGGCCTTTTGACTGAGTCCAAGTTTTACAGAATGAATCCTTTTTTTTTTTTTTGGTAAGGCAATTGGGGTTAAGTGACTTGCCCAAGGTCAGACAGCTAGTACGTGGCAAGTGTTTGGTCTGAGGCTGGATTTGAACTCAGGTCCTCCTGATTTCAGGACTGGTGCTCTATCCACTGTGCCACCTAGCTGCCCTGATTGAATCCTTTTATTAAGGGGATTTTTTCTTTGAAGTTTGGATTCAGTCAAAGGGCCACACTTGAGGACCATGTAGATTCTACATGGATCACTAAATGTAGGCTTTTTAAGGATAATCCTTGGGTAATTTCTGGTGTTTCTGTTTCTGTTTCTAAATTGTCATTCTAAATTGTCTGTTTCTGTTACCTGTTTCTAAATTGTCATCATAAACCCCTTTGTTTTCAGAAACAAATCTGCATGACTCAGTCATTTGTTCAACATTTCTTTGTTTTAACATATTGTTGGTTGAGACCATATAGATGTTGCCTTTGGAGAACTTTTTTGATTCTGGTCTTGAATGTTAGGTATTTGTAGGCTTTATAATCAAGCTACTTTCAGTTACATTTGGTAAATCCAATGATGTGTACCTGTTAACAGCCTTTACTATAGTTTGATGAAGTGATGTCTGCTTATTCCAAAGGTATTTCTGTAGGTTTTTTACTTATTTATCATGTGTTCTAAGACTATCTGTCAATCTCCTTTCTTCTTTTTTTGTTTGAAAGTATTAATCTTTTTATAGCTGCCTTAAGGTGATGTGCTCTATGTTTTATTACTATTGTATGGGTTTTTGTTAGATTACTTTCCAAATCTGTCATGATCCATTTCATAATTCCAAATGGGTACATTAGACTGGTATTGCATAGGTGTTAATTGCCCCAAACATGTTCCTCCTATTCAGCTTTAATTTCAGAATGCCAATAAGTCTCTTAAAATATTCAGCCATATCTTTATCCCTGATATCTTGTGTTTTGCCTGGAGAATTTAAGGTATTTGGTGGTTTCACCTTCATCCAGATTCAATATGAAATCTGGATTCAAGTTCAGAGACTGCCTTGGCATGCTTTAAGGATATATTTATTGAGTTCAAATGATTTCATATTAACAGAGAAATATTCCACAAGAAAAAGGAGCTATTTAATTTGTTTTTCAGTGGGGCTATCTAGTTTGATGTCATCCATATTCATGAAGTTATTAATAGGATGTGTTGATTCAACTTCTTCTTTAATATGGAAACCAGAAACAATAAGGGATTTAAGGTTAGGAAAAATAATGAGTTTGAACTGTCTTCCTGAAAAACTCATTTTATATGAATTTTTCTCAACATTTTTGTGTTGGGACTCATTTTAGATTAAAAAAAAGTTTTCCATATGGGCATCAAATATTTCAGTATTCTCACTATACTTGGGTTTATTTTACTTATTCATAGTACATGAATAAACCATGAATACAAAATTGAGTTAAAGGTTTTACAGTAATAACAAAGGCAGAGTATATGTTATGAAGCAGGTCATTGGTAGTCGTTGGTGATATAAATGTGATCCTTTAAGAGTACCTCCTTTTAAATGTGTTTTGCATCACTGCACATGTATAACTTATGTCAAATTGCTTGCCTTCTTAATGGGGGGGAGGGGAAGAGAATTTGGAACTCAAAATTTGAAAGAAGAATATTAAAATTGCTTTTACATATAACAGGGAAAAAATGAATTTTTTTAAAACATTTTAAAACATTTAAAAAAAGAAGAAAAAGGGTACCTCCTTTTGTAATAGATATATGATACCTTCTGCTAGGAAAGGTGGAAGCAGGCTTATATCAGAGAAGAAGTTGCTAAAGTGCCTTGCTAGTAGTTGGGGCACCTCTGAAAAGCAGTTGAGTCAATAGTTATGGGTTTTATCCAGCTGTACCACTTTCCTGTTTCCTTCTTTTCCACAGCTCAGTACTATTTTCTCCTTCTCCTTTCATTGGCTGCCCTTGTACTACCAATTCTTTCTGGCTCAGCTCTTTATGACTCCTTGCTTTTCACTCCCAGACCCTAGAAATCTCTCTCTAGTTCTCAGTTTGCTCCTGCTTTTATACAGGCTCCTCAGGATGTGACCAAGTCCCTCCCCCAATTAGAACACACTTCCTATTGCACTTAATTGAAATGTCTTTGATTGATTCGAGATGTATAGGCCTTCCTTATCCACACCTTGTTCTGACTGATTCAATTAAGATGTATTCTTATCTAACAAAGGTAGTTACTTTTAAGTGGAGTAAAGTGAAAGTTTGTACCACTTCTGGATTTTTTTTTAATATTGCCTTAATCTTTAAACTTTTGCTTTCGCTTGTTGATTAAGGGAATCTAGAAATTCTGATATATTTTGTTTTCTGGATTCCTGTCTGCATGTTTCTTTTTCTTGTGTTTAATGGGTAATAGAGTATTTAAAGTGTCTGCTATATAAACCAGCTAGGTATTGCTGTAATCTCCCAATGCCTTTCTGAAGATCTTCAATAATTCTCCCAAAATGCTTCTGCTATGATAGCATCTGATGTCTAGTTTTAGGAATAGTCCTTGAGAGCTCCGCCTTTCTACCTGTAGTTCTTACTATGGCAACGGATGCTGAGGTAAGATCCTGACATTTTATTGTAATTTTTTTACATTTTCTGTTAGATAGCATGGGAGAATGCATTCATTCATGATAGATATAGTAGATACCAACTTTTTTGAATTATCCCTTTTAGTTATAGTTGATCTGCTAGTTAGATCCATGATGTCCTACTTTAAAAAAGTCTTTTCAGAATTCCAGTCAAGTATGCCTGTTTCTTTTTCAAAATCATTAGAGACTTCAGTGCTGTTTTGTTAGCCATGTCGTTATTACATATAATTTCTGAATTTCCATTGAATGAAGATTTTAAATGACCTAAGAATCAACTTTTTCCTCTTCAAATATTATTAGCACCATGATTTTTTTCTCTTACCTTATCTACTCTAGGGTTGGGGATAAATTTAATTTTTATGATTGCCCCTGCACTGGTCAGTAATACATTGATGTGTGACTTGGAGCTAAGGATACCATTGACAAAAAGTAGCTTGAAGCCCTTGCTTATCATTGGTGAGATCTGTTTCCAGTTTTGCTAGGAGAAGGTATTGGCACATAATAAAAATATTAGTGTCTTCAGTCTATTTCATGTGCACCTCTGTTTTGCATGCTTTACTGGCCAGCACCATTTGTACTAAAGCAAGTAGGATATTGGTATTTCTCATTTATTTCAATATATCTTGTGGTACCAAAACACTGAGTACCACTTACATGTCGAGCCATATCAAACAACAATTTCAAGTAGTACCAGTCTGCAACTCTGTTGCCCTGTCTTTCTTAGATTCATAGAAAGTTTTGTCATACTGGCTGGGGTACTGACTCTATTAGTGGTAGCACCAGAAGCCAATTGGTCAATACTTTCAGGACTCCTTCCAGGCAGCTACTAATGAGGTCTCAGGACTCATAGAGTCTTAACTGTACATCACCATTCCTGGCATTCCCTTACCCTATCTCCCTATCATGACATACATGGATATGGCATTAGATTGTGAGAGGGCTATTATCTATTTATTTACTGATTCATTCATTCATTTATTCATTTATTATATTACCTATGTCCCTAAACTCTAGGTTCTGAACTTACATGAAGCATAGCATCAATTTTGGAGGTTTATTCCTCACCCAAATAATTTGACTTATTTTGCTCCTGCTCAGAATTTTCTAGTTTATAATTAAGTTTGCCTAGATGTGGGTAAAAGAATTCCCAGTTACTATACAAGTACTCAGGGTATCAGGGCATATTATGTAATGGATAGCCTTTCTGTCATCCTAAAGGAAATATAAAACAACATAAAGTACTCAAAGTAGCCCATAAACACAATACATTTCTCTTCTTTCCAGGGAATCCCACCTTCACCCCAGGGACCCATATAAGTTTCCTGCTTTATGGGGTTGCAAGAGAGGTATCCCTTTTCCCCATTGGACCTATATCCTCTGAATAACTTGTACTAGGAGAGGACAAAGTCTAGGTTTTTATTTCTCTGTTTTAAACAGACTCTTGCTGTTTTTCTAGTTCTAAGTATACTTGCTAGATCCTTAATCCAAGAATTCTTTTTCTCCGTAAGGTGCAGGTTTCATAAACTCTAAATAGTCCTCCCATAGGTGGGAGTTCAGGAGCTCCCACCATATAGCCACACGTCACTGATTGACTGTAGCCAGGAAATCAAGGACAAGGAACTATACCTTCCTCTTAAGTCATGTGAGTGAGAGAGACCACAAGTAACTTTAATATGCCTCTGGTTTCCAGATGGAGGGAGGATTTGTCATTACACAGTCTTCTTTACCCTCTCCTCACACTGACTCCAGTCTGTTGTGAGGGCTCTGGTTTTTAGTCTTGGCTCAGTTTTGTCTGTGGAACTCTCACTCATTGAATGTACATATTGTTTTTAGTTTTTTGCTATTATAAATGAAATTCTGTAAATATTTTTTGTTTAGGTAGATCCTTTTTGTCTTTTAAATAACATCATTTGGCGTCCTGGTAGCAGGAACACTGGGTCAAAGAATATATATAGTTGCTTTTTTTTTTTTAGCTTTTTGTCTGCTTTCATATTGCTTTCCAAAAAGACTGTACCAATATATAGTTCTATCAGTAATTTAATGGTATACCTTCTCCATACCTTTCTTCACAGCCTCACTAATTTTGAATTTTGTTCTTTTTTTAAACTATCTCTAGTAATTTGATGTTAGGTGAGAGCTCAAAGTTGTTTTAATTTCTATTTCTCTGATAGTTTGAACAATTTTTCCATGTAATTAATGACAATTTGTCTTTCTTCCTTTGAGAACTGCCTATTTATCCATTGGGCCATTGACCTCATTTTTTTTTATAAATTTATGTCACTTCCTTATAAATTTTGGATATCAGGTTTTCATCAGATGTTTATTGTGAAAGTTTTTTCCCAATCTGCTTCTTTTTTTTCGCTTACTTTTCTGGTACAAAAACTATTTTTATGTAATCAACTCCATCAATTTTGTCTCCTTCAGTTTCTATTTGTTGATGGATCAGAATTTTCCTCATTTCCCCAACTGTATAAATATTTCATTTCATTCTTTCATTAAAAAATAGCTCATTAATCTGCTTGGGATTTAGAAAAATTTGGTATAGTGGGAAAAACTCTTGATTTGGAGCCATAAGACCTCAGTTCAAATCTTGGCTTTGCCACTAATTACCTGCACATCCTTGGTCAAGTCACTTCGCCTTTTTGAGTCTCAGTTTTCTCATCTGTAAAAGAGATGGAGTGAGAATTGGACTCACTGATTGTTGGGGTCCTTCCACTTCTAAATCAATGATCCCAGTGTTATCTATAGAATGTGATGGGAATAAAATCCCTTCCTCCCCCCCTTTTTTTGCTATACAATTGTCCAATTTTCCTGAAGTTTTGTTGAATAATGATCCTCTTCCCCACAAATTTTGCAATCTTGTATTTCTCAAACATATTATATGTCTTTGGTGGTATTTCTCAAGTAATATTGCTTCTAAATTTAAGTGTCATAAGAGCTGTCACATAAATGGGTAAGACAGAAGCAGAAATACCACTATTTTGATTACAATTTTTCTATTTTCTTCTTTCCTGTACTGCCTTTAATTTGTTAGAGTTTTTTTTTTTAAAAAAAACTTTTAGATTAGTAAAAAAAATAAGTTAGGTTTTTTTTTCTTACTTAAAATATTTTTGTATCATTTTGATATCTTTTATTTGCACATTACCTTCACTTCCAAATATATTCCTCTCCTTTCCCCTACAAAGCCAGCTATCTCTTGAAACAAAGTTTTGTTTTGTTTCAAGAAGAAGGAAAAATGATGTGGGGGTGGGAAGCAAAACCAAGGGAGGTGTCCTGGGTCAGTGGAAAAAGTACTGGCTTGCAATTTGATCCTCACAACAAACCTGAGAGATAGGTGTTATTATTATACTCATTTTACAGATGAGGAAATTGAGGTATACAGCAGTTAAGTGACTTCCCCAGGGTCACACAGCTAGTAAGTGTATAAGGCCAGATTTAAACTCAGGTCTTCCTGACTCTGGGCCCAACATTTCATCCACTGTGACATCTGGCTGCCCCATAGCTTAATCATTACTGAGACCACTGTTCAGTTTGGGATTTTGTTCTTTCTGTTTGTATTGTTGTCATCATTGTGCAGTTTTCCTTATTCTGCTTAATTAATTCTGCATCATTCGTCTTCTCATATTTTTCTCTATTCTTCACACTTTTTATACTAGAACAATATTCCATTAGATTCATGCATCACAATTTAATTAGCCATTCTCCAATTAAGGAATACCCATCTGTCTCCATTTCTTTGTTACCACAAAAAAAAATGCTAAAAAGCACATTTATTTTGGTATCTGTGGGCCCTGTTTTTGACCTCCTTTGAGCAGAAACCCTACTGCTTTTCCAAGTGGCTTCTATTCACAGAAAGAAATAGAAAGAATATTCTATTTCTGTTAACAACAAGGGTTTTAGATATAAGGTCCAAACTCTGAAACCCTTTTAGGTTGATCTGTACATTGCAAATGACTTTGGAAAGTTTTATTCAGATGGAGTCACAGCTAGATGTTTATCTTTAAACTAGATTTCCGTCATGGGTTTCTCATAGCAAAATGTTATCTGCAATTTTTTAAATCACAGAAATGGAAGTCCATCCCTCTTCATGTGTTTTTCAAAAATGATGACTGATAATATTACTCCCAATGCCTGTCAGATAAAAGGTAAGCAAAATTGTCAGATAATATATAAAACATATAATCTCTGCTAAATATAACTACCACCTTTGTGTTGGAGATGTGATAGGAAGGGTCTGGGACATATATGTGTAGAACCACCCAGAAAGCTGAAACTAATTCCTTGATTTGTAGACATGCATTTTGTCATTAGAAAAGAATTTTGCACACACAAAAAAGTGGGAGGGGGGAACAAAATGGTAACCAGAGGATGATTATCATTTTGGGCTCAGATATTTATAAATAATTTAAGGGCAACCATTAATGGCACAGATATTTGTAAAGCCCTATTGTAGATCAATAAACATTTGTTAAGTGCCTAATACATACTAAGGGATTCAAACAAGGGTAAAGACAGTTCTTACCCTCAAGGAGCTCGGTCTAACAGGAGAGACCACATTCAAACAACTATGGACACACAAGCTATAGCTAGAATTAAGGAGAATCAGGAAAGTCTTCCTATAGAAGGTAAGATTTTCAAAATGGTTCTTGAAAAAAGCCAGATAGAAATGAGAAGGCAAAGAATTCCAAGCATGAGAGACAGCCAGTGAAGGTGCCTGTGAAACAGCAAGGAGACCAGTGTCACTGGATCTCAGAGTACATGGTCAGGGGAAGGGGTAAAGTGTAAGACCAGCAGGTGTTGGGGAGGGGGCAGGTTATAAAGGACTTTTGAACACAAAACAGAGAATTTTATATTTGATCCTGGAGGTGATAGGGAGCCACTGGTGTTTATTGGCAGGGTGGAATGAACATGGTCAGACCTGTGCGTTAGGAACATCATTTTGACAATTGAGTAGATGGATTGGAGTAGACAGAGACTTGGCAGGAAGATTTACTCGAGGCTTTTGTGATAGTCTAGGCATGAGTTTGCCACCTGGTGGTGACAGTGTTAGAGGAGAGAAAGGAGTTTGTGAGAGACATACTAGTTGCTTAACAGTCCCAAGTGCTCCCTCCCTCCCATTTAGCCTTCTCCCTGCAGCTCAGAGTGGAAGGTCAGGGCCCCTAGGGTGTCATATCCCTCTTGTTCCAGACTCTTCTCATGGGTTGGTAGCCTGTTCCCAGTTCCTCAGGACAATAATGTAGTTCACTGTAAAGTTCGAGAATCTTTTGGTGCTGTGTTCAATTGCAAGATGAGAATAGCAAAAATAAATAAATAAAAATAAAATTAAAAAATCTCCCAGTTCCTTATTTCCTCCATGTGACCTCATTCTTGCTCCCAGCACCCCCACCCACCTTCACACCTCATACCAACTTTCAGTCCCCTGTGTACCAACACTTTCCTCACAACCATACATGTCCTGACGAAGTTATTCTTTGTTTTTTCAGTTGCTCAAAATCGCAGGTGGAAGTGGGTGGGAATCCCTCAGACTGCTATACATAATTGTATTTGAATGTTTTAATTTTCCCTTTTATTTTCTTAGGCAATTTTTTCTGTGACCAACAGCGGACTGTCTATGCAATGAATTATATAGACAAATGCTGGGAGATTTATTTAGCTTATTGTAGACCAAACATTAATCCACCTCATGAGCTAACAATGAAGACCAGATACTTCCTCTGGATGTTGAAGGTAATCACTTTTGAAACTTTCATACTTAATTTGCATACTTAATTGTTTAAGTTTGGATAAAAGAAAGGACAAAATTTTCTAGAATGATAGGAAAAGAATAATAAGGGAACTCACTGTGATGGGCTTTCATGATCACTAGATATTGAATGGGGCTTTCGGAGGAATGGGAAAGCAATTTAATTCAACAAGCATTTATTAAGTATTATTTGCCATGCCAGGCACCCTACTTACTAGGTGCTGGAGATATAAAGGCAAAAATTAAGCAATCTCTGCCCTCAGGGGGCTTACATTCTACTTGTGGAAATGACATTTATACGGATAAGTAAATACCAACTAATTTCAGAGGATAGTTAATAACTGAAGAGATCAATTAACAACTGAAGAGAAGGACCTTCTGTAGGAAGTAGCATTTAATTTGAACATTGGAGGAAACTAAGATTAATTCCAAGGGGCAGAGGTGAAGATAGAGAGGATCCCAGGCATGCGACTAGAAGCTTGAATAGCATGTACCAAAAACAGTAAGTCTCTGATTTTGTTTGGAGCATACAGTGTATGCTGGGGAGCTATGTAAGTTCAGTGTAGGATGATAAGTTTAGAACTAGAGTGGGAAGGACTTTAAATGCTAAACAGAGGCATTTGTATTATATCTCAGAGACAATAGAGAATCACTGAAACTTAATATCAGTTGTCTACTAAGTGGAGGATGGATTGGAGAGGGACAGACCAATTAGGGAATGATTGCAGTAATCCAAGCAAGTTGTAATGAGGATTTGAACCAAAGTGATGGCCCTGTGAATGGAGTGAAGAGGACAGAGGTGGGAGAAGTTGAGGGAGTAACAGTGAGGGAGACTGAGGAATCAAGAGTGACTACTTGGCTGCAAATCTGGGTGACTGGAGAATGGATAATACCCTTAACAGAAATAGGGAAGTTATGAGGAGATGTGGGTTAAGGTAGAAAGAAAATGAGTTCAGTTTTGGACATGTTGAGTTTAAGATACCCCGGGACAAAAAAAGGCAAGTAAAGACAAGAAGTTGGAGATGCAGAACTGGACCGCAAGAGGGATGAGAGTTGGATATGTAGAGATGATTTTTAAATCCAGTGGAGCTGGATGAAATGACTAAGAGATTTTTTGAATTTTTTCTTATATTTTAGAAATAGTTTTTTAAATCTAAAATTATAGAAAAATAGTAAGAGTATTCAATTTATATATTTTCATATTAAGGTTGCAAATTTAAAGATGTTTATAATTTACATTCATGTAAATGTTTTTATATATGTGTATTTTAAAGCTACTTATGTTTTATATATTTATGCTTATGCAGATGGTGTTTGATTATTTGTTCCTACAGGATTTTAAAATAATAACTAAAAATTTAACAGCAACCAAATTTGTGGAAATTATAGCAGAAGATAGTCCTTTCATGCATGATGGGATTGATAGCAACTTTGAACTGGAGGTAAGCAGGGAAGAACCACAATGACACAACTTTTTGTCTGTAATAAAGTGTACTATAACCAAGAGTTGATTGAAAAATAACGATGATAAAAGGTGAAAGTAGATCTGTGACTGAATTGAGAAAGTGTGGATGAATGGTCAGGATTTCATCAAGGTAGGCTGATGAAAGGGAAGAACTCCTTCTAACGATGCAGACAGATAACTATCTTACAGTTTATATCTGAGAGAATCGTCTAGGATGGTGAGAGGTTAAATGACTTGTTCTTGGTCACATGGTTAGTATGTGTCAGCTGCAGGATGTGAGCCCAGGCGTTCTGGTTTTTAGGCCAGCTCTCCATGGCCACATGCCTTACTTTTGGTCGGGGGTTCTTAACCTTTTTTGGTGGGTGTTATGGGCCCTTTGGGCAGTCTGATGAAGTCTGTAGACCCCTTCTAAGAATAATGTTTTAAATGCATAAAATACCATATATATGATTACAAAGGAAACCAATTGATTTTTATCAACCAATTGAAATATAGTTATCAAAATATTGTTAAAAACAATTTCTTGGACCCCAGGTTAAAAACCCTTGCATATAGATGGATATTAAAAATGAAAGCATTTCTGATCAAGGGAAACCAAAAATGAATGAAATAAAAAGCATATAAAACTATAATTATTGATATATTAATTGATTTAGTCAAGATGATTTTTATAAATGTCTCTCTTGTTTCTTTATAATAAAGGTTGTATGTATGTGTCACAGAGATAGATTTGTATCTTTTTCCCAAAATATTCGTGATAAAACTCTTCAATTTTAAGAGTTTCTAGCTCTGTGACCTTGAGCAAATGAAAATCAGTGTGATACAATGGAAAGGGCACTTGACTGGACATCAAGAAATCCTATTTCTAGTCCTGGCTCGGCCATTAAGCTAACTTTGTGACTTTGAGATAAGTCATTTGAGATAAGACATTTGAGATAACTGACTGCAGTTCAGTAAAATGAGAAGTTTGGACCTGAAAATTGCTAAGGTCTCTTCTAGTTCTAATGATCTGACTTAGTTTTCTTATTTGTAAAATAAGGCATCGAGGTAGTGTTGTGCATAGAGTGCTGGACATAAAATCAGGAAGACCTCATATCTCTTCCAGCTGTACACTTAACAACTCAAGTCAAATTACTACACCATCCAAGCTCAGATGATATGTGACCTTGGTCAAGTCATTTAAATTTTATGAGCCTCTCTGCTTCTTCATTTGCAAAATAAGGATAATGATAGTACCTACCACACAAAATTGTTTTAAGGATCAAATAATACATGTAAAGCACCTTCAAGTCATTTTTCAGTTTTGTCTGACTTTTTGTGACCCCATTTGGAATTTTCTTGGCAACAAAACTGGAGTCGCTTGCCGTTTTCTTCTCCAGCTCATTTTATAGATGAGGAAACTGAGGCAAATGGGGTTAAGTGACTTGCCCATGGTCACACAGCTAGTAAGTGTCTGAGACCAGATTTGAACTCAGGTCTTCCTGACTCCAGGCCCAGCACTCTGTCCACCTAGCTTGCACACTCATAATGCTTTGTTAGAAAATTAAAAGGTAGGCTACTCCCATGAAAACAATACTAATGATTATCATTCATGTTTCTGTAGCACTTTAAGCTTAGTTTTAAAAATGCTTTCCAGATGAGGCCAGTGATTTGCTACAGCTAATATGTGTTGAATGGGACTGGGGCTTGGACTAAGGTCGTCTGTCCCTAAGACTAGTAGTGTCCTTTCCATGATGTTGTTTAACTAAGAAATGTAGGATTGGTTCTCCTGCTTCTCAAAAGGAAAAATAGTGAGTCTTTCAGTTCCAAGAATAATGATATCAAATTCAATAAGGGAGGCAAGTAGCTTAGTGTAGTGAGTGGATACATTGTTGGACTTGGTGTCAGAAATACCTGGATTCAAACCCTACCTTGGCTACCCAAACTGTGATCCTGGGCAAGTTACTTCCAGCCTCAGTTTCCTTCTTTGTAAAATGAGGATAAAAATAGTATCTTCCTCACAGGGTGTGTTATGAGGCTTAAATAAGATGATATATGTAAATATGTAATAAACAAGATATTGTATATGAATGTATAATATATGTAAAGTGATATGTGAATGTTAGTGAAATTAGTGATCTACTCAACCAGCCTGCCCATAGTTATAATTTTGTATAAAATTCTCAGGAGGCAATGTTTGAATTTTGATATATAGACAAGACGTTCTGAGGAAGACGCTTCTCCTTTTGCATAATAAGGGCTGGCTCTAGACAAAAATCTAAAATAAGGGAGTCTTTTGTCCCCCTTCACTAGCCACCATCTCCCCTAACCACAAATCCATTCCCATTTCTGGAACTTTATAAAAATTTACATCTTCCTGTGTCCCATGCCCTCTGGGCTCTGATTTTTAATAGGTAAATAAATAAATTGATTTCTTCTAAGGCATTATATAACAGACTTCTTACCTATCTCAGATAACAAGCTGTATACTTACATTCCCCACCCCTAAACCCTTTTAATACTGTAACTTCACAGATGGAAGGGACTTGTGGCGATTTTTTGGTACCACTAGTTTAAGGAGGTTAAATTGGACTTCTCAAATTACAGCCCCTGGGTGACTTCTATTAGAAGTGGCGATTGGGCAGAGGGTTCTTGGTTCATAGCAAGGTCAGAACCCTAGATATAGGCAGAACTTTCAGGTTGGATGACTCCTAGGGAACATGGAAACAAGGTTAGGGTCTGTCAGTTAAGACTGAAATATTCAAGGGGCAGAACCAAGATGGTGGAGTAAAAGCAGTGATCTGCTTGAGCTCTCCCCCAAACCCCTCCAAATACCCATAAAAATGGCTCTAAACAAATTCTAAAGCAGCAAAACGCACAAAAAGACAAAGTGACACAAATTTCCAGCCCAAGACAGCCTGGATGATTGATCAGAAAGGCTGGGAGAGGAGCGCAGTTCTGTGTGGGCGTGCAGACTGCAGCAAACCTGGAACAGGCCTCAGAGGACTGAATCGCCAGCAGCTATGGTGGTTTCCAGACTTCTCAACCCATGAACACCAAAGACAATTTAGGTCAGTGGGAAAAGTCTGTTTCTGCGGTGAGAGAGAAGCGTGGGGTCCCAGGCCCATTCCCCAAGCTCGGCCCCAGGGTGGTGACTGCCTCCTGAGCTTCTGGCCCACAGACTGAGGGGGACTCGAGTGATTGATCAGAGGGGGATTGCAGGGATCTGTCTGCTAAGGCAGGATTCTCTTGCTTTGCCCATGCTTGGATCTGGGTCACAGTTCTGGGTGGTGGTCCTGGGGTGAGGAGGAGCACTGGCGTGGTGGAGCTTGTAGTGGCTGTGGAAAGCAAATCCTCCTCACAGTTCCAAGACAGAAAAGAGTGCTTGTGGTCACTCATAGAGCAGAGCACAGGCCAGGAAAGGAGTAAACACCTCGCCCTTAGCTATTCCATTTGATTGTTCTTTGGAAATGAATACAGGCAATGTTCCCTTCCTCTTGAAGGTTGATTCAGTCTGTGGAAAGAAACACAGGCAAACCCAAAGAGGTAGATGTGCTTTATTGGTTAATTGTGAAAATATTTATCAAAAAGTATCTATACCTATGTGTGTAATGTATTTTGATGAAGTGAGTACATAAGGATTATGCTTGGATACTTGGAAAATGACCTTCATATTTAGACATAATATTTTTTTGCTTAAACTGTACAATGATAAATCCAGGAAAATGTCCCTTTTTTTTTTACAGCTGATTTTTTTGTAAAGTATTTGTAATAATGTAAAAGTGAGTCTTACAAATGTTCAATAAAAATCATGTCTTAAAAAAAAAACACCTCGCCCTTCATCATAGCACCTTGAATGAACTGAAAATTTACAGGTCCCTAGAATTAGCTCTGAAAACAACTGCACAAAACCCCTGAAGCTTGGGACAGTACATTCTCCCCACTGGAAACAGACCCCTACCTTAACAAAGGGTTTATGACTCAGGTAATTGGCCGGGATCATGAGCAAGCAGTGCAAAAAGAGTCAGACTATATTATCTTACTTTGGTGACAAAGAAGATCAAAACATACAACCAGAAGAAGACAATGAAGCCAAAGTTCCTACATCCAAAGCCTCTAAGAAAAATATGAATTGGTCCCAGGCCTTGGAAGAGCTCAAAAAGGATTTTGAGAAGCAAGTAAGAGAAGTAGAGGAAAAACTGAGAGTGATGCTAAAGGAGACCCCAAAAAAATACTGAAGAAAATAACACCTTAAAAAATAGCCTAACCCAAATGGCCAATGAGGAGAAGAATGCCTTAAAAAGCAAAACTGGCCAAATGGAAAAGGAACTCCAAAAGCTTACTGAAGAAAATACTTCCTTAAAAATTAGAATAGAGCAATTGGAAGCTAGTGACTTTATGAGAAATCAAGACACTGTAAAACAAATCCAAAAGAATGAAAAATTAGAAAACAATGTGAAATATCTCATTGGAAAAACAACTGACCTGCAAAATAGATCCAGGAGAGAGAACTTAAAAATTATTGGACTATCTGAAAGCCATGATCAAAAAAAGAGCCTAGACATCATCTTTCAAGAAATTATCAAGGAAAACTGCCCTGATATTCTAGAACCAGAGGGTAGAATAGAAATTGAAAGAATCCAGCCATCACCTCCTGAAAGAGATCCCCAAAGGAAAACTCCTAGGAATATTGTAGCCAAATTCTAGAATTCCCAGGTCAAGGAGAAAATATTGCAGGCAGCCAGAAAGAAACAATTCAAGTATTGTGGAAACACAATCAGGATAACACAAGATTTAGCAGCTTCTACATTAAGGGACTGGAGGGCATGGAGTATGATATTCCAGAGGGCAAAGGAGATAGGATTACAACCAAGAATCACCTACCCAGCAAAACTGAGTATAATCCCTCAGGGTAAAAAATTGTCATTCAATGAAATAGGGGACTTTCAAGCATTCCTGTGGAAAAGACTAGAACTGAATAGAAAATTTGACTTTCAA